TCCTTTCAGCTCGCTCCTTCGGCGCATCCTTCTACTCCTCTCAGCTCGGATTCGGCGAGTAAACATGGACCAGCACGAAAACAATAACAACAACGGTGAGGGTCTCCCCGGCGGAGAAGCCGACGACGCTCTTCAATCGATCGACCACCACAATGATGACGACAGGTCCTTTTCTCACACTGGAGATGGAGCTAGTCCCGGGTACCGCTCTCTTTCTCTTCTCTCTGGAATCATCTCCTTGTGTTGTTTGGTATCGATTTCCTGGCTTCCGCCGATAATCATCAAGGGACTGGATTGGATTAGATTTGCTTCCGACGCGAATGTGGTTGGAATGTTTAGCATTGATTCAGCTTTCGCTTATTCTAGTTATGCATGGAAGTTCGTTCCCTTTGAGATTTTAGGGTTGGTTAGTTTATGACTCTGAGGAATGATTATTGTGTATTGGTTGCAGAAAGATTTTCATTGGTGGTTTAGCAAGAGAGACTACACCTGGTTAGTTAGTTCATCTGCTTCTATAAGTGTGAATTAGTATTAAGTCCACCTTCTTTAGTGGCGTATTAGTTTATGCCTAAACCCCTGCTCTCTCTCTCTTGATTTTTCCCACTGTAGCTCAATTTATCAAGCATTTTGGTAAATATGGTGAAATTACGGATTCTGTCATAATGAAGGACCGAAAAACCGGTCAACCTCGTGGATTTGGGTTCGTCACCTATGCAGACCCTTCTGTTGTTGATCAAGTCATTCAGGACACACATATTATTAATGGGAAACAAGTAGGGCTGAGTTCTTGGTTGTAATCCTTAGATTAAACTTATTTTTTAGTCTCTTGCTCCATAATTTGAGTACTGCTACATCATACGTTGGTTCCACTTGCTGAGTGAGTTTCCTCCTGTGGCCTTGTGGGTCATTTTAGGTGGAAATCAAGCGAACAATACCAAGGGGTGCTGCTGGGCCTAAGGATTTCAAGACGAAGAAAATTTTCGTCGGTGGAATTCCTTCAGCAGTGACTGAAGGTAATATATTCTGTTAGCTGTTTAACTTCAAAGGTGTCTGTCTAATGATACTAACAGAGGGCAAAGGTTCAAGCTACCATAGATTCAAGCTTTGGCATCAATATCATATATAAAGATCAGACTTTTACCCAGTTTCATGCGTTGATTGATTTTGAGTTGCTTAAAAACCCTTCTACTGCAATTGGCAGATGACTTGAAGGAATTCTTTTCGCAATTCGGGAGCATTGCAGAACACCAGATTTTGAGGGATCATTCTACCAATCGTTCTCGTGGCTTTGGGTTTGTTACATTTGAGGAAGAAGATGCAGTTGATGAACTTCTTACAAAGGGAAATCGGCTCGAATTTGCTGGAACTCAGGTGAGTATTCCATTAGTGTTCAGCGTTTCTTTTCCTGCAGTTCTTTGAAGTATACCTTGTAAGTTACAATCATCTAGATGAGGGATATAGTTGATTGGTTTCTCATCTTCTGGGGCCAAGATAACTCCTTTGGTTGTCTGTAGTTGTGTGAATAGCGATTGGTTCTTAGTTTCATATATTGTTGAAGTTTTTGTTAGCTTCTGCTGAAGGTTGAAAGATAAACAGTTCAATTTATTTATCTTGGTGCAAACATTATTATGCTTGTTTTCATTTGTTATACTCGACAACAAGATGTTAGGCCATTGTCTTGCAACTGAGTGAATGGATTTTCTTCTAATCTAAGAACTGGATGCAGAAAAAAAAATTGCTGCAGTATGTTGTCTCTTAATAGCGAACTGCATGGTGAAGCAGTCACATTAAAGTTCAAGCTTTCTGTCTCTTAGTATCCATCAGATTTGACATATTACCGATGATTGTAGTTATATTATGAATTGCTCTCATCAAGCTTGTTAGAAGTCTCATAGGTTATGTGATTGAGAAGATTAGCTTCATGAAATGTGAACAGTAAAGGTGTTCTTTGCTTATCTACTTCCTTTGTCCGTCTGCCATGGTGGTAATATGAAGTTGGGTCTTATAATGTGGAAGTTAAGAGTTAGATGATATGTGATTTATGCATTTCTTCACCATCAAATAACCACCCTTCTCTCTTGTTCCCTTCCTCTCTCTAGGTTGAGATCAAGAAGGCAGAACCAAAGAAGCCTAACCCACCAACTCCTTCGTTTAAACGTTATGGCGATTCAAGGTCAACGCCTCGTGGTGGATATGGTGATACCTATGGTGGACTCGGAGGCCACGCGTATGGAGGTGGTGGCGGCGGTGCCAATTTATACAGATCAGGTGGCGGTGCATATGGAGGCGGCAGGATGAGTGCTTATGGTGGTTATGGCGCTGGTGAATATGGTGGCGGAGGAGGATATGGAGGAGGGTATGGCGGTGGCCCTGGTGGTGGTGGCCCTGGTGGTGGTGGCATAGGAGGGCCTTACAGAGGAGAACCCTCTGTGGGATATTCAGGACGTTATGGCGGCGGAGGAGGAGGATACAGCAGAGGAGGTTACGATATGGGCGGAGGAGGTTACGGTGCTCCTGCCGACAGCTATGGCAGTGGGGGTGGTGGTGGGTACATGGGCGGTGCGCCTGGAGCTGCTGGTGGCTATGGAGCTGGTGGTTATGATGCTGGCCTTGGCGGAGGCTATGGGGGCGGTGGCAGTGCCAGTGGTGGAGGTTCGTTTTATGGAAGTAGAGGTGGGTATGGGAGCGGCAGTGGTGGGTATGGCGGCGGTGGCGGAGCTGGCGCTGGTAGGTACCATCCTTATGGAAGATAGAAGAGTGGTCTGTCGTGAGTTGAGAGATTAGTTGATTTGATTTGAGAAGAAGAAGCTCTGCCATCCGCCCAACTTTGTCAAATCTGTTTTAGCTTCGGAATATTCCAAAGTTACCGTCGAGTAGGAAAAGGGTGTTGTTGTATGTTTGTTCCTCCTACCCCGGAGAATTTTTTGCTTCTCTTTCTGAGTATACAGACTAGCTGGTAGTGTTGGTGATTGAATGGGACTTCTTTGTATCATTTGGGCTGTGATTTGTATTCTTTCACTTGCTCAATTGAGTTGAAAACCTTGCTCCTCTTTTGGTTTTAATCGAGTTTTCACTTCTTTAACCTCATTTTTAAACCTAGGTTGGCCCTTTGTTGTTAGTTTATCTAGTTCATCAGTTCATTCTTCAAGTTGTACACAACAACTTTTGTAAGAAAATGTTTTCAAAAGCTTATTTCTGTGCATAACGACGGCAGGAGCTGATGTGGTTAATGATGTTGTTTTGTTATTCGAAGGAGAAGTGGGGTGGAGTTTTGTGCAGTTCCCTGAGCTCCAAGTTGTCGATAGGGCAATGAGGAAAGCTCTGTTTCTTACTGCCTAGAGACGAAGAACGCTCCATGTTTGTTGAGGTTGCAGGTGCTATGCTTCACTTCTCGTTGATCAAGTGGCGAAGAAAGCTCCATATCTGTCGATATTTTGTGTTTGAATAACCATATTTGTTGAGATTGGAGTTGTGATACTTCATGTTTACTTGCAAAAATGTTGTTCTCCATTGCCAGAGGAGATGTAGATTATGGTTTCGCTAAACTGGAAGTTGCCGAGTCGTAGAAAAAAAAATGATTTTTTCTTCTCATTTTGGAGTCGTTGGGTTGGTCCAAAAGAGGGAAGGAAAGGGTTAAATACACATTTGGTCACTGAGATTACAAAATCGGAACATGTTTAGTCACTAGAAAAAGTTAATATCAAATTTGGTCATTACAATTACTAAAACTGGAGCCGTTAGTCTCCGTCCAACTCCGTTAATGAAGTATGTTAAGTGCTGATGTGGCAAACAGAATTGCCTAATCAGCCGGATATAACCCAACAAAAATAAAACCCGACCCGCCACCTTATTAAAACCAACCCAACCCATGACCCAACCCTACCCAACCCTTCTTCCTCCCACCTCGGCACCTCCCACCTCATTCTTTCCCCAAAACCACCGCCGCCGCCGCTCTCCTCCTTCCTCCCAACTCCTCCCGCAAACCAGTTCTGGCCCGACCCGCCCTACGGCGAGACAAGGACGGGGAGGTTGTAGCCGTCGACGAGGCTGACGTCGAAGAAGTCCTGGCCGTCGAGCTTGAGTTCGGCGAGCGTGGCGGGGGGAGCGGCGCCGGCGCCGGAGCACTCGACCTGGCCGGAGCCGCAGTCGCCGGTGATGCAAGAGAATTTGCCCGTGGAGTCCTCGGAGCAGTGGGTCCGGCCCAGAGGCGGCCGCCTCAGGAGGCCGACAGGGAGATGGTCCGGGTCTCGCCCTTCTGGAGCGCGAATCCGGTGGTGGGCAGCGGCGCCACGTCGGCGTTGGAGAGAATGCCCGGCCAGACCGTGTAGTCGCACTGGTTGGTGATTGTGATGGTTGTGGAAACGACGCTGGTTGGGAAGAAATTAGCAATACCCAGGATGAAGAGGAGTAGCAATTGAGGAATTAGAGGAGCCGCCATTGAATCAATGGAAAAGAAAAGAAGAATAAGAGTTGAAATAAGATTTTTTTGGAATTGGGAATGACAGAGGAAGAAGATGAAGGAAGGGCGGCAGATTAATGGCAGAGAGATCTTCTCCCCGCCCAGCGAATTTGGATGGGATGGGGAAAACCCTAAATTGGGTTCGGCCGGACTTCAACAGGAGGAATCTTGACGATTACCCTTCAGCAGGTCGAATAGGTTTGTGGGAGGAGGTGGGAGGAAGGAGAAGAGCGGCGGCGGCGGTGGTTTTGGGGAAAGAAGGAGGTGGGAGGAAGAAGGGTTGGGTCATGGGTTGGGTTGGGTTGGTTTTAATGAGGTGGCGGGTTATAATGACGTGGCGGGTCGGATTTTATTTTTGTTGGGTTATATCCGGCTGATTAGGCAATTCTGTTTGCTACATTAGCACTTAACGGACTTCATTAACGGAGTTGGACGGAGACTAACGGCGAGTGACTAAATACGTCCAGTTTTAGTAATTGTAGTGACCAAATTTGATATTAAATTTTTCTAGTGACTAAACATGTCCCGATTTTGTAATCTCAGTGACCAAATGTGTCTTTAACCGGGAAGGAAAAGAAGAAACAGAAAAGTATCCGAGTATTTTTTTTTCTGGCCTTCGTTGTTCCTCCCTGTGTCCCTCACACGGTTTCGTCTGTCAAGCGAGAGCGCAGAACCACAGATCGACGGGGGGAATCCGGCGGCAAAACAATCAGAGGTTGAACATAATGGCAATGGCGTTGTCGTGGAATCATCTCAGTGCCTATCAGAAGGTTTCACCTCAATTTCCTTTCACCGTTTCTCAAGATTGCTGCTCTCTGCGTCTTGTATTTTCCCGCCGGCGCTCGATTCTGCTTACTCAATGCATCGTCGTCCTGATTTCGGAAACTATGTCGTCGCGCAGGCACCGTCATCTCTCCAAGTAGTGTGCAGAAGGAAGGAACGAGATAGAGGAGGAGATCAAATCCATCCTTACAAAGTCATCGAGATCACTCCGCCTCCTAAGAACCTCGGCGTCCGCTGCTTCCCTCCCGTAAGTCTCCCAGAAATCCGATGAAGTTTGTTTTGAATTGAATCCGTTTCCCATCGCTTGTTGAATTTAGAACTTCCCTAGACTGAATTGCCCTCACTGTAAGTGCACTACCAAAACGCTCCTAAATTTGGCGAGAAAATGATTCCATGATTCATCATCCATGGCTTCTGAAATTCTCCATTGTTGATGTTTTAGTGCGTTTTCCCAGAATACTTTGCCGCCTGCTGAATCGGCTAAGGGGAATTATCATTGTTCAAGCAAAAACCCAATTGAATAAACTAATGCGGTGTCAACTTGTTGCGTGGATATGAGTTAATTAAGCTGACCAGAGACTGAGAATCAAAACAAAACTAGGGTTAGATTAGGTTACAGAGAGTGTGTGTGAACATACAGAGAAAGAACCAAAGTCCTGCTGGGTGAAATCTTGCCAGCCATGTGGACAGATTGGCAGATCTGTGCCAACTAAATCTGGTCTAAAGCTTGGAACTCATGTGCTTTGTATATTGACATTGTTAAATAATAATAGGCTATTGTACTGCATTTTTCGTGCAGATGCTTTAGCTCCCCTTGAATTAGAAATGATTAGCTAGCTGGAGTCAATGTTCAGAGGGGGAAGAACATTTATCCTTCTTGAATCCCTAATCTTTAATCGATTTGCAGACCAGCAAGGACAGAATTGACCAATCTCCATTAATGAGGCAAAAACTGAAGGGTGTAGGACAAACATGTCTTTCTGATGCTTCTGTTCTTCTGCTGTGGGGAGGGCAGCACAGAAAAATTGATGCCCTAATAATTGAGGACATCACAACTCATTAGATGGATAAGGTTGGGGGGAGCATTATTGTTTGGTGTATCACTTTTCTAGCCTGCTGTGGGGGAAGTGGGTTCTTCTGTTTCTGGTGCTGAAAACCTACAGATATCTGAAGGAAATATGTGGTTCTCCTCCTAGCTGATTGTTGTTTTAGGTACTAACTTAGGCACATTGTAAATACCTAGTTGTGGAATATGCCTTTTTTTCTTCTTACTGCATCAGACTAGACTACCCTAGAAGTCAGTTTCTCCAAACAACATTTTGACTGTGGTCCATCTAGTAAATGACAAAACATAACTGTTTTTCCTCTGTTGTTGGCTTTGTATCTAGCAGAACCTGCAGTGTGGGGAGAGTGTGACGATTGAAGGGCAAACATACACGATATCGTCGGTCACTCATCGGTACCAGCTCCGGAAGGGGAAGTACGAACCCAGCGAGAAGAGGCTTGATGTTCTGTCCACAGGGAGATACATCTTGAACCTGTATCTCGAAAATTTGCTTGAACAATCTTGACCAGCCGGCTATCCATCCAACCTAATCCTCTTTGACCAGCATTATGTTTAGCTCCAAAACCGACTCTCAAGCCTGAATATGCCGATCTCTTATTTATCTTAGCGCTGCACAAAGCTCGTGAGGAACTTGTTTATAAGATTGAACTCTCCCTAAGCATTGCAAATCTGCTAGCTTCATTTGTATCCAGCAGCAGCTGAGTACCCGGTAGCAATATCTCGGCTATCAGGTCCATCTTTTGTAATCCATAAGACTGTTAAGACTGTACCATATCTATCATCAGGAAGCGTACATTGTCAATCATCTGAAGTATCTTGTACCGCGCATAGAATCTTGTAACGATATTTCAATGTGTTTAGGGTGCTTGCTTTCTCTTACGACTTAAACGCGCAGCTCACTCTCTTGCCCGTCTGATGTTCTGTGTTGTAGGCAAGGAAGGAGTTAGTTAAGGGCACCGTTTGGTGGTGAGAGGTCTTGGCTGGCTGGCAATGGATGATGGTGGGACTGGGACACTGAGGTGAGATACGAATACGATTGCTTTGTCTGCATGATGATTTGTTATGTGTTATTATCTCTTCCCAGATTTTTTCCACTGCAATTTGCATGCTATATTATGAAAATGATTTGTCTCGGACATGCTTTTTTGAGGGCCTTTTTTGCATTAGGCCGATTGATGGGTCGATTCATTTTTGTGTGTGGAGATTGAGGTTTTCGTCCCCACAGACTTTGGAAGCATGTCTATGGTTGTTTGTTCTTCTCTCTGATATCTGACCCGGACCCGGGTCATCGTAGGGTCGCGCTCGCTCCACGTGGTCGAATCTAAGAACGTAGACATGGACGAATGGCTGAGATGGCAGGAGGATCAGTACACGGAATGGAAGGCACCCGTACCGTTTGATGTGAAAATGGCGGGAGGGACATGAAACAACACAACCACCATAGATGCTGCTGCCTAAGCCTAACCTCTGCCCTACACACTACAATTGCTTTGCCCTGAGTGGGTCCAACCTTGAACCGGACCCTTCCTTGGTTGGATCATGGCATTGGCACCAGCCCAAATCAGGTTGAATGATTCCTTATGGGGTTGGAATCAGGTAATGGTTTATAGGATGGCGTGTTTCGTGATTTATGGTCATTGGATGTTCGCGTAAATGTGTGGTTCAACGGTTAGATCGTAATTGGATTGATGGTATATTTAGTTATGTGCTTGTTTTATTGGTTTTGGTTAGATTGAGTGATTTGGCTACACGGGTTAATACAGGTCGTGACTCAATCAAGTTACTAATAGTTTGATGGTTGTAGGAAAAGGTCTAGAAAGCTCGATTAAATTTGAAAGGAAAGAGATAGTTGTATTGCTGATATAAAATCATATCATTCAAGAGATAAAACTTGTACTTACTAATAAGCTACATATGCATACTTATATATTGAAGCTACATACGGACTATGCAAAACTAAGATCGAGGGCGAAAACATAAGGAATGAAACTTGACCAAAAGGATGACATATATTCTATTCAGTCAGAGATTTCATCATTGTGGCACAAGAATAGTGCTAACTCTAAAATCACTCGTTTATCATTTTTTGTGTTTGTATATTAAGATGTGAATAAAAATTAATAATTGTTTAAAATTTATTGTATTCATTAAAAAAATATAGTCATTGTTATAGTCATAAAAGAAATATAGCCATTGTTATCGATGGTCAGTGCCCAAATAAAAACCAGGCAGTAAAATTTGACCGAATCGAAATACCAGAGTGTATGAGTCGAAGTAAAAAAAATGTCATTAGGAGCAAAAGAAAAAGGTTAATGAAAGGAGGTTAGTTTAATAAACTTTGTTTAGGGGGGGCGCATTGTAATTTGCATCATAAGATGCGCCGGGGAAGGAAGCGCCAGCCGGCCACGTGCTACTGCCGGGCTCTATTCACGTGCGTCCATGTGAGCCCTTCCCCTTCCTCCCAACGAGGTTCCAATTTTCGTACCATTTCTCTTTTATGTATTTGTTGTTCTTACGGTATTTTCCTTTCACAATATTACCATGCAAAATCATCACAATATTAGAAGCTAATTATGTGTTGCAATAATTAATTTAGATGACCAATGCTTTTCTCCGGTGCAAACTTAGTTCAGTATTAATCACCAATTAATTTGGCAGGCTTGTAGGCTGTTGGTATGAGTACGTCGCATTTTATGTCTCTGCTTCTTCAAAACTACGATTACAACAAGTTTGTTGCTAGTATGAACATAACCAAACAAAATAAATGATTAGTCGTCGGTCGAAATTCGCACGCGTTGTGCTGATGCTTCAGCAAGAAATGATTGCTCTTTGAACCTAGAAGATAGGGGAGGACGGGATTAGATTGGCTTCGGGTAAATGTTGATGAAATTGTTGGATTGAGTAAAGAGTTTGATTTTGGATAAGATACAAGTTAGTCCTTGTCGAGACACTCGTGCCCGTATACATCATGTGATAAATACCACATTTTTTCATTATTCGTTCAAATGAGATTGTGGGATAATTTGGATCGAAAATTAGACATAAATAGAATAACTAATAAAATGATTGTTATGCTGATTACTTCAGACGTCAATAATAAATTTATTAAAAAAGGAAAACGTTAGGTACTAATTCATTAGTGACGCTAAGTTAAGTGGCCACTCTGTAATAATGGCTTCACTTGTTTGGACTTTGGAGTGGGGAAGAAAAAGTCGAAGAAAACGCAAAAAACGGCTATTGTATTGCAATGGATTATTGTATTAATTCCTACATCTCCACCACATTGAATTAGCAAAGCAAATAACACCATTATCGTTAAACACTGATTAGTCAGCTCTTTATCTCTCTCTCATTAAGGGCCACTAATCTCGTTTTTGTTATTGATAAACTTTCTTAATATAGTTTCAACAAGAAGACAATCACGGATAAGAAATAGTGGAATACATTACTCGGTATATTTGTTTAGAACTTTAGATTCCCAGGAATTAATTAAAAGGAAGGAAAAAAAAAACTGAAGTTCTTACTCAATTAATTGCCTGAATTATCAGATTCCTTTCAGGAACCAGTAGCCAAAAGCTCTGATTTGTCAGTCTCCCAACGAAGAAAAGAAAAGATAAACTGCTTTTTCCACTAGAAAAGATGATTACTTTCTTGCGGGAATAGATATATAATAATGTTCTTTCCCCCCTTCTCATTTATATGTCAAAGTTAATCATTTTCCATATAATTCAACCCTTTTTTCTCTGTGATTTGTTCGTTTTCTCTCTCGGCCAAGTGCCAGCAGCCAGTCGGGCTCTCTTCTCTTTGCCTTGGCGATCTGATCTGAAAGAAAGAAGAGAAGAACAAAAGGGGTTTCACTTTCTCCTCTTTCTCAGTTGGGTTTTGGGCCTTTTGAGGCAGCAGCCGCTGCGAGTGTCGATTCTTGAGATTTCTCTCTCTCTCTGCCTATTTCCTTTCGCTTCCTCTTCTGCTTCTGCAGTTCTGCCATTTGGGTGTGCTTGTACAGTCATGCAAGATTGCTTCTTTCTGCACTCCTACCCTTGCATTTCTGGCTGCTGCTCTCTTCTCCTGCTTCAAACCAGGTAAAGCCTTTTCTTGGGCTACTGTTTGGTACACAATAAGGGGTTTCTGTGTGTAAAGTTCGCAGCTTTTGGTTTGTTCTTCATGTCTTGACTGCTACATTCTTGTTCTACTCCTCTGGAATCTGAAGGGTTGTTTTCTGTTTCCTGTGTGCGTGAGGAAGGTCTATTTTCTGTGTGTGAAGAAAGCAATGACGATTTCTTGGTGTTTTGTGCGTTTAATTTGGGATATCTTGCTGAAAGAGATAAAAAGGGGGACTGGTTTTTGGATTGTCTTCATTGCTTGCAAATATCATATGCCGTAGTCTTTTACAGTATCAATCCTCGACTTGTGTTCTATGTTTCTATCTTGTTTCCACCGATTGTGGGTTGGACTTTGTTTCTCTATTGTGTCACCAGTCCATCAATAATTCATCATCAGTGATCGGATCTCTTAGGGGGTATATTTCTATTATCCTAAGCAGCAGTAATGTGGATCTGCTCCAATTTTCTCTTTGAGGGAAGGTTTTATTTTGTCCCACTTGATTTTGTCTGGTACAGGAATCCTAGAAATTGTAGCGTTCCCTTGATTTGTTTTTTTGGGTGGCAGTGAATGAATGAGTACAATTAGTCGGTTGCAGTTTAAAATCCTCAGGATATACTCTTTGTTAATGGCTACAAGCTCTAGCATCTCATATAATCAATCAATCCCTTTGTGTTTCAGTTCTGGTTTTTGAGTTACTGCTCCTCCCTCCATGGCGTCATTGGTTGATGATGGAGGAGTTTGCCCTTCAACAAAAACCAGCAAGAAATCATCTGTTCCAAGAGTCCCCAGTAGCCCTCCTTTGAGCTCCTGCTCAACATCTCGGTCTCAGCCTTCTAAACAGATGTCCTCATACTCTAATGGTTATATGGATCATGCGATGAAGGGTGGTTCTGATCAAGGATTCGACGAGCCATCCCACAAAACTGCCAAACATTTCTTCAGCTCAAGTAGTAAGGAACAAGAGCCGGACTTCACTATGCCATCTTCTACTGTTGATAAGAAGGATTCAGTGTTAGTAGTAGAGTCCACTTGTGATGATCACGAGACGTCCACTACTACTACTTCAGATGGCTCAATCGAATCTGGAACAGATTTGGGCAGTGGTCAGAATAACAACAACCGTGCACCTTTGCCATCTCGACCTGTTGGAGGCCTTTGTTCGAGCCCTTCAAATAGCGTCTACACAGGCACATTGTATGCAGAGGCGAAACAGAGCTTCACCAACAGTGAAGAAGCGAGCACAAACATCGAGAGCAGGAAGACTAGCAGCATCTACAGAGCCAGCACAGGGAGTGATGTCAGTGACGAGAGCAGCACGAGCAGTTTGAGCAGCAGCACATTGTACAAGCCTCACAAGGCAAATGGTGATGTGAGGTGGGAAGCAATCCAGGCTGTCAGGGCCCATGTTGGAGGAGCTCTCGAGCTGAAGCACTTTCGAGCTGTGAAGAAGCTCGGGTGTGGGGACATAGGTAATGTTTATCTTTCCGAGTTGACCAGCACCAGGACGTATTTTGCAATGAAGGTCATGGATAAGTCGTGTTTGGCGGCTCGGAAGAAGCTTCTGAGGGCCCAGACGGAGAGGGAGATTCTGCAATCGCTGGATCATCCGTTTTTGCCCACTTTGTATTCTCACTTCGAGACCGAGAAATGGGCTTGCTTGGTGATGGAGTTCTGCCCTGGTGGTGACCTCCATTCCCTCAGGCAAAGGCAACCTGGAAAGTTCTTCCCTGAGCATGCTGCCAGGTTCGTATTCGTTCCCCTTAATTGGTCTTTTTGCTGTTTCTCTCCTTAGTTATTATATAAGTAACTTAGCTTCTGCCTTAGAAAATCTGGTCTTTTGCTGAAAAAGTAAATAGTCTCGGAAACAAAACCAGTATATTGTGTATTGTACTTAATATACACAGGAATTGCATTACACAATAGTTCATGTTTTCTTTTCTCTGCATCACTATAGTAGATTTTCTGATAGATTTGTGCTTCCCCAGTTGAAAAGCTTCTCAGAATCAGTGCCCTTCTTGCTTAATTTCTCTCTCAGAATCAGTCCCCAACTTATTTCAACCTAGCTTCTGATGCAGCTTATTAATGAACCATTAGTCGACTGAGCTCTATATCATCCTGCTTCTTCACAAGATTGCCTTATTCATTTCTGAGCTGTGTGAATGAAGTTTACTGTGTATTTGTGCAGGTTCTATGTTGCAGAGGTCCTCCTTGCTATGGAGTACCTGCACATGCTTGGGATCATATACCGAGACCTGAAGCCTGAGAATGTCTTAGTACGAGAAGACGGCCACATCATGCTCTCAGACTTCGACCTCTCCCTCAGATGTGCTGTCTGCCCAACTCTCGTCAAATCGTCTAAACCCAACTCAACCGTCGACTCCAAGAACTCTGGATACTGTGCTCAGCCGTCCTGCATCGAGCCCACCTGTGTGATCCAGCCAGACTGCATTCAGCCAGCCTGCTTCGGACCACGGTTCATGTCTAAAAAGAAGAACAAGAACAAGAAGAGCAGCAGCACCAACAGTAACAGCAAGTCGAGGCACGAGGTGAATCATCAGGTGAACCCACTCCCAGAGCTGATGGCGGAGCCCACCAACGCACGATCCATGTCGTTCGTGGGGACCCACGAGTACTTAGCACCAGAGATCATAAAGGGGGAAGGACATGGAAGCGCTGTGGACTGGTGGACTTTTGGGATATTTCTGTATGAGCTGCTGTTCGGCAAGACTCCGTTTAAAGGTGCTGGGAATAGGGCCACGTTGTTCAATGTGATCGGTCAGCCATTGAAGTTCCCTGAAACTCCCAGTGTGAGCTTTGCTGCTAGGGACTTGATCAGAGGGCTGCTTGTGAAGGAGCCACAGCACAGGCTTGCTTATAGACGGGGAGCTACCGAGATCAAGCAGCATCCTTTCTTTCAGAGCATCAACTGGGCACTGATTCGGTGCACTAGCCCTCCTGAGGTGCCAAGGCAGGCCATGGCGGACATATTGAGAGCCGAGAAGTTGGCGGCTGCGACGGCTGGTGGTGGTGTGAATGGAGGAGTTGGTGGTGGGAATGTGGATGTGAAGCCTGCAGGTAATTATTTGGACATTGATTTCTTTTGAGTTGTGCTGTTGTAGAGTTGGGGCTTGTTGCAGCATCCTCTGATGCTGCTGATTGATGATGATCAATTGTAATGTGGGTGTCCTTTTCTCATTGGGGAGAAAATCAGGCTATATGAAAAGGGAAGAGAACCTGTGAAGGAATGGGGGGAAGATTGTGGGAGGGGGTAGTGATGGATGGAATGAACGTGTAATCAGCTTTCATCTCAATGCAAAACACACATCCATTGTGGTTGGAATTAGGTGTTTGGTTAGGTTTCAGACTGTCACAAAATGTTCATCTATGTGCTCAATTCAATCAATTGGTTCATGGAATGAAATACCAGTGCAAAGTAATCACCTATTTAAGCTTTCATTAACCACATATGAGGTCTAATATATCATTAGAAAATCCAAGCATGAAGCCTCAAATCATTGCCATTTTGCATGTGATTTGGATGCTTGGCCAACTCGGCTTGTCCAAGAATGGGAACTCGAGTGGTTTCATAGCTGTCCTTTAATCCCAAGCCCAAAAACAATTGCCAAATTTTTTGGTTGGCTGATTCCCCAATCAAGATTTCAGATATTAAACACTTTTACTTTACATCGGAATTCAGCATCGAGTCTAATCCCAATAATTGACCCACATGGCAAGCTTTTAATTTTTTTTTTTTATAACTGGCAAGCTTTTAATTAATTAGGACCCAGATAGATTTTTTTTAATTATGATTCAGTACATGTGTGTTGTGGCGCATCAAATAGCAAAATCTTATATTTGAGAACCAAACTTAAATTGATCTATGATTTTAAATTTCTATTTCTAAATCAGGGGAATGTCATTTCACGACGATGGCCTAGCCGTGAGATGCCTAATAAGCACGCCTCAATCCTTCTTTTTTTTTTCTTTGACAATAAAGGGTATGATATTGCATATCACTTGGTTGCGGTTACAACATGGGGTTACAACAAAGGGAAAAGAACATAGAGCACAGTAGCCCAGTCAATGGGGAGGCAATCTCCAGCACATGATCTAGTAACTCAATCAGCTTTGACATTGAAAGAAAGCTTAACATGAGAAACTTTGGGTTCGTTTGCTTGTTGGATTTGAAAATGAGAGTTGAGGTTTAAAAACTTTTGGATTTATGATAGATTTTTTGCATTATGGATTTGGAAGAGTTCATTGTTTGTTTGGTTAATTTTTATTAGGGTGCGTTGGGATACAATGATTTGAATTTGGTATTTGTGATTTGGATTTCCAAATACCAAATCATGTGTTTGGATATTAATTACATTTGGTATTTGGATTTGTGTCAAATTCATGGGGTGATTTCCAAATACATGTCTAGTGTATTTTTTGTCAACTTCAAATACATTTCAACAACTAGTGATTTGAAATACCTCCTAACAAAAGAATGGACCTATTTGTAAAATATGAAAAGTTTAGGTACTATAGTGAGAGGCAAAAAATATAAAGGTACCAAAATGTAATTTTACCATCAAAATTTCAGGACCTTTTTGTACAATTTTAAAAATTTAGGTACTAAATTGTAAGAAAAAATAAATTTGGGTACCAAACTGTAATTTACGAAAATTTGTAGTAATTGACCAGAAAATTAAAAATTGAAAGTGAAAATCATAAAATAAAAATACAAACAAATTACAAATGAGCATCCAAACAATGAATTTGAATTACATGTATTTCAAATGCTAATATTTCAAATACATCCATTTCAAATGCTAGTATTTCAAATACCTTACATTTAAAATACACTTATCCAAACGCACCCTTATGGATTTATCATTGATTTGTTTCACAACTTTGATTTATCATTAATTTTTATTATGGATTTATCATTAATTTGTGTCTCTTAGCAAACAATGGAGTTGTCCCAAATCCATGATACTTGGGATTTGGCTGCCAAATCCATCACCCAAATACCACAAGCAAACGATACATTTGATCAACGGATGACGAAAGAGGATGTCTCTCGTGACACCTAACCAAGCAAAGGTTCTCCAAGGCCATCGCGAAGGAGCCGCTTGCAAGGCTTTCATGATGATCAAGCAATCCATCTTGATAAGGTAGTGAGATTCAAGCTGACTTGCCAATAAAATGCCTTCCAACATTGCTTTTGCTTCCGCTATTTCACAACAAAAACTTGTTATTTTCACGAATATAATGTCAGATCATATCTTCTAATCGATAACTGCAAAGTCATTACTCCAAATTACAATAAATGCTATTTATGGCCGGGGAGATCCCAAAACCTTGTCGTTGGGGAGGACCAGCCACTCTAATCCAATCCAAATATCAATTTAGTCCAACCTATCCTTTCTTCACCCATAATAAACCTAAAATTAGACGAGTTGGCCAAAAGAACAAGCAATTGTCCATGTGGTTTATATATCACCCATTGTTGGGCCTGGCGAGTATCCATATCCTCAAAAAATCTTCTCTTTCGGTGTACAAAGCCCAGCCCGAGTTTGTAATACCTACGTGGAAATGCTCTCTGAATTGTAACAAACTGTTGCCTACGTGGACTGTTCGCTGTAACAAACTGTGTAACTAGTCGCTTGACTTACGGCTTACCTCCTCCCTCCAATTTTCAAATGGGACCCACCCCATCCTCTCTCACTCACGCGCGAAAACGATTTTCTTACCGCCAATTTTTCTAATTTTCTTAGATCTATTTCCCACGATCCAGGAATTAAAAATATCCCACGTCACCGCCACCCGTACCCATTCCCAGAGCGCCACGTCATTTCCTCGCATGCAACCGCCACTGCACTGCAGCATTTCCCCTACTCCAGTCAGTAACGTGCTGTTCACGCGCATCCCCTTCCGTCTCTTTCTCTCTCCTTGCCGTTTCTTCGCCACACGCGCCTCCCCTTTCCTTGCTTTTCTTGCGCTTTCACCGATGGCGAAGACAATTTTGTAAGAAGAAAAGAAAATTTAAAATTGAAATATTATGCGCATTGCGCAACCCTGCTGCCGCTCCTTTAAATACGTCGCTGTCACTCTCCTCCTCCCCCACTCATCATCGTCTCCGAGCCTTCCCCATTTCAACCGTCTTCTCTGCTCCCTGCGTTCTTATCCAGCAAAAACCCTAATTCGTTCTAAAGCGAGCTTCAGCCGAGGATCTTCGATGGCGGAATCGGACAACGTTCCTGATGCTGGTGCGGCTGCGGCGGCGGCCGTGGAGGTGGAAGCGGGAGCCGTGGTGGTGACGTACGAGGAGCCGGACGAGGAGAAGTTCGGGTTCAGCCGTCCGGAGATGTACAAGGAGAAGCTCGCCGGGACCGTCGATGCTTACGACCGTCACGTGTTCCTCTGCTACAAGAACCGCGAGTCGTGGATGCCTCAGGTCGAGAAGACCGAATTCGATACCGTGCCGAAGCTGATGGCCGCTGCTATCCGAGCTCGCAAGAGCGAAATCACAGTCAAGGTATCGATTCCGATTCCTTCCGGCTTGAATTGATTCTATCTCTTGTTCGATTTTCTGCTTTGGTAGTTTCTGATTTCGGCGTTTGATCGGGTTTCTGTTTGGGCAGACCAAGGTTACCACGTGCGAGACACGTGTGGAGGCGGGGTTCGAGGAAGGAGATGTGCTCATATTCCCTGATATGGTCAAATACAAGTGAGTTTCGTTTCCCTGTTCGAATTTATCGATTTCGAGCATTTCTGTGTTCATCGGAGCTGCGTCTCGGCTCTAGAATGTTTCTCATTTCCTCGCGCCGCCGGCGTACTACCGATCACGATGACTAGCTTCTCCAGCCGAGTCTTATTAATTTTAGTCTACTACTTCTAGCGAATTTCCCAGTGACTTGTGCGATGCCCAGAATTGTGGGGGTTCTTGTGTGTATTTGATGAATTGATGATTCTCAGGGATGGATTTTGATTGATTAAGGGGTTTTGTGATATTTTTTTCGGAAATCAGGGGTTTGAAGGAATCGGATGTTGATGGTTTCGTTGACGATGTGCTTGTGAATGGGAAACCATGGGCTTCTGGGCTGGCAGAGTCGTTGGCTGGGTCTCATATCTTTGTGTGTGCTCATGGGAGTCGTGATAAGAGATGTGGTGTTTGTGGCCCTGTTCTGATTGACAAGCTCAATGAGGATATTGAGGCTAGAGGGTTGAACGATCAAGTGTTTGTCAGTGGTTGCTCACACATTGGGGGCCATAAGTATGCAGGCAACGTGATTGTATACGGATCAGATTCTGAGGGCAAAGTCACTGGACACTGGTGAGACTTTTGGATCATCCAACCTGCATATCTCTTTTGCCGTGGTGTAGAGAAATTGAATGGAGGGTAGTGTTTAACTGAATCTATTGCTGCAGGTATGGCTATGTTACTCCTGAGGATGTGCCTGAGATTCTTGATCAGGATATTGGAAAGGGGGAGGTGATAGAACGTCTATTCAGGTTTGTGAGCTTGTGCTTACTTCTGATCTGTGCATGCTTTCCTTCTATCCTGTGCATTCTTGCAATGACTATAATTAGGTAGTATATAAAAAGCATTGATCCTTGAGATATTAGCTGTGAGTCTGTATCCACCTTGTGGTGTATAGAAGAGCCACTTTGTTTCCTACTTTTAGCTTCTGTTCTCTAAACCTAAAGCCTGGTTTAATCTACATATTTTACTTCTATCCTTTGCATTCTTGCAACCAAGTATAAATTGGTATGATAGAGAAAGAAGATGCTTGAGATATCAGCTGTGAGTCTCTATACACCCTGTGATATCTAAAAGAAGTATTATGTTTCCTAGTTTGAACCTTTTGATATACTTGAGCTTCTGATTCTGCTGAATTAAACAATCTTGTTCTCGCACAAACTTCTTTCTGGGTTTGCATGCTCACTACGGATTGTGGCACATCGTAGACAGGACCTTGATACTGATATGAGATTATATTTTTCCTTCAATGTGTCTATCTTCCAATAGGTACTGATAAATGGTGCATGATACTCAATGTACCAAGTTTAATTTCATGGAAATTTCTTTCTTGTCGCATGGTATTTGGAATACTAGCAAATATGTACTTTCAATATAAACTCCTTTGTCATCCATCATATGGTGATTTGGAAAACTGATAAATGCACACATTGCAAATGCAGGGGCCAACTTGGTGCTCCAGTTGAACTCGAGAATGCAGTAGCAAATGAGAAGGTGGTTCCTAATGGAGAAGCAGCTCATGAAGCCAAGAAGCCCAGCACCAATGGAGAAGCAGCAACTGAAGTTATGACCAGCACTCAGGTGGTGAACAAGGACACTGCACCGATCAGTTGTTGCCAAGGTGTCAACGGTATCTCCTGCTGCCGAGAAGTGAACACCGAACCAAGCGAGGAAACCAAGAAGGAAACCACTGAGAAGAAGAATTGCAGTGTTGGGAGTAAGGTGACAGACTGGATCCAATCACTTGATCAGAGCGACATCCTTGCAGGTGCTGCCGTGGTGGGAGCAGTAGCAACCATAGCAGTGGCCTACAGCATCTACAGAAGGTCAGGCAAATAATGCCGCTGAATTTCCACTGTTTGAAGTGTTGTTTGTTGGTGAGGAAAGAGGGATGATACTCTGGGTTTTGTTTTTGGTAGACTGGTTTTAAAAGAACTGGAACAGCAGGTTTAGAATAAGATTGTCCACGTAACTTTACTTTCAGTAATGTGAGCAGTAAGAACACATTCAATGGTTTTGAATTAAGGTGGTGGGATTATGTATGTATTACCACCAACAGTAACTTGAACAGGTTAAAAAGATATAGCTCTTCCTCTGTTACCGCTCTTTGGTTGCCGTATTCACTTGTTCCGAACATAGATTGATACACATAATGGTTTGGTGAAAGACTATTATATTTGAATTTCATGCTGCTGGTGTTTTGGTTTGTTTTGATTTGGGTTTGTTGGTCCATTTCTCTACTTATAAGTTATAATAACTAACTAGCTTGCTAGCCACTACTCGCATTCATATGTTGCTGTTTAACCAGTACGGTGGGTTGATGATGAGGTTAGCTGGCGAAGACGACAATTTAGATGAGGTTAATCATAGTTTAGCCGTTCTAGACTACAAATTAATTGCAAATAACATTGTGGTGAGGAGCTAGTACGATAGGTTGGCCATGATGAAAGTATATCGAAAGTGTATTATGTTGGTTTTGTCGTGTCTAGGAAGAGTGCACATCCATAGCTCAGGTTAGCAACCATATCTTCTCCGCTCCTAGCAGATCCAATTAATCTCTGTTTTATGTACAAATGCAGGAATCCCAATTCCCTTAAACCCTCCGGTCAAAAGAAAAAATCACTAAAATCCCGGCCATTCCAGCTCCATTAAAGCTCAGTTACAGCAAAGCCACCATGAATCACAGGAAGAAAAAGATTTATTAAGTTTTGAAATAAATAATAAAATGATGGTTTTTTAGCCGAGAGGGAATAATAAGACGTTGGAGAAGAGAGTAAAAAAAAAAAAACCCAACATAATAAAAAACATTGGTTAAGATTTATTAAGTTGCCCTGATTCATAGAAAGTGAATTTGATGGGACTTTTGAGTCAGAGGTGTTGTATTTGACTGACTGATTACTGAGCACAGTACCTGACTTGCTTGGTTAAAACTTAAAAGGCGAATCTAATTTTTACTTAGATTGGGTGGTTGGGCCGCGGTTATTATTGGGCTAAAGCGGTACGGGTGGCTGTTGGGGGTTGAATGCGACGAAATAACAAAAGACGAAACGAGATAAGCGACGGAGAGAGAGAGGGTTACCCTTATGCTTTTGCTTCTGCTTCCTCCCTCCCTCCTCTGCCTCCTCTCGAATCCAATCTTAACCAATCCTTAATGTGTTCTTTGAAGCCTTCTCATCAATGGATCAAGGTTTTGGATTGCTGTTGGTTCAGTTTCGATGTAATTCAGTTTCCGAGCAGCAGCAGCCGAACAACAGTAGCATGGTTCTTTTGTGTTGAGGAGAACTGGGATCCATCTTGATATGGAAAAGAAAAAACAGATTGATGATTTTCATCATATGGGAGATACGATGGATCCCTTATTGGTTTGTGTTCAGTTCCGTTCATCCTAAAGTTTAGTCCTTTCTTTTTTCCCTTCCGCCTCTCGAAAGTACTTAATTGATTGTTCTCTTGTTTTGATTAGATCTGAAGATGTTAAGAAGGTGAAGTGACTGATTGAATCCAATAGGATGGGTATCTCATATGATATGGTTACCCTGTCATTGGTTTGTGTTCAATTCATTCACCCTCATCCCTCCTCCCTTAAGGTGAGTCCATTTTTCCTATTGAAGAGCTTTCATTCCCTCTTGTTTTGGTAAGATCCATGGCGTGAGGAAGGTGAATTGGTAGGTCTCCAATGGGTTTTGTGTTGTTCTTGTGTTTCCGGAGGATAAAGTTGCTGACTTTTGATTCAATCTCCAAAAACTGGCTCTTAGGGCTTTTGGTCAGAGCCTCAAAGTTGGCTCAGATCTGGGTTTGGGTTGTTTATGACAAGAGGTTTGTTCTTCTTGCAGTCAACTCATTCATTGATTGATTCTATGCAATGAAATGACCATTAGGATGGTTGTAAAAATGAAGTAGGTCTTTGCGCATCATTACGGTTTGCACTTGGTTCAGGTTTCTTATCTATCAGGAGGGAGGACTGATGAGATGATATGAATTTAATTTTGTAGACTCTGGAGATCAAGAAGACTCTATTCTACTACCAGCCGAGAACCAGGATGATTGCTGCCTGATCTCTCTTACCGACAGCTTGTAGTAGTCATGGATCAATAGCATCAACCTAACTGGCAGGCCAAGGTTTTTCATCAAACCTCAGGTTTTGTGTTTCTGGTGGACATAGAAATCTTGGGGTAGTGTTTGAGAGAGAACACTGATAAGATAGGTGTGCTATGTTTGCCAAAGGAAGTACATGCCTTTGCTACTGAAGTCAGGTGGTTCACGTTAAGATTCCAGTTATAGTTGTCATATCATACTTACAACAAAAGAAGGCACGGCATTTCATAATCTCAACAGAAGGATAAACCTTTATACTTCAATAGCAGAGAAATGGCATTCAGAAAGAAAGAATCTCAGCTGACAAGGAAAGTGAGCTTAGTTTGCAAGGATGGAGAGCATTGCCTAGGTCCTCATCATTCATTTTCTGGGGTAAGCTGCCATATGCTTCAGTCTCAGCTTTTCATACATCAGCAGAAACACCTGATGAGGTTTTACTCTGAAGCAAAGAAGTAACCCCTTCTTGAGAAGCAGCCTGAGTTATGCATTCGAATTAAACCTTGGTTCTAACTCGATCGTGCTGGATGTCACGCACCAGTTTGGCCTAAATATGGTGCCTCATTCATTATTGGAAGGTAGGTTGCTGAAGCATACCCTACCGAAGCAGATGTTTCATGTCCTCTCTTTAATGAAACCCCGGTTGGAATTCTGAGTTGCATGTTGGTTTGGTTTTGGATTTCTAATTCGACAAGGTTTCTGTTTTGGGGTTCTGTTTCCAGGAGGGAGATGGCTTATAAACCAAGAAACAGAGTAGCAAGGAAGTTACAAGTGTTCAAATGGTGAAAGGAAAAGAAATTACAATTCATTGCGAGTTTGATTAAGGTATATCCTCTTTTTGTTTCAGCAGCTGCCTCCTCTCCCTTTCGGATACATGCTTTTCATAATCCATATTGTGGAAATTACCTGAATTTATAACTAGTCTTAACGAGTTGTCTTTATAAAGGAAATCTTCATTAATTCTGTGAGGATAATTAGTTTTGAACTCATACTGTATAGTTATACAAGTTTATTAAATGTTAGATGATCTACTTAAATTGATATGAAGGTCGTTCTCTAAGTGGCTAGTATTAGAACTAGTCATTCTCTTGACCAGGTCCAACATGTTAGAACCATTTTTTCTTGTCTACAAACTTTTGAACATCATATTCGGAAACCTTTGGTTTTAACGTTACTTCTCTTTCTATCATATCTAGTTTTTGGTTAATGAGATCATGAATTTCACTTGTGTATGGGAAAGATATGTGAGATTTGAATTTAAATTAGAAACATAAGACTCTTCTTGGTTCTCATGGTTATTTATGAAGAAAATGACTTCAATGAAGTTATGAGGACCAAAATATAATAATTTTTTTTGTGCATGATAATGTTATGTTATATTAGTTGACACGATAACATGTGATATAGCTAGCTACACCTAATTCCAAACCGGTTAATGCAAAAACTATACCAGGATCCCCCTATGAAATAGAATAGATCATTCATACATAGCATAGTCCAAGACAAGGTTGTCAACCCGCAGGTTGACCCAGACCCGATCGAGCTAGTGGGTCAAGGGTTAATGGGTCAACTGTTATAACCCGGTTTGACCCGGAAATATGGAAAGAGTCATTATGTTGTACTTATCCTCATAAGTTGTATCAAATCTTATCTAACATATGAGTTATAACATATAATAGTACACCAAAATAACATATCTAACATATAGTGAAAATTCACACACACACTTATATAACATAAATATTTAAATGTTCAACTTAGGATTCCAAATATTGAGTTAGGCGAAAAGAAAAATCGGAAAATAGGCGCATTTCGCAAACCAAAGAAAAAAAGACACAATTTGACCTCCAACCCGGTACCTTGTAGTGGTCGGCCCGGCGGGTGCGTGTGGCCCGTTTTTCTAACTGGGTCAAGGTCAAATTGGGTCGACCCGCGGATTGACAACCTTGGTCTAAGAGGACCCACATAAAATCTTTACTGAACTATGGCCTACCATCATATTATCAAATAAATGTATTTATGAGCTTAATGCGCGAAAACAATAAGGGATTAGCTCAAAGAGTACTAAAAAGATTAGCTCAAGGAGTACTAAAAAGCACCTTTTTTTGAAATCCCACTATAGTAATCCCTATAAAAATGGAATAGGGGAATACAAAAAAGTAATAAGAGAGGCACACACCAATCAATCGTATCGGTCGTATTCTTGAATTTGCAATGAAAAGAGGCGTAATGCTTCCTAGCACGGGACAGAGAATAGGACCACTTAGATCAGAATAACATTCAACATAGAATATACAATCGAGTTAAAAAGGGATTATTTAATTTACTTCAATTTCTGAATGAATCCCTATTTGCATAACCGCTTAAACTTTAGTTTGGTTTATTTGATTGTTGTATTAGTTCGGTCAATTCGATTAAGACATTATATTACATGGTTAATAAAATTCATGCTTCATTGATATGATAATTATCATGATATCCATTTGAACATCCTAGTTGGCTGAAAAAAAGTCACTTATTAATTTTCAATTACAGAACAAAAAAGAGTTGTATTCTGATGTCGAGACTAAGGAGCGCCCCTTCCTCATTTTAACCCCTTCCTCTTCTCACCCGCTCCTCATCTCAGAAATCCCTAATCGACTAAGGAAGGAGCACCCCCTTCCTCATTTACACTTTGTCTGCATATCCATTCTTGTTTGTGGAAAGGCGAAGAGAAGAGAAAGGCGACGAGCAGAAATTCTTTGCCAGTTTGATTAAGGTATTCCCTCCTTCAGTATCAGCCGCTGTCTCCCCTCTCTTTCTCTTGTCGCTCAAGTGGAAATAAGGAATTGAGGTTTAGGTATCCTCTTTCCCCTCTTTTAGTCTAATTAAGCGGTATCCATCTTTTCGGCAGCTCTGCTTCTCCCTTCCCCGCTCCTTTTCAGTTTTCTTGTTTCTTGTTTCTTGTTGAATGCTGGATTGAATGATGGTAATTAGACCTTTCTCGCCTACTTAAGTTCTGGTTGGGGAATGTATCTCCATTTTTGTTTGTCCCAAAAGCACTGGGGGACGAAGTCTCTTGAGTGAAGGTTTGGAGGGACGAACCTCTAGGGCAACACGTGGTTTTCCTCTCAGCAGTAAATGGCAGGAGATATGTTGTGGTTCAGCTTGTTGCTCAGGTGGGGGGGGAAAATGGTGGTAAAGGTGGGAAAAAGGGGTAAAGGTGGAGGAATCCCCAGAAACCGCAAATGAGATTTAATAACCCTTCCAAGCACAATTCTGTGTTTGTGTATATTGTTCCGGAGAAGGTCATGTTCGGTGTCATTTTGGGAAATCATGTCTTAGAGTCAAATGCCTCAGCTATCTTTCAGAAGTTTGATGATTACAAGTTCGAGATTAACAACAGGTTTAATTCTTTGGAAAGAGTTCGGATTTTCTGGAGCCTGGATGTTACTTTATGGGTGTTAGATACATGTGTAGATTGCATATATTCTTTAGTTACTGATTTGGATGAAATTACTTCATTTGCTAATGCCCTTCTTTAGTCTGATTAACCAGCATCCATTGTTTCAGCAGCTCTGCTTCTCTCTTCCCCACTCCTTTTAGTGTTCTTGTTCATTGTTGAATGATGGATTGTTATCATGTTCTTGTACCTCTGTGGATTGACTATCAGCTTAGCTAGAGCCATAATTTCATTCGAAGTGGAAAATGAAACCACTTAACAGCCTTTCTTTTTAACCTTGGGACACTTTTCCGGCCTTTCATTGAATTTGCCTCTCACTTTCAGCATCTATGCTTCTCTCTTCCCCTATCCTTTTCAGTTTTCTTGTTCCTTGTTGAATGATGGATTGTGATCTTGTTCTTGTAACTCTGTGGATTGACGATCAACTCAGATCGAGCCATACTTTTCTTCAAAGTGGAAAATGAAACCACTTAACACCCCTTCTCATAACCTGGGGACTCTTTTCCTGCCTTTGATTGAATCTGTCTTTCGGTTTCAGCAGCTCTGCTTCTCTCTTGCCATATCCTTTTCAGTTTTCTTGTTCCTTGTTGAATGGTGGATTGTGATCTTGTGCTTGTACCTCTGTGGATTGACTATCAACATAGATCATGCCATACTTTTCTTCAAAGTGGAAAATGTTACCACTTCACACCTCTTCTTTTAACCTTGAGAATCTTTTCCTGACTTTTATCGAATCTGGCTTTTCAGGTACTGTAAAGATCAGGAAATGGTGGGTTCAAGGAAAAACAAAGGAAAAAATGTGATGAAGGAATGCCTTCGGTTAGTATAATGTAAAACTGGCTATAATGTTTGGTTATCTAATGTGATTGTTTTTTAGACTGATGTGGTCCGACTTGCATGTAGGATTTGCATGGAGTTGATGTCAAAACTGTAGATTTGTCATCCCTCATCCCTTCGCCAATTTACGATCAAGGAGAACAAAATCGTATAATTCTGAATTTGGACTCTTATGAGATGCTTTTAAAGTAGGTTGAACTGATGTTTTTATTTCGTTTACTTGATTCTCAGCTGTATGCTGGGCAATAGCATTTGCTGGTGCTACCGAGGCAATGGTTAATCGAAACCGCCATGATGATAAGTGGATAGCATCTCCACAAGAGCTTATGGATGACTTTCTCACTAATGAAGAGAAGCAGCTCAACCAGTCCCTGCCTACAAGGGTAAGCGGGATATGGATACATATTCAGAAGTGTGGGCTTTCTCAGACGAAGGATTACCCTGTCGAACCAGGCTTGAGGCCAATGTTGGATAGGGATATGCGGCTACGTGAAAAAGTACCAGCATCTAAAGTACCAGCAGCTCAAGTACCACGAGTGAGTTTAATTTCCTATTTGAAGGTAATGAAGGTTTTAGTGTTTTTTGCTTATCCTTTTTTTGGTTTCATTTGCCAGAGAGATCTCCTGCGGATTGGAGATTATGAAGACATTAGCGATCAGTGGATTGATGAAAACAAGCTTCTGAAAACGTTGACGACACAACCAGTCGTGGCAGCAGTGAGGCCTTAGGCAGAGAAAAGGATGGCACCCCCCAAATACCTTCATTATGTGATCCTGGTCGGATTTGGAAGCAACGAGAAAGATGGCACAGAGGAGCATTTTTTCAAGTGCCGTAATTCTCAAGGCACCGGTTGGGGGAATGGAGGATGTGGCAAAATCGTTCGACAGGTATCATTTGACAAAATTAAGAAAGGAAAGAAGGGAGGAAAGAAGAAGGGAAAAGAGGAGCCCCCCCTACCGAGTCTCATTGTGTTCTACACCTACCCTACTCCTCTAGAGAATGTCTAAGGCTAGAAGGAAAAGAAGAGAAACTTCCACCAGCCAAAGCGTAGTTTTAGCCAAGGACTTGAACTTTTGTAAAAAGCCTAGAGGGACATACGACTTGAACTTTTGTAAAGGCTAGAGGGACATACTAGTATCAAGGTTTGAAACTTGATTTACTAGCAGGAATGTTAGCTTGGTTATTAGCGTTTGTCAGGTCTGTTTACAACGATCCGCTACTGCCAGTACTAGCAATGTTATTTTGGAACAAAACAATACATCCGTAGCGTAGCGTGGTTTGTCGTTTGGGAAAGAGTTGTTAATCTAGTGTATGGCCAAAGCACACGCCACTCTCATGGTTGGATAAACATCAGGGCTGCATAATTGGTTGTTCTGCTGCAACTTGCTTTCTGAATATGCATGGACTTATAGGTGTTCTCTAAGAATTCAACTGAAGCAATTTTAGATCCCAAATTTGCGATTCTTGCTCATTTGTTTGTGGAAACTCCATATTCAGCTTGCTTTAGGCTCCCTTACCCAGCGGAGTTTGCTAGGATTTGTAGATCTCTCTTGCGTATGCAACAGCCTTCTCAATGTACATGTGCTTCTCCAATGTAATAACCTGCTCCATGTACCTCAAACGAGCTAGGATTCTTTGGCTCATTTGTCACTTAAAGGTTACAGACACTCATAACACACTACTAATTCTTCAGGGGTAGAGAGAGTAAGGTTATACAACAGTTTTTACCACACAACATCATCACTCACAAGCAATTGTCCAGTTCAAACACATACACAGCTGCCATACCTCCACAACCGTTTAAACAAACTACTACAGAGCAAAGATTAAAGATAACACTTAGCTAGCAGACCTCCACTTTTTCGGCAAAATTAAGATCAATGCCATGACATACATATATAGGCATTGCATCTCTAGTTCAGAGTTCAACATCAGATCGGAACAGATGGAATTCTTCAAATAAACAACATAACAAGCAGCGTGTGTGACCACATTCTCATCGTCACTCAACCTCCACTCCTTCGTCACCTTCGAACTTTCTTTTCCCACCTCGATCTCCAACTTTAGCTTTTGCTTTCCAAATTTCTATGCAAAGAGCCGTTGGCTCGTGAGGATCTAGCAAATCTGCACATAGGGGGGGATGCGAATTTAACCTTTGATTGGAAAACATTGTTTTTTTAATGCCCATCAATGCAAAATATCACCAAAGATAGCTTATACTTCCAAGACAAAACAAGCAAAAGAGCACTTTCACCACAGACACGTACATAAAAGGGTGAACAGTTTCTATGAACAAATAAGCTGATGACGATAAAAGCACTACATACAGAAATACAACCAGAGTCCATCCACTAACAGGACTAAAGCAGGTATGTAAACAACAACAATCATCACATCATCATCATTTTGACTTGTATTCTGGAATTTTTTTACTGAAATGATTCTCTAAGTTAGGACGCTATTCACGTTTAGGATATAGGTCAAATTGATATAATGGTCCATCATAGTAAACGCAAGTAGCAAGTCTACAACTCACCCATCCCAGTTGATTCCTTCCTGAAGATCAGAATCTTCTTCTTATCATCAACAATATTGTCACTCATATCACAGGAAACCACAGCTTGGTACTTCTCAAAAGAAGGATCTTCCGGCGGATTGGAGCACTCAAAAGTTATATAGAGGGCAAGCAATGACATACACTGCGATGCAGTTACGTTCAAGGTTTTCCCGTACTTCAAACTCTTGCCCTGCAAAAACACCATTTCAAAAGGAAGAGCATGTAAAAGTTTTTCATCACGATGAACAGAACAGAGAACCTCAAATCATCAATGTAAATATCGTTCACAGCAGACCACAGCATTCGCACCTTCTCCCTGTTATATGTATCGATCACATGTTCAACAGCCTTGTCAACTTTCATATTGAAAATATCCCAATCATCAAAATGCTGCCTGGAGTAGATAAATGGGTTGTGGGTTTGATAATCTGGAGGGCACTCAGCATCAAACCCCTGCAAGCAAGCAAGAGAGCAAGAAGATTAACTAACTAATTAACTGTATGTAATTAGGGTTCAGTTGAAGATGGCATCGACCCATAAGGCAGGCTTGCTTTGATCATAATTAAGCAAACTTACGCCGGATTTCGCCAACGACTTCCGATACATGATGACCCGTTGCTTTATGCCTTCATTGTCACCGAACTCACCCTCGCCGATGCGTTCGCGTGGAAATAAATACCTCTCCTCGTCGCCGTCCTCGATGACCGGCTCCATACGCTCCAATTCACGGCAGCGTTTGCAGGTGAGGTCGTAGTAGTTCTTGTTCTCGCCAGGACGAGGTGAAGGAGGGCGCATTTCAACCTCTGAGCCGGAGCTGGAGCTGGAGCTGGAGCCGGAGCCGGAGCCGGAGCCGGAGCCGGAAGAAGACATTGGGTTGGATCGACGAAGAGGAAAGCAAAATGGGGTTTTTCTTTTCTGCGAATTGGCAACCGACGGAAAGGAAATTAAACAACCGGTCGGGGTAATATCAATAATAGCCGGGCCTCAACGTTTGGGCCCATTTTTACACCTATCTAACAGGATCTATTGTAGATTAACCGGGCCGGCCTGCTTCAATCAATGATCACCCTTCTTCCCCTGTCCGTGTAACTTCTTCTTTTACCTAATCTTAGGATGGCAATTTGAACTCGTTCTGTCCGGTATTACCCGATCTGACTTGTAATGGGGCGGGTATTACCCGACTCGCAGTAGTGTGGGGCGGGGCATGAGTATCAACTTCCTATCCGCTTTGTCCCGCCCCGCCCCGTTCTTAACCCGTTCTAGATCAATTTCTTATGTTATTCATTCATATATCTCCTATTTTGCATAGACCAGGAAACCGGATCGTACCGGTCGGTTCAACCGGAAATTGGACCAAAAGCGGTACGGTGGGCTGATTGTGCTGATTTTACCGTGCCGGCCGGTTTTTCGGTTTGACCGGTTTTTCGGTTTGACCGGTTGAACCGGCCGGTACGATCCGGTTTCCTGGTCTATGATTCAGCTTCATTTCTACGTATTCTCGTCCAATATGTGGAAAATAATTAAAAAAGAATATTATTTTGCTATTTTTCTATGTTGAAAATGGGTAACCGTGGTTGTATAATGCACTATTTGGTTCTTTTTTGATGGATTATATTTTTTATACTATCGCATTTCATTTCTCTATCAATAGTGAAAAACGATATTTACCGGTACAAAACGGTTGAACCACGGTCGTACCACAAAATACCATACCAGAAAGGAATCCGGTATGATGTCCGGTACGGTTTCCTTTACCATGCTATTTTGGTTTTTCTTCAACTAATTAGACTTGATTTTTCAACTAAATAGACTCAATTGCCCATTATATTATCACTATTATTCATTCATGAAGCATTTTCTCCTTTGTTTTATACTAAAAGGTAAAAAAATTCGTGTATTTTTTCAAATATCAGGTAAGAGTGGATCGACCCGTCCCGCCACGTACCCGCGCGGATATTACCCGCCTCGACCCGTAGTAGCATGGGGCTGGGCATGGGTATTGAGGTACCCGCCTCGGCCCATTGCCGCTAATCTAATAGGTCACTTTTTTTTAATTCAACCTGTTACAAAAGATGGTGTTGCTAGAGGAGTAAGTAGGGATGGCAATTTGAACACGCCCCGCCGGGTAATGCCCGACCTGGTCCGCGATGGGACAGGTATTACCCGGCCCGCATTAGCGTGGGGCGGGGCATGGGTATAACTTTCGACCCGCCCTGCCCCGTCCCGCCCCATTCTTAGCCCGTTCTAGATCAATTTTTTACCCCATTCATTCATATATATCATATTTAGGCTTTTATTCAACTAGTTAGACTTGATCTTTCAACTAAATAGACTCAATTACTTATTATTATCACTATTATTCATTCATCAAGTCCACCCCCTATTTTATCATAAAAAGTAAAATTGTGCGTGGATTTTTCTCAAATAACATGTAAGAGTGGGTCGACCCGCCCCGCCCCGTACTCGCGCGGGTATTACCCGCCTCGCCCCGTACTAGCGTGGGGCGGGGCATGGGTATTGAGGTACCCGACTCGCCCCGACTCATTGCCATCACTAGGAGTAAGGGGGAAACATTGTTGCTAGGAATCGAACACACAACTTTATAAATAGGAAGTGCACTGATTCATCATCTAGACTGACCCTTGTTTCGGGTTAGATCAAGTCCTTAAAACCCATTCGTTAAGAAGAATCTTAAACGCTTGCCAACCAATAGAAGGAGAGAGATAATCATTAATAATTATTGGCTAACTACCAATAAGGACAAGAATGGAATATAATTAACAATTAATTATATTATTAATAAAAATTAAAAGTAAAAACCCTTCTCCTCCAAGGGTCTCCTTCCCCGCATTCTCCTTCCTCTCCGTCCGCGCCGCTGAAGAACAAAATTTTAAAACGACTCTCCCGTACTGTCCGTTCATCGTCGTCCTTTTCTGTCGATTGTCGCACGCCGCACCTGACGAGGAAAGCACCGACAACCACGACCGACGTCTTGTAGCTGTAGATCTGGCGATGAAACTTTCCACCGTCTCCTTTGAAATCGCGGCACCCCTACTTCCACCACGACCAGCGTCTTGTGGCCGCAGTTCTCGAGGTGAAACTTCCCCACCGTGTCCATCGCCTACGCCGATGAAGATCTGATCCGCTCCATGCCGTTGTGTCTCCCTTGTCCGTAGTTGGCTAGCGGCGAAACCCCCAACCGGCAACTGCCTTCAAGTGCTTCGACAACCACCATCAACAATTCTGTCATTAATAATTACCATAATATGATTAATAATTGTAGCGTGGTCAATTAAAAATGTATTATAATATTGGTTGATGAGGTATATTATTAAAATTGTAACATTATTTTTTAATAACGTTGCTAAAACCTCAAATTGAAGGATCCTCACCGAGAAAGGATCCCACGACTAAGGGGGGTCCTTAGTCACTTGACTAAGCCCCTCCTAGCCATTAGATCTGGATACTTCAATCCAATGGTTAAAAAGTGGGAAGGGCTATTTAATTAATGACAGGGGTAGTTTGGGTATTATGGAAAATTACGAAGTATACAAACCGGATTTACAATCAGTACAAACCATACAAATATACGAACAGTACAAACTAGGGCGACAAAACATACAAACAGATTTACAAACATTACAAACGTATGAAGTGTACAAACAATACAAACTAGACTGACAAACAATACAAACCATACAAAAAGAAAAAACACCGGGGTTGACTTTGGAGGCTCCATCCCTATATAGAGGGGCTCCTTCCCAAAGTCAACCCGGGTGTTTTTTAGACATACAAACAGTACGAACATGGTGGACAAAAATGACAAACTATACCGACAATCCATACGAACTGAAAAAACACCCGGGTTGACTTTGGAGGCTCCATCCCTATATAGAGGGGCTTCTTCCCAAAGTCAACCCGGGTGTTTTTTAGACATAAAAAACATTACAAACATGGTTGACAAAAATGACAAACTATACCGACAATCCATACGAACTGAAAAAACACCCGGGTTGACTTTGGAGGCTCCATCCCTATATAGAGGGGCTCCTTCCCAAAGTCAACCCGGGTGTTTTTTAGACATAAAAAACATTACAAACATGGTTGACAAAAATGATAAACACGATACACAAAAATAACAAAGTTTACAAACATTACAAAAAAAACCGACAAACATTACAAAATAACAAAGCGTACAAACATTAAAAAAAACCCGACAAACATTACAAAATAACAAAGCGTACAAACATTACAAAATAAACCGACAAACAATACAAAGCATACTAACAGTACAAAATCTCTCTCTCTTTTCTCTATCTCTCTCTCTGAATGCCATGTCCAAACAATTCCCCAATTCCCCCGCAGAATTGCCAATTCCCCATATCTCTCTCTTAGCTGTTGGGGACCGAATTCACCAGCAGCAGCCCAAAAAAGTCCTGAACATCACGGAGGCAGGGGTCAGCTTCTCCTCCGCGAATTTGATCCAGAACAGAGTCATGGCTCTCTCGCAAGGATCAGCGGGAAGCAGTGGGTAGGATTTGGAGAATGAATCGTCCACCGCTATCGATTCGAAATTCACCGGTGGCAGGTACAAATTTCACCGGCGGCCACGACCGGGGAGGGTGAGTGGTACGGGACAGAAAATAATCCCACCGCCTCGGAAAATTTCCAGGACCGGCGGCAGGTACAAAATCCCACCGGCGGCCGCGATCGGAGAAGGCGAATGGACAAAGCTCTTTTTTGTTTTTTTATTTTAATTTTTAAATAAATAAATTAAGTAGTTACCATCTTGCCCTTCATTAAACCAGATAAATCTGAACCATTAGATTTTAATGAGCTTCAATGGCTGAGATTGGCTTAGTCATATGACTAAGGGACCCCCCCTTAGTCACCTGATCTTAGCCCGATCCTCACCATAACAGCTCCTTACTTAGTTATTATGTTGCCCTAATGCCCTTAGTTGCTAATTCCTTAGCCGTGTCCTGAACTAGAAAGGTATGTTTTTAACATTTATTGTATCGACCTACCGCAGTTGTTAAACTTTTGAGTGGTTTCCAATGAAAGTGATATGAACTAAGTGATTTTGTTCAAAATTTTGGTCCATCTGATTTAATAGCATATGGTTAAGTTGTATGTCCGTTGTGCCGGCCTCTACTTCGAAAATATTTGTTGAAGTTGTATGCTGCTGATGACTTCATTCGCGTTCGTTAATTGTATATATGTCATTGCTTCTTCATTGAGAAATAGCACGGTTAATTTTTTGGTATATTCAGTATATATATTGAACTGTTAATTGTGATATGTATACCATGACTCTTTCGTTGAAACATGAAAATTGATAAATTTTAGTGCTTAAATAGCTATTGAGAACATGAATTGGTAGCATCATTTGCTCCTAAGCCCTAACTTTCATGAAATAGGGATGGCAACAAAACCCTAACCCACGGGTAACCTACCTGATCCAACCCAGTCAATGCGGGTAAAACCCGCTTTGACGGGTTCCGAGCTGGATTTGGGTTTAAACCCGTACACTATTCACCAGATTGGATTTGGGTTTAGGGGTACCCGACCCATGGATACCCGTCCACACTTATTTAGTCGCCCTACTCTCCCCAAACTCTACCCTAATTCTAATTTCCTCCAATCTAACTCTTACTACACTTATTCGGTGTAAATTTATTTAGTGTAATTGTGATATGTTTGAATTTTCTAGAATGGAGTTTTATGTATGGATAATTTGTATGGGGAAATTGATGTTTGAATTTTATTTTGATAGGGACTTGATATTGTAAATTTTTTACCACAAAAACCCATGGGTACCCATGAACCCGCGGATACCCAGCGGGTTGGGTTTGAGTTTTTCAAACCCAATGGGTTTTACCCCGGGTTTTTTGTGCAATTTGGACTCGTTATTAAGAGTTCGTACTCGTGCACGTCTTGTCATTATGACACTATTAAGCAGTTTATGTGTTTATATGTCTATATCAACCAATGAATCACATATCCTTGAATATTACAAGACATTTGGAGCCCAAATCCACCTTATTATACAATTTGGACTCACTACTAAGAGTTTGTACTCGTGCACGTTTTGTCATTATGACACATATTAAGCGATTTATGTGTTTATATGATTAAACCTATCATTGAATCACAAGTCTATGAACAATACAAGACATTTCGAGAGAAAATCCACCTTATTGTACGATTTGGACTCATTACTAAGAGTTCATACTCGTGCACATCTTGTCATTATGACACTATTAAGAGGTTTATGTGTTTATATGAATAAATCAATCATTGAATCACATGACGATCAACATTACAAGACATTTGGAGTGCAAGTCCACCTTATTGTACAATTTGGACTCGGCACTAAGAGTTCTTACTCGTGCTCGTCTTGTCATTATGACACAATTAAGCGATTTATTTGTTTATATGACTAAACCAATCATTGAATCACATGTCTATCAACTTTACAAGACATTTGGAGTGCAAATCCACCTTACTGTACAATTTAAACACGGTACTAAGAGTTCTTGCTCGTGCACGTCTTGTCATTATGACACTATAAAGCGGTTTATGTATTTATATGAGTAAACCAATCATTGAAGCGCATGTCTAGCAATATTACAAGACATTTGGAGTGAAAATCCACCTTATTGTACAATTTGGACTTTGTAGTGATTGTACTAAGAGTTCTTACTCGTGCACGTCTTGTCATTATGACACAAGTAAGCGGTTTATGTGTTTATATGACTAAACTAATCATGGAATCACATGTCTATCAACTTTACAAGACATTTGGAGTGCAAATCCACCTTATTGTACAATTTGGACTCGGTACTAAGAGTTCGTACTCGTGCACGTCTTGTCATTATGACACTATTAAGCGGTTTATGTGTTTATATGCCAAAACCAACCAATGAATCACATATCATTGAACATTACAAGACATTTGGAGCCCAAATCCACCTTACTATACAATTTGGACTCATTACTAAGAGTATGTACTCATGCACTCTTGTCATTATGACACAATTAAGCGGGTTAGTGTTTATATGACCTAACCAATCATTGAATCACATGTCTATCAACATTATAAGATATTTGGGGCACAAATCCACCTTATTGTACTATTTGGACTCGGTACTATGAGTTCTTACTCGTGCACGTCTTGTCATTATGACACTATTAAGCAGTTTATGTGTTTATATGCCTAAACCAACCAATGAATCACATATCCTTGAACATTACAAGACATTTGGATCCCAAATCCATCTTATTATACAATTTGGACTCATTACTAAGAGTTTATACTCGTGCACGTTTTGTCATTATGAGTCTGACACTATTATGACAAGACGTGCATGAGTAAGAACTCTTAGTGCCGAGTCCAAATTGTACAATAAGGTGGATTTGCACTTCAAATGTCTTGTAATGTTGATAGTCATGTGATTCAATGATTGGTTTAGTCAAATAAACACATAAACCTCTTAATTGTGTCATAATGACAAGACGTGCACGAGTAAGAACTATAGTGTAACACCCCACCCTAAAATCATGGGTCGAACCGATGGTTCAACCGCACGGCGAAAATCACTCGGGGTTTACGTTTTGAAAATCTCAACTCAACTCATATCACGAAATTATGATATATGTTTAAAACTCAACTCATCATAACAATTTACTAAAAATCTCTTTCTCAATTCATTAATCAATCTTCCTCAAAACCCGGATTCACAGAATCCAGACTATCAATCTCATCTACTCCATTCATACTCAACTCATGTTAATGATCATATTTGACCAATGTAAACTATTATGCACGCTCAAAACTTGAATCATAAAATAAGGGTTCTAGAATAAATCAATAGGTGAAAAATCTTTTAAATCAAAATCCTCCATCGATCATTGTGCAGTGCCAGAGTAATCCTCAATTTATCACACCTGTCACATCTAGAGAGAAAAATGGGTCAGCTACTAAGCTGAGTGCGTGGACCTGGCCTATACGGCAAAACTATTGTTAGCATGCCAACACATTGGAGGTAGACATGCTAACCGACCCCGAATGTGAGGGATTTAAAAATTCATTGTTTGGAAAACAATAAAGAATGCTTGGGTTTTGAAAACTTATTGTTTGGAAAATTATAGTTACACATAAAGTTAACTATGGCTACTAATTCTCACCAAGTATACATAATTCTCTATGTAATACTTGCATTATGTACTTACATCAACCAAACAATAATTACATTCTACAAAATGCATATGTGGTAAAATACAACGTTTAAAATCGGAGATTCTAAACAAGGTCTTAACTTTTACGCTTCTCAGTGCGGAGCGCAGGTAGTTAACTAGTTTATATTAGGGAGGGTAATTATTCGGGTGGGCTGGTACTCATATATATAATTTATTTCCGAATCACGAGTTTAAAATGATAATCATTCTCAAAATAAAAAAAACAAGTGGGGATGTCATATAACACATCAAAACTATTGTATACGGTTCATGAAATCTGCACCTTTCCCAGCCAATCACATATCGAATTCTTTAAATAATGTGAACATTTCCTTTGTCAATGTTACTTGCAAGTTTGTATAAGATGTTGTCTAAAAAAGTAAGGAAAAATAAATAATATTTGTACCTACAAAAATAATTATATTACTTGAGAGAGAGATACAAATGACCAAAGGCTTGAAGCGTGACCACATTCTCATCATCACTCAACTCTCCGCTCCTTCGTCACCTTCGAACTTTCTTTTCCCCTCTCGATCTCCAACTCTAGCTTTTGCTTTCCAAATTTCTATGCAACGAGCCGTTGGCTTGCGAGGATCTAGCAAATCTGCACGTAGGGGGGAGGCAGATTTAACCTTTGATTGGAAAACATTGTTTTTTAATGCCTATCAATGCAAAATATCATCTAAGATAGCTTACACATCAAAACAAAATAAGCGAAAGAGTACTTTCACCACAGACACGTACATAAAATGGTGAACATTTTCTATGACCAAATAAGTTGATACATCAACTTACCCATCCCGGTTGATTCCTTCCTGGAGATGAGAATCTTCTTCTTATCATCAACACTATTGTCAATCATATCACAGGAAACCACAGCTCGGTACTTCTCATAAGAAGGATCTTCCGAAGAAGAGAGAGTACGGATATAGAACCATTTTTATCACACAACATCATCACTCACAAACAATTGTCCAGATTAAACACATACACAGCTGCCATGTCTCCACAACCGTTTAAACAAACTACTACAGAGCAAAGATTAAAGATAGCACTTTTTGGGCAAAATTATGATCAATGCCATGACATACATATATAGGCGATGTCTCTAGTTCAGAGTTCAACATCAGATCTGAACACATGGAATTCTTCAAATAAACAACAAAACAAGCAGCGTGTGTGACCACATTCTCATCATCACTCAACCCTCCACTCCGTCATCACGTTCATACTTTCTTTTCCCACCTCCATCTCCAACTCTAGCTCTCGCTTTCAAAATTTCTATGTAACGAGCAGTTGGCATGTCAGGATCTAGCAAATCTGCACATCAAAGGGGTGGGGGTGTTAACCTTTTATTGGAAAACATTAGTTTTCTATGAACAAATAAGCTGATACATCAACTGACGATAAAAGCACTGCTTACACAATGTAACCGAGCCCATTCACTAACAGGACTAAAGCAGGTATGAAAACAACAACAATCATCACATTCACATCATCATCATTTCTTGACTTGTATTGTGGAATTTTTTTTACTGAAATGATTCTAAGTTAGGACTCTATTCACGTTTAGGATATATGTCAAATTGATGGCAAGGCCAATATGGTAACTACTCTTTGCATGAATCAGGATACTAAAGTAAGCTACAAGATGGCTGGATGACACTAAGGTTCCAACTCAATGGCAAATAACTAGATTACTGTACAAGCATTCAACACAAGGAGTCGAACAGAGTTTTATAGACATAGAACGATCAATGAACAATTAGCACCACTGCACACCTCATCTAAGACAGTCCAATAACAAGTTCAAGCAAATGAAATCATAGTCCATCATAGTAAAAGTAAGTAGCAAGTCTACAACGCACCCATCCCGGTTGATTCCTTCCTGAAGATCAGAATCTTCTTCTTATCATCAACACTATTTTCAATCATATCACAGGAAACCACAGCTTGGTACTTCTCATAAGAAGAATCTTCCGGCGGATTGGAGCACTCAAAAGTAATATAGAGGGTAAACAACATATACTGAGATGCAGTTACGTTCAAGGTTTTCCCGTACTTCAAACTCTTGCCCTGTAAAACACCATTTCAAAAGGAAGACCATGTAAAAGTTTTTCATCACGTTGAACAGAACAGAGAATCTCTAAGCACCTGTGTAAATATCGTTCACAGAAAACCACAGCATTCGCACCTTCTCTCTGTTATATGTATCGATCACATGTTCAACAGCCTCGTGAACCTTCATATCGAAAATATCCCAATCATCAAAATGCTCCCTGGCGAAGATAAATTCGTTGCGGGTTAGATAATATGGAGGGCAGTCAGCATCAAACCCCTGCAAGAAATCAAGAGAGCAAAAGATTAACTAACTAATTAACTGTCTAAAATTAAAGTTCATCGACCCATCAGGCAGGCTTGCTTGATCATAAGCTAACTTACGCCGGATTTCGCCAACGACTTCCGATACATGATGACCCGTTGCTTTATGCCTTCGTCGTCGCCGAACTCTCCGTCGCCGACTCGTTCACATTCAAATAAATACCTCTCCTCGTCGCCGTCCTCGATGACCGGCTCGATACGCTCCAGTTCACGGCAGCGTTCGCAGGTGAGGTTGTAGTAGTTCTTGTTCTCGCGAGGAAGAGGTGAAGGAGGGCGCATATCAACCTCTGAGCCGGAGCCGGAGCCGGAGTCGGAGCCGGAAGGGTAAGACATATTTTTCGGACCGACGATGTGGGAAAGCGAGCTAGGGTTTTCTTTTCTGTGGCCGATGGAAAGAAAAGAAAATAATTGGTCGGGAAGAATAGTTGGGCTGCGAAATTAGGCCCATTTTTAAATCTTTCTAATTGGATCTATTGGACTTAACCGGGCTGGGGCCGGCCTACCTCTCTGACCAGCCTTGTTAGTTATTTTATCATTTTTTTTTTGACAATAGTTATTTTATCATTAAAAAGAGCACTTCTATTATGCTATAAAGTATTGGTACTTTAATGTACAACTTAAAGTTGTACCATAACGTTAAATGTATAAGTTCAGGTTGTACCATAAAGGAATTTGTGCTCTTATGTTATGGTACAACTTTATAACTTAAACTTGTACCATCAAATGAAAGTACAAGTTTAAGTTGTACCATAAAACAATTTGACAAAAGAGTATAGGTACAATCTGAAGTTGTACCATAACGTTAAAGGTACAACTTCAAGTTATACCATAAAGGGAAAAACCTATAGCACCAATACTATATAGCATTGTAAAATTCCTCCATTAAAAAACCTAAAACAGTAATTTCAAGTTTCAACAGGTTGAAAAAGGTGCATGGCTTCCTCTTCCTACAGGCTACAGTTATGGTTCATATTAGTGGTTTGACTAGAAAAATGTCTTATGGAATGCTAAATTGCTATACAGTATTTGACAGTATGAAATGTTTAAATTACCATTTAAACATAAAATATACTCGGTTGATTTTACCGGTACAAAATTAGATACGATACTGCAGCTCAAATAAAAAATTGTCAGATGTACATGGAAGACTATTGTATATCAAGTTCGTGTTGTTGTTGTTGTGCTCTATATTGCTTTTGGTAAAATGGTCCGTTTCTATCATTTATAACTAACTTGCTTGCAACCCATTTTAGTGACAAAATTTCAATTCAATGTTGTGGACTAACTAACCATTGCGATACAATCGGTGTGAGGTTAGCAATTTAAGATTATGAATGAACTGCGATAAAAAGAAGTGTTATGACTTATGATAAAATTGTTGTTTTGATGTTAGATATACAATTTTTAATCGTAAAAGATGATTGTTTGTTTGATACAGTAAAAAATTGAGAGATTACTGAGACTAATCGTTCGAAACTACAAACTAACTACGAAAAATTTATTATGATATCATTAGTGGTTTAAACATTGTATATGCGATCGGCCGAGGCCGAGGTTGATTCAGTTATGATAAAGTATAGTGAAATGAAGGTATCTATTGATATTTTCATGGGCCTGGGAAGAGTACATTATCTAGCTCTCTGGTTAGCATTTAGCAATCATCTCTTCTCCGCTCCTAAAAGACCCAATCGAATCAATCTCTGTTTTTTTTTTATTTATGTACAAAAGCTGGAACCCCAATTCCCTAAGAAGTAAGAACCCTAATCCCAAAATCTAAAGCAAAATCAGGTACTCAGCTTCGCAATCATCTCTTCCACCAATCTGAGCGTACTACTTCCACCACTCCCCATGAAAACTTCCTCCTCCTCCCCTTCCGCAGCATCGATCTCCTGCATCACCCTCTCCACCATCTCCTCCTTCCACTGCTTCCCTCTCGACCCACCATCGCAATCCCCTCGAAGCATCATCAGCAGCTCCTGAGCCAAACCCCTCGCCCTCCAGCTCCCATCAATGCTCAGCTGCAGCAAACCGGGCATGGCGCCTTCCATCAGGATCAACCCTCTGTACTTCTCCCTCGAGCTCTGGCAAATCAGCACCAGCACCCCAACGGCATGTTCTTTCCCCTGTGGGCTGCCTTCCTCCACCATCTCCACCAGCACCCGTATCCCTCCCGCGGCCTGGGCCACGGCCCTCTCCGACGTGATCGCGACGGCTTCCAGCAGCGCCATTGCCTTGTCCGCCAGCTCTGGTTGAATTGGGTAGGAAGAATGTTGGGTTAGGAGTTGGAGCAATGTGGGGACTAGCTCTGATGAGACGAGGTGTGGGATTGCTTGGTTGCAGGTGGAGAGATTGTGGAGTGTGGTCAAAGTGTCGAGCTTTGATTGGGTGGTGGTTAGAATGGGGATTGAATCGACTAGGATTTGGATGGCTCCTGATGATGCGATGAGAGGCTTGTTTGGCCCGCATGAGGAGAGGATGAGCAGAGCTGCTACTGTCAGCTCTGTCAATGACTCTTCCTGCCATTGGAGGAGGTGGAGTAGCACATCTACAACGCCTGATTTCACCATCCTTCTCTTGTTCCTGCAACCCAATTGGTAATCAGTTAAGTGATTGTTTTTGGTCAATGGAAATGGAAATGGGCAGAAATGGTGTGGTGTGGTGTGGTGGGGGTGAGGGTATTACCTTTCACTGCCAAAGGCAAGGGTGAGCAATGCAAAGAGTGAAGCTTGGATGGATTCATAGTCCTGAGACTGAAGCATGGTGATCAAAGGGAGAATGACTCCACCTTCCACTAACTTCTGCCTCAGTTTGCTGCTGAGTTTGACCATCTCGGAGGCAGCTTGGATTTGGGCTTCTCTGCCTCCATTGAAGATGTTCTGCAACATGAATGCCTCCATTTTTCCGGGGTTGCCTCTGCTCTACCAGAAACAGGAACAAGAGAGAGAGATTAGGAGACTCTCTTTCACCCCTCTTCCTTCCCTTTTGCTGTATTTGCTAGGAATGCTTTCCTTATATGAATGGGAACAGGAAACATGGGTGGGCATTTGGTTTGGTTGCTTGAAGATGTGATGTTAACCTTTTGTGGGCATCCATTGTTTCATTCAGAAGCAAACTTCCTATTCTAAAGCTTTAAAGTCAGCTTTTTTTGCTTCTCTTCCCCTCACCTCTCTATGGCCTATGCTCTCATCAATTCCTTTCTGTTTGGTGGGTTTGTGTTTTCTTCCCTCTCTTTTGCATTGTCTAATTTGGGAGAATGTATCCACTGATTCCTGAACAATGCATCTTCAGCTTTCCTTTAATAGAAGCCAACTCAACCCAACAAAATATAGAAAAAAATAAAAATAAAAATAAAAGCATACTCTTTTGAGCATCTTCCCTCTCTATTGTCTCTACCCATCACTTGTTTAGGTAATTATATTTTAGAGAGAGTTTTTTCCACCATCGGAATAGAATAGAAGTAAGTACGTGTTTGTGTATTTTAACCATCTCTTTTGTAATTAAGTAAATATGGTGCATTCTGGACATGTGAGCAGCGGTGGATCCAAAACAGGTTAGAGTACTGGGCTGCATTTAAAAAACGGTGGAGAGGGTTGGGTCGTAATCCTATAAATATTGAAATATATACCCAAAATCGGAAGTTTACAAGTACTATACGAGTTTTGGATCCGGGGAGGGCTGGGTCGTGGCCCGGGGACGGCCCCCTTAGATCCGCCACTGCGTGTGAGGAAAAACCACTTGATTGGATGTGTTTACATCTCAAGTATACAATAACCGTTTGATTCTCGAATCTCGATCAAACCATCATATAGGGATAAATGCATTTTTACACCTCAACATATGTAAAGGAAAAAATCAAGTAATTATTGTGTGTTCACATCACAAGCGTACACCAACTATATAATTTCCTATCAGACAATTGAATAGAGATAAATATGTACTTATGTATGATCCATTGATCACTCAAAACAGAATTGATATAAGGTTTGTTTTCATTCCTTGAATGGCTGAGGTTAATTCAATCATCCATCTCATCATCAATGTTTAATATGTTGTTTTGACATGATGATGATGATGATGAAATTTGGTAATATTTCAAATTCATACATCCCATGTGCCTGTATTGTTATGTTTTTGACAAATCCCATGTGCATGCAATATATATCAATTTGGGGTCAATTTTCGAATTATTTTCAACGGTGGCATGCGGGTCCTGTAATGGGGAAGGGTGTGTGGAGTACATATTTCCAATGAATTTTTAGGCAGAGAAGATGGTATAAGGTGGGGCTACGAAGCTAAGAACCCTAGGAAAAAGATAAGCCTAAACAAGTACAAAGATCCTTTCAAAAAATATCTTAAACTAGTTAACTACATAATCCAACTTCTTAATTGAGTCTTTGAGGTCCTCAAGTTGAGGACTTGGGAGTTGGGTATCAATGATGCCATTTCACTTAGATTAAATTTTTTTTGGGGCTATCTTAGTTTATCTAATAGAATATGTAGTTAGAACATAAATTTATCATCTAGTTGCTTAGAGTATATATTTCTCATCTAGTAGAGTTTGATTACATTGGATTCATCAATTTGACTATGAATTGGGTTTAACTATCTGATCATATTCATGAATTTGTTACAGTGGGAAAATTTTCACATGTACCTAAATTCATTAATTAAAATGGTATTGAGATTGATTGAATACCAGAATGCTTGTGTGTATGATATGGTCCCTAATTAGGCAACATAGCAACAACAAATCGTTGGATTTCCCGACTAGTTACTACACTGTTTTCCTTTCATTTTCCTTTGATCATACTTGCAATAATGTAATTGGAGATGAAAGTGGAGTAGATATCAATAACCCATATCCTCCCCATCCTTGTGTGACTTGAATTTATGCTCTCCATTACATATACTTACCGTAATCGTGGATAATCAATAGGTTACCTTTTTATACAAAACTCGAACCCGAAACTAATATATAAATTAGATGGATAATGAATATCAAACAACTTTTTTCCCCATATAAGCATAGTTCATGAAATTAATCAACTACTTAATCTAGCGTGAAGATAACTTAGAACCTATGAACAAGGCCTATACAACTAAAAACTCATTTGTATCTAACTTTCCTCTCGTATTTTCCGTACCCCGCACCTTACGAAATGGAAATGGTGTATTCTTATCATGATTAGACTAAAGTTGAGTTAGGTAGAGAGTCTAGATTAGAAACCATCCAAAGGAACTCTCTCTCTCTTTGTGTTTCTTCTATAGTTGCTAGATGAGGATGGCAGTTATATGTTTGGGGAAAGTGGCCCATGCAACATGCAGGAGAATGTGCGGAGGCTCTGGCTTAGGTAACATGGCCTCTCATGCCAATACCCATTTTCCAAACTGCAACTTGCTCCCAAACGCTACTATAACTTACCCTCTCGGGATCCAAAGACGAGCTAACCCTAATAATATACTAGTGTGGGCCCCGGCCAGTTGACCGGAGGAAGGTAGGATGGCAATGGGTCGGGTTGGGTCGGGTTTTGCCAAATTCAAATCCAAATTCATGGGTTTATCCGTGAAAAAAATTCGGGGTAAACTCCACTGGGTTTGAAAAACTCAAACCCAACTCAACCCCCAGGTTTTTGTCTTAAAAAATTTACAATAACAAGTTGCTATCAAAATTAAAGTCAAATATCAATCTCTCAATACAAATTATCCATATATAAAATACCATTCTAGAAAATTCAAGCAAATAACAAATTATCCATAAATAACATGATTAATTGAAAGCTTCTTCCTTTCAATTAAGTTTCTTTACTCTCCACTCGATAACATCAACTTCATTCTACACAATTAGAAAGAAAAATTAGACATGTCTCCACAAACATAAATAAGATAAGTTGTTTAGAATATTAAATATATCGAGAAAATTAATTATATGGGTGTGGGCGGGTACCCATGGGTCAGGTTTACCTAAACCCAAACCCAACCCAACCCGATGAATATTGAACGGGTTTAAACCCAAACCCGGCCCAAAACCCGTCAACACGGATTTTACCCGCGTTGACCGAGTTGGGTAGGGTGGGTACCCGTGGGTTCGGATTTTGTTTTCATCCCTAGAGGAAGGTGAGGTATGAAATTTGATAATGTAATGGGGTGTATAACTTATTGTTGTATAGTTTTTTTGGGAAACACGTGATACAAATAGTGAATTTTAGCAGGAAAGAGACATTAATGATGCAACAAATCAAAAATCGGCCTTATGAACCAAAATCAAGTACCTGTTACCTTGTGAAACAATATTGTTTCTGGTAATATGATGAGGTGGAGTAAGTTTTATAGAAACTGAATTCCAGAAAATCGAATAAAAAATCGCCTATCCCGTTGGTTTTCGGGAAATGAGCATCTCACAATCGTTGCTAGCTTTTACTCGGCCCGTTGGCCGATTAATTTGGTTTATAAAACTTTCATCTTGTCGTCATTGTGCTTTCTGGTATTTTTCAGGCTATGATAAAATCTAAGGAAATAAAGAACGAACAACACGATTTGGGATAGGAACCGTCGTTGTCGTATCCCTAGAAAATGGTGGTAAACACGGACTCACCTGCCAAACTGGTTTGGATTGAGATTTTTATCGGGTATCAGGGAACCATGTGATTATAAATTAGACTTGATCAAAAGGGGCCAAAACTTGAAATGCAGCCTGTTTGACCGACCCATGCGAAATTCTAATTATTCTTTACTTTTAAACTTTTTATTTGAAAATAAAAAATAGTGAAAGAAAAGAGATGACTGCCATTTGCACATCACTTATTCGGGAATAAAACTATAGAAATTCAAAAGGAACTGAAAATGTTAGGATCGTTTTAATGTTTAAAATAACCAAATAGATCTTTCTGTTTAGTTTTTTACTAACAAATACCAAACGATTACCTATAAAATACACTATGATTTGATCATTATGATATCAAATAATTATATAATATATATTTGAAATGATAAAAATTGGACTAATTGGGTTGGTCGAGGTTGAACCATTGAATAACTTTAAAATACATTATATTTTAGCCACTAAGATATAAAATAATAGCATAATATATTATGCCAGAGAAAATAGCTTGTTTTAGAATGTCAAACCAATGATGTTCATTTGTTTTACTTGATGTCCAAATCCCGTGTAGGTCAAACCAATTCAACTCTTTTATTTTATGGTTAGCAGTTAGCCCATTAGATACCATGCATTAGTTTATTGTTAAATTTTTTATTTTTAGCAATAAAAAGAAGTATTGTTTTTGCCTCTTCATATATATTTTATCACCACGGAGAAATAAAAGGGCTTAATGAAAAAATTGACACTCTTGAACCCGTTTAAATCCGCATGTGTACGGTAAGTTGGCCCGTTCCACAGAGGAAAGAGGAAAAAATTGACACTCCCTATTATATCATTCCTACAAACGCTCCTGGAGCAGGAAATTTGAAATGGGGGAAGAGTTTTTTCCTCTCTGCTATTATATCTTTTTAATTTAAAAAGATACAACAAATGTACTTAGTGTGATTGGTTATGATCCTTACTTTTCCTTAAAATGGTCATGGTTCGAATCCCACTACGTGTCTTTTTAATGAATTAAAAAAAGTAAGTGTGAAAACCAAAATGTCCTTCCTACTTTCACTCTCGTTGCAGGAAATTTGAAATGGGGCTCCCGTTTTTCCCTTCGGTGTATTATATTATGTGTAGATTTTACAGAGAATCAACGAACCCACAAGTGGCAATAAACCAAGCATTTCCTGCAACTCTTTTTTCCTTTTTCTCTTATACTCATTGTCTATTTTTAAAACCTTTTTTAAGGTTGGTGCAACTTTCTTTTTCGCCGGGAAAGAAGAGTTGCGGCGGCGTTGCCTTTACACCAACTAGGAGTGGCGATAGTTAGTTTTGTTGGTTGGGATGGGAGGTGATGATCTTCCAATGCCTAGAAATCAGTAGCCCTCTCTCTACCCCTTTCCTCCTCGTTTTGCACCTTTCCTTTACTTTCAATCCACATTAACAAACAAGCCAACAATACCTTTCTTCAACCATACTCCTCGTAATTGAATACTGCTACTGTGCTTAGACATTTGAACATTCCAACGTCATATGCAATTGTGGGATCATGCATTTCGCATTACTACGATAACTGTTTGTACACCAAATGACTATCGCCGAATGCTCAATCCAACGACCGTGAAATGCATTGAATGCCAGGAGATGTTAGGAGCCTATCCGGATGTTGAGGCCGTATAGGATATGACAAATTAGGAACTACTGTTATAAACACTCTCAAGTCTCAACATACTAACAGTGACCTTCTAAGAGGCTCATAACGTCCAAGAAGGTGAACAACTACGAGACCAAGTTGTGTACAGCACCAGTTAACACCGTCCCCTGTATCGACAGCCCCAGTCTAAACCACGCTGAAAACTTTCGAAACCAAGAACAAGCTACAACAATCATTGTCGAGCATCAAATCACAGCTAAGAATGAGCTTTGTATATAATGATGAACAGAAAACTGAAGGAAAATACGCTGAAGTCTATTATTTAATGCCAATGAAGCACAAAGGACTCTTCTTGATGAGGTCAAGATCCACCTGCAAATCAACATCCAAAACACGCCTTAGTCAGCAACTATTGCACCACTAAAGACCGTGAATAAAATGATATGCTTTCTTAGTATGGGTTGATAGTTAGATTACCCTGTGCCCGAAGAGATCTCGGATGTTATCGATGCCGTACAGTATCATTGTAGGTCTATGTCGAAACAAAGAAGCAAAATAGAAGAATAATTGATTAGTTAAGTTGGAAGAAAATGAAGGTTCTGTGTAGATGGCGGTAGAACCAAATTACCAGAGACCGAGACGAGATGCCAACTTGCTTACCTTTCAAGAGAAAGCCCCCATGCAATGACCCTGACATCTTCAGGGAAACCCATTGGCTGAAGCATCTCCGGTCTGAACATTCCAGAGTTCCCAATCTCCACCCATTTCCCAAATCCTTCATGATAACTGAACAGATGTGTATAATTAAATTAGACCTCTTATGTGCTCTGCATGAAAGTACCACCAACCCAGCATAAAAAACAGCATCATTAGTTACCTGAATATTTCCATGCTAGGCTCAGTGTATGGATTGTAGGCAGGCTTGAAGCGCAAGTTTGACATTCCTGGACAAAAAGATAGTAACAAGCCAGTAAGGCACCAATTTGATATCCTACCCAAGTCCTCATTGCTTCTCAAGTCATTGATGATTACCTAGACGCTTGAAGAAGTCTTCCAGGACTCCTATCAAGTGACCCAGTGTGAGCCCTCTGTCACAGATCAGACCTGAAAACAAGAATCATTGGCCCAGGAAAGTAGAATGCCTCAGCGGCAAGTTCTGATTGAAGATAGAAACTTTACAATCATTGTAAAGCTTAATGTGTAGTACTTTGTAACAGAAGTAAACCCAGTCATGCAGAAAACTTGTTTAAGAGGGAGAGAATAGCCATGAAATCATTAGTTATTAGAGGATTTTTCTGATTATTTTAGGGCCATGAATTGACAAAAAAGAAATGCAATATATAGCATTTCTTTTTTTGAGGCAAGACAGAAGGCTACAAGTCAGAAAATAGAGGATTCATGCGAGAACAGAATTGATCCAATCGTTTCGTAAAACAGGGGATGACAGAAAAATGAATTGACAAAAATAGAGGGGACCATACCTTCTATCTGGTGGAACTCTGCAAGATGTGTACGGTCTACTGCTTCATTTCTGAAAACACGGTCAATGGAGAAGTACTTTTTAGGGGTGAAACCATTCTGTTTTGTGTCCTGCAATTAAGAGAATGGTACTTCTATTAAAAAATCCCCTCCATAAAATACACCGTAGAAGAGGGATATAAATACTAGGAAAAGGGACCTGGGGACAGGGAAAGGATAAAACGTACAGAAATCACGATCAATATACCTGTGCTAGCTTATAAAGCATCCTCGAAGAGATCGCTGTCGTATGTGTACGCAAAAGATTCTTGTTTGCTTCTTCTCTTTTCCACTCATAGTTATATCTGCCAGCAGTCAAGAAAGTTGAGAGAGGAAACATTTTGCTTGGATCATCAAGGAAAAGGGATGCAGATGAGATCTATATACCCTCGTGATCCATAACCACCAGACTCATGAACTTGCTTCACTCGCTCAACATAATCTTCAGGGAGCTGCATTGTTGTTGAAGGAGCTGCACAAGAATACATCAGATCACACTACCACAAGGGTGTGAACCAAAATCAAACTGTAGATAGTTATACAAACATACTTTTCAAGAAAAATGTATCATGTGAATCCCGGGCAGGATGTTGCTGTGGCTGGAACAGAGCATCAAAGTTCCAGAAACTGAAAATACAAAAGGAAACATGTTAGTTGTAGAAAATAACATGAAGACTCTAAGATTGCTTCCTTGAACTGTTTTTACTCAAAAGTTCAATAGAAGGTTACAAGAATCTCCAGTCTTACGAGCTACCCCGGCAGAGTTTATCAAGCTAAACTCAAATGTCGAAGCATAAACAGAAACTAATAAAGCAAGTAAAAATTTAAAGAGTTACGTAGAGGGATGGAAAAGGCAGAGACCTGCTTTCAACATATCTATTTGTGGCCATTTCCTCAAAGCTGCAACCAAGAGAAAAGCAGTTAACATGAGAGATGCCCAGGATTAGATAGAAAAGCAGTAGCTCCAGAAAGAAAATACTCACCCCATCATACGAAAGATTCTCTTTATACAGTCTTTCATCTGAAAATGGAAGGAACTTCAGAAATGAATTTCGATAACACAGAAGAAAGCAGATAGTGATGTATTGCGGCTTGGGAAGCAGAGAAGGCAGGAAAGCAAGAATAAAAGTTTGACAATATATGCATATCCTTATCAAGATATACAGCATATGCAATCATCCGGTACTTATTAGTTATGGGATTCTTAGTCCCCACCAGTAACTTAGAAATGGTTTTCAGAAATATGAATTGGTTTCTACATCTAAATATGTCTTATCTCGAGTGATTATAGGCCTGCTTCCAACTAAAACATTCAATAAAGGCAGGCATGAAATGGGTTTTTAGACAGCCACAATAAAAAAAGGAGTCGGAAAAATGCAACCAAAGCTAGAACCATCTTGCCTTATTGAGTGGGTGAAGATGACCACATTCAGAAGGTGGACCTTTAGCATTGAAGTTATACGCTTTGAATTTCAGTTTCTCCCAGTCGCCACTACATATTTAGAGTAGTTTGTTAATTAAGTATGTCACACAAACCATTATCAATAAACTGCTGAATGATATTGTACTGTATGACTAAACTTCAGTGCATAAGCAACTAACCAGAAGAAAAGCTATTAGATGAAAAATTACTAGCTGATGCTACATGGACATAACAGACTAAGAAGTTATAAGAAAACTATGTGCAGTGAAAATAAGTGTATGCATACCTCTGCAGGTTTTCTCGGGTCAAATCAGTCGCAAACTTTTCTCTTTGGGGAGCATAACTAGGTCCCTTTCTTACAGAATATCCCTTCCACGTCCTAGACCAGAAAACTCACTTTTAAGTTATAACTAATCACGAGGCACCTAAATGTGTACAGCACAACACAAGGAGCCCCAGGGATATTGAATTAAAGAACAAAGATGAGAACCATACTGCAAAACAATTAGCTTCCTTGCTTTGAGGGAGTTAATATCAGCTTGACCAATGACCTGAATAGTAAGAGTCAAAAAAGGTAATGTTTAAGCACCAGAGACGAGAATAGATAGACAATAACAAACCAATTTGAAAGTTCTCTAAATGAAATGAGCAAAAGCCACCAAAGATGTCAGGAATAGAACTGATGAGTACTAACCAAGTCCCATAAAAAACCAGTTTATTCCTTAGAATGATCGTGACTATAACAAGGATCACCGAAGGCAATATGAGAAAACCAACCCCTAATATATGGACATCTGCATCTTATTGATTTCATTGCTACATAAAACATCGACATGCATTAAATAAGGATTCTAATTGATCACAAATCAAGTTAAACAGAGCAGGGATAAATATGACTCACAATAACAGAATTGTATTGTGGGTACCATATAATAATTAGGACAAAAAAACGAACCAATTTCTAATGGCTAATATCAACCAATCATAATAAACAAGAGCTTCCAGGAAATATAGAATCGCCATGCCAAATATTGAGGCCAAGAAATTCAAACATTTATCGGCAATACAGGTAATCAAAACTGCAAACCTGTGCCTTCTGTATCTTCAAAAGTAGATCTTTCACCTTGTCCTCCACTTGAACTACCTACCTCGAAGCAAAAGAATCAAACAAATACTAATCAAGGGAAACGTCCAAGGTTCAAAATACTTACAGAAAGACTTTAACTTTAATTCCAAGACAATCTCCTCTTAGTTTTGAGTAGGTGATTCCGTTCTGAAAAGTTCTCCTGGTGTTCCCCCATCTTACTAACAAGTGGAAGGTTCTTCGAAGAAAACAAAAAGCATGAAGAAGTTTCAGTCACCTTCCTCGAGACCTGCCTCCCCATTTCCACCCATTTGTTCTTCCCAGCTTGAGAACAGCCGATTTTGAAAATTGCAGGGTCAAACTTTTTCTGCATGAGAAATGGTTCCAGAACAAGTCAGCAAGGCTTAAAAATTACTTCAAAACCATATTTCAATTATTATTTACACGTTGAACTGCTTCGTTCTAGAGTTGAGCGATGCACAATTATATCGCTTACAAAAGGTTAGGCTTCAAGATTCATAAACACAGTAGCATTGAATATGCATACTTAGGGACCATAAAATAAAAACAATGAGTTAACAGCAACCTGCAGCTCATCTTTAGCGATGCTGCCTTCCGCTGGTACAGCCAAGAACAGTTGAACTTCAGGTGAGCCTTCAGCAGCATATCTTTTTCCTTCATCAGTAAGAACCCAGGTTTCCTTTTTAATGTCCTGCGAGTTGAAAAGAACAATCTTTAGTCTCCAGTCTCAACAACGTCAGACAAGCTCTTATCTTAACCAAATCAACAATGGCGACTCAGAACATGCATTCTTGGAAGACGCACACCAGTCAAAAGACAGCCCTCTGCCGGAATTACTACCTGGTCTACGATTGGGGACCTGATTGCTTAAAACTGTGGAGTAAGAAAGGTAATTCTACTACTCCGACACTGTTCCATACATGTCCCCAGAAGAGAAACCTCTAAACCCCAATTCTATCACAAGCGGACCAACAATTGGCGCAATACTCCATTTTCGTTTAAGGAAGTACAGACTAGTGAGAAGTACCTGAGACTCGACGTAGAGAAAACCGTGAAGACTCTTGATGGCGTTAACAATCTCGGCGTGGTCGATCCCACATTCTGCAGCGAAGTTCCCAGAATCGGCTATTTCCTCGTGGGTCTCCAAATAGCTGAGAATCGCCTGCTCGGCCATCTTTCTCTCGGTGACGGTGATGAAAGACCGTCAGCTACGGCGGCGGCCTTGTCCCTCTTATAGAACCCTAGTACCCAGCTCAGTCATAGTCAACTTCGGGCAGGGGTGGGCAACGGGACGGGACGGGATACCCGTCCCGTTTTAAACGGGTACCCAGTCCCATTTAGAGATCAAAGTCCATCCCATATCCCAAACTCATATGGGAAACGGGTACCCATTACTCGTACGGGACGGATAACGGGTACCCATACTACCCATAAATACCCAAAGTTTAAATCACATTTTACCTAAAGACAAGTAGTCAATTACATCCAAAGCATTCATTTCAAAACACAAAATGGTTGCACAAGTAGCAACTTACACCAATTCCTACAACCTAAAGAAGGGATGATGATGAAGATGAAAAGGAATCAAGGAAGGGGAAACAGTAAAAAAAGCTACATAGAACTCAGCCGTTGAACGTGCGTGTTGCGTCTGTGAGGGAATGAGGTTAGAAGTTACCGAATAACTGAATATGCCCTGTGAGGGAATGGGGTTAGAAGTTACCGAATTGTAATTGAATCATGTGATTGCGGCTGGTGCTGCTCCCCAGTTCTGAATGAATTCATATCCTTTTGTGTTGGAAAAGTAAAGACAAGTCTGATTTGCAACCGTGTTAACAGGTTTTACTTGCTCCAAGAGGACTAGGACATGTCCGGAACTACAGTCGCCTTGTTGTGCCAGGTAATATTTACTTTAAGCTTACCCCTTTTGTTGATGGTTGTTTTTGGTGGATGCTGAATGTAAGGGTTTTTTTACTGTTACAGGTTCTATAGTTAGTCTGACGCCCATATTACTTGCTCCAAGAGAAGATGAATTATATGTCTTTGTAATTTGAATGGGTACAACGGGTACCCATATTACCCAAATGGGTATTCGCGGGTAACCCGCGGGTACCCATATTAGGACTGTACAATTCCAAGTCCCATCCATTTAAAATATTACGGGTAATATGGGTACCCGTAACCCTTAGAAAACGGGACGGGTACGGGTATACCCAAATACCCGTTTCCCGTTGCCCACCCCTAACTTCGGGTGGTTTGGATGTTGTGATTTCAAATGGTGTATTGAGCCAATTGATGTATTTGTGAGATTAAGTCGTTTTTATATTAAAAAGAATACATGTATTAACTTTTTGGAGGCCCCACCACAATCACTCATAATTGAGAGATTATCTTTTTGATGAAGGTGAGAATTGCATTGAAAAAACAAAAAAAGAGTTTGACACAAAGGGCACCAGGAGTGCCACAAACTACAATGACTCAAAATTGAGAGATTATCAATCTTAACTTTTTGTTAAGATTCTTCACAATCACTCAAAATTGACTTTTGTGGCTTTACAACAAACCACAATCTAAATCTCCAAACAAAATATTTTTCTAATACATCAATTGATTCAATACATCAAATGATAATACACTAATTGATTCTTACAGTCTTTCCCCGCGCCCCGTCTTCTCTTCAGTTCCTCTCTTTTTGTTTTTCAATTTCCATCTAAATCGAAAGAATATTATTTTAGGGTTTCCGGCATTAAATATTTTGCCTTGTTTTGTAGACCTGGCAATTAGGTTGGGTTGGTTAATTTCGGGGTTGGGACTCGGTTACGGCTCAAGTAATATTGGGTTGGTTGCTTTCAGGTCAAATATTGACCCAATTTCTCGGGTTTCAGGTTGGAATTATGGGCGCTATAAGAAACAATATCAAATTGTAAAAAACATGTGCATTGCAATAGTTTACCTAGAACATGTTCATTAACATATTCTCAAATTCCCCATGCTAATGAAATGAAATACAAATTGCATAAATTGTCAAAAAATAATCACAAGAGTAATACTACTACAAGAAACACATGATATTTGATTATCCTTAATTAAACTCCAAACATGTCTTTCAAAATCTTGTGAATTTTTTTAAACATCTCAACAATTTATGAGTGATTTTATCATTTTTTTGAATGACATATGAAATAGAATGGGTTTAATGGGTCAATCGGCTAACCCATCAATCTGACCCAAAAAACCACAGGTTAATCGAGTTTGGATCATTCCGATTTTTGGATTATAAAAACTTCTATTTTTTGAGCGACTTCGGATCGGATCAACAAATCGGATGGTAATTTGCGAGGTCTACTTCTTTGCTATTTTTCTTTCTCCGTCATAATAGTTAAAAAGAGCCAAGGAGCCCGATGGGTGCATAATGCATTGCATTTTGAGGTCATTGATGTTAAGAAATCAGAATACATTGGAAACTGTTGTGTATTATTACTGATACCACATAGGGTTTATATCATGGTAAAGGAAACCGTACCGGACATCATACCGGATTTCTTTCTGGTATGGTATTTTGTGGTACGACCGTGGTTCAACCGTTTTGTACCGGTAAATACCGTTTTTCACTATTGATAGAGAAATGAAATACGATAGTATAAAAAATATAATTCATCAAAAAAAGAACCAAATAGAGCATTATACAACCACGGTGACCCATTTTCAACATAGAAAAATAGCAAAATAATATTCTTTTTTAATTATTTTTCACATATTGGACGAGAATACGTAGAAATGAAGCTGAATCATAGACCAGGAAACCGGATCGTACCGGCCGGTTCAACCGGTCAAACCGAAAAAACCGGCCGGCACGGTAAAATCAGCACAAGCAGCCCACCGTACCGCTTTTGGTCCAATTTCCGGTTGAACCGGCCGGTACGATCCGGTTTCCTGGTCTATAGTTTATATAGAGTACAAAGAGTGACTTCTAAAATAATCCTAACGCAACGGAAATAACCTAACTTCTACGACTCTAATAAGGAATATAACTTTACCCAATTACATACTAGTACTCGTAGTATAACACAATACTACTCGTACTACACATACTCTATACCCTCCCCAAATTGATGGTAATTACATACCAACAATTTGAAAACCGAAACAAAAACTAACACAAAAAGAGGAAGAAAAAAAAACTAAGAAACCGATAACTGCTACTAATCCCAAACTTCGTGTCGATGTTGAAGAAGACCATGCCCCACGAAAACTGCTACTAATAAGGAATATAACTCTACCCAATTACATACTAGTACTCCTAGTATAACACAATACTACTCGTCCTACGCATACTCTCATAACTGAAGCAGAATTATCTAACCAATACGGCTATGATAAGGATGGAGAGTTCTCAGAAGCCAATTCCTCAAAGAAACAAACTCATGGAACCGAAATTGGGTTCATTAATGGAAGATCACAAGCTTTATTCATTGGGACAAGACCAAAACCGAGGCACTTCATTAAGCACGCTTACAAAAAGAGATACAATGTGAGTGAGCTTGGATCAACCTATGTCCGAAGTCCGAACTCGGAATACAAAGACAAAACATTAGGCATTTTCTCATTCCTTAAACTCGTCAAGCCTCAGTTTTATGCAAATACCAAGGCATTCCATCAAGCAAGCTGACAAAGGGAGATACTTGCTACATATAAGAGAATCAGAAGCTGTATATCTTAAGGATAGTGTCAAATCAAACCACAACTCCTATGAACCTAAACAGTAAGTAGGCTTTGGACTTTGCGATATCACCGACGCTTGTATAAGCAAGGCTTCAACTCCGGCCACTCAATTGCTTTACTCTTCGAGCTTTCCCGTTTCTCCTACAAAGATTTGAACACACAAACAATCAATATCTAACAAGTTATATTGAATGTCATGTTGGTCAGAAGGTGAAAACTGGGAACCAACCTTCTTCTGGAAATGGAACAAAATGAACATTTTGTTTGAGAAATCCTGTGTAAACCAAATCAGGAGTTAGCAGTTCGGTATATTAGAAAAGTTAACTTAAAGAGGTGGATAGTTTCAATGTTGATGACGAACCTTCAGCACAGATGTAAATCCCAACTCGGAAATGGCTTTCACAAACTTATTTGGGTCTGCCCCTCCAGTAATTGGATCAAACCTACTTTTTACCTCTGCTATCAGAAGCCAACCACTGCGAGAATAAAATACGAGTTGGACACACAATGAACACAACCTAGAATGCTGAAAATGCAGCAAGGAACACGAACCCTGGCTTAAGCACCCGTTGTGCTTCGTTGAGGTAACTTGGATAATCAGTGCCCATCAGTGAAAGGCAAAACACAGCTACATCTACAGTTGAAGAATCAAGGGGTGTCTGCAAGGAAGTAACAGAACTCAGATACAGAGACTATATCAAGAAAAGCTTATGCATCGTATGAATCAAGATACAGAAATAATTGACAGTGAGTATTATACTTTTGACATATCACAAGCAATTACTGAAGGATCCTTGGATATGAGATCAAAAGAAAACACCTTATTCTTTACATTCTTCGCTAGGCGTGCATCTCCTGAAACAATTATACAAGAGGAAAGAGAACAAACCATCAAAATATTTATACCATCCATCTTACACAATCCCGTCAGAACCTAGCAAGAGTAAGAAATGATGGAGTTCAGAAGGCCTCACCACAGCCAAAATCGGCAACAACAAACGAACGGTTATGATCTTTTAGCCACTTTATGATTACATTTACAGGTTGCTCAGGCCAGTGTGCCATTTGTTCTTGATACCCTGCATGATACTGTCAGGTAAGTAAGATAATGTTAAACCAAAATCTATTGACACTCACAATATCATTTCAAAATTGTCAACTTTTAAAGGAACAAATGAAAGGAGTTCAGCTGCGAGTAAATAAGGCCAACTCAATGAACTGGAACATCCAAAAACAAGCATGCATCAAATTGAATCTAATTCCCCCTTACTTTCATTCAATGCCAATTGCGAAAAACTCTATGCCTTGAGTAGTCAGCTTGATACGAGTTCAGGGCAGCATACATGAAATGAAACACCAAGATATAGGAGAAAGTTTTGTTTTTTTAATAAGACATAGGAGAAAGTTAAGAATAAGATAGAAATGAAGGAAGTCTTACCATGTTAAATAACGATGGATCTTCTTTGAAATAGTTAAATGCCTCCCCTCCACTGAAAATAGAGAAGGAAGAACAACATTGAACACCAAAAAATCGACTGGAATAAGACTCATGCTCTAACTAACAGGCGCAAAAGCACAAGCAGCACTACCAGGGGAACAAATAAGTAACAGATTAAAACCAAACACTGTGCCACCATTCACTGCTCAATTCACATAGAGCCAAATACCCATCAATGAGAATTGAGAAGAGGGAAGAGAGTAAAACCCAGAAGAAGGAAACGAGGACACTTACGTGCAAGTGTAGAGCGTTTCATTCAGCATTCTGAAATGCCCTCCAGCTAATCTGGCTTTCATCTGCAATTATTCAAATACTAAGTTCGTCAGCGATCCATCAATTGATTTCTACGAACCATTTGCTGAGAGAAGAAGAGCAAGGAGGGAAGAGAGACATGGACCTTATCAAGGAAAGAAGAAGAAGACGACGGCTTTGGCCGCTTCGAAGCGGCAGCAAGTTCGTTACTTTGACCACCATGTTTGGCCTTTGTGTTGTCGTTCGACTTAATCTCCTTCTGTTGTTGAATTTGCGGCTTGCTGCCAGTCTTCTTCCCTCGCTTGCGCTTTCTGCTCTTAGCTTCCGGCATAGCGCTCTCGTACAAATTTCTAAAACCCTCTCTGTTCCGCTACTGCAAGTCTGCGACTTAACTCTTCCCTGTAAAGTAAAGGCGAGAGCTGAGAAGCCAAGGGAAGGATGACGATACAGAGAACTGGACTTGCTATGGGCCTTTCAGCCTTCTTCTAAAGCACGACCGAAGAGCCATAAGAGGTAAATGAACATCCAACCAAGCCCATGGGTCAGTCAATACATTGGACTCGAAAGTGGTATCTCACTGAAATATTTTTTTACCACTGAAATTGTGAAAACCACTTTTGTGACAAGTTAAGTCATTGTTATTTGATGGTGGATAACCTAATAATAAACCAAAAATTTGATAACAACGTTTAGTTTTATAGCTCCTATTTGGTAGTGGGAGATGTAAATTTGTGTTATTTCATTAACGAGCTCCATTGTCTCTTGATTTTGCTTCTGATTAAGGTTATCCTTGATATATAATTCTTCAAACTTTAAGTTTCATTCTTAAACCTTAATTTTTAAATTAAATGTCTTATAAGTACAAGGATGTTGAAAAGAGATATAGAAGTGATGAAATGTCGACTATAATCGCAAACCAATACGCATTATGGATTACAGAGGAATCCAATTTTCGGTGAGATGGACGCGATATCTAGGCCATATAGCCTCATATATTTATTGTTGATCACTTCAATTGTTTATATGAGTCTTGAAAGTAAATACACAACAATATGATATGAATGTTGATATTCAAAAGACGTCTAGTCGTACTTTCCATAGTTTTGCTCAACTATACCGTAAGTCATTTATCCTATTATGACCAAATTGCAAGTTACATTGATCAAATGCAACTTAAGAAAATGTATGCATGTAAGCATACCTACAAATACCAAATATACATACATGTACATTCACATACGTGTAAAAACCAAATTGTGTGTTGCATTAATTGGTGTTGTGTCCATCCAGGAAAAGGAATAACTCCAACCTACAGAAGATTGAGCAATTCAAAGTCCTTCTCTGTCCTTTACTTGAAGTTAATCGATTTCACCACTTTGGACAACTCAATTCAAGCTAGCGTTCCATAAGGCTTAAACACTCCTTGATATGTGTGACATTCATTTAATGGAATATCAATTTCTCCCTCTATTTATTGAGCAAACAATGATTAATGTTCACTAATTCTTCGCTGCTCACAAATAGAAAAATATGTCTAATGCGTTTATTTATTTATTTATTTATGTAGTTTATGCCTTATTTTGTCCTCTGTTTCAAACGAGATCCAGTTAGTACTTTATAAACAGAGCTTGATGGGGCAAGGCAATCTATCTATTAATCCTTCTGAAAGGAGAACATGGTGGGTTTGGCACGATTTAGCCTCTATGCTGCTTGAGATTATAGCATCTCCAAAAAGTAGATCTGGAAAAAAGATCACATTTTGAGTTGATCACGTTACTCTAGGAGTCTAAGACCCCAAAATAACTAATGGACTTAAACCAAAGAAAAGAACTTGCACCGACTACCAAGGCAGGAACAATCTGTTGGTGGCAAGGCTTTGAATGCTTCCTTTTGGTCATTCACTACCCATCTCCCTATATAAACCAATAGCCATTTCCTATTCCATCACCAAGTAAGTAAAGCAACATATTTCTACAGCTCAACTCTACCTCTCTCAATATCTTCCCACAAGGCTAGCTAGTTAGGTAGCACAAGAAATGGCAGCCATTGCTGAGAACAATGTCAATGCTGATAATCAGCACACAAGTCCATTGGAGGAGAAGCTCAATGGGATGAAACTCAAGGATGAAACAAAGGGGGCAGCCGAGACTCTTGATCAGGTCAAGAAACAAGAGGAAGTTGCAGCAGCAGCAGCAGCAGAAGAAGTTGCAGTTGAAGTTGAGCCGAAAACTGGGATTTCATTCCCGGTCAAGCTGGCTGATGGGAAGGAACTGATGACCGTTGGTTTGAGGAAGAAATCCATGCTTGGCATGGGGATCAAGATCTACGGCTTTGGTAATAATCATTCATGTCTCTATATTATCAGAACCCAGGAACTGTTCTTGTTATGATGACCAAAAGTTGTCATCTTTTCTAATTTGCAGGGATGTATTATGATAAGGCGAAGCTGAAAGAGAATCTGAAGACAAAGATTGACAGCAAGGCATCCACTAAACCAACCAAGGAAATGTACCAGGCGGTGATCGACAGTGATTCAGCCATGACAGTGAGGCTGGTGATTGTGTTCTCTTCGCTGACCATGAACATGGTCAAGAAGAACTTTGATGAAGGTCTCGGAGCATCTATCAAGAAGCTCACTGGAGGGAAGAAGAACGATGATCTCGCCAACAAGTAGGACCATTAGCACTTCAGCAATGTTAGTTTCAGTCTGTAACATTGGAAAATTCAATACACCAATTGATGATGATTGATTGCAGGGTGATGGGTGCAGCTTCTGATGGAATCAAGCTGTCGAGTGGCTCTGTGATCGAGATCTCCCGGCTTCCAGGGAATGTACTCCAAACCAAAGGTGGAGTCTGTCTTATAGCATAACACAAATGCAATGGATTCTGGAAAAAATAGACTGGAAGCACTGAACAATTTTGTGTTTGATGTGTGCAGTGGTGGATGAGGTCATCAGCAAAGTTGACAGCGAGCTTCTATGCAGGGCCTATGTTAACATGTATTTGGGAGATGATCCATTAGACAAGGAAGCCAAGGAGAAATTTGGGATGCAATTGCTTTCTATGTTCTAAAAAACCTAGAAACCCCCCATCAAACTCGTATCGAGACACATAATCAGTAATAAGAAGCTGGTGTTGCTAGCTGCTCAATAACACAAGGGCATGATGAATTCCAGTGTGTAACAATCAATCAACTTCCCTGCTTCATTTTATGTCACCAAGTGTACCTTGATCTTTAGCAATTGCAATGACAAGTGTGATAAGAATCAACTGCAAATCAGATCACGAAACTCGCTGTTTCTAATTACATCTCAGAAATATTGATAATATCATATCATCACAAAGAGGCAACATACAAATATCTTGTTGCTCAGCAATGTGGAATTGACTCACTGCAAGACCAAATCCCTAAATTTTATAGCTTTTCTACTAGTAGTATATATAACTTATTGGGAGAAAGGTTGTTGAGTCAATAATCTTACTTATACACACTACGTGAACTGATCAAGTTCATCAGAAACCGTAAAGAACCTTTCGAGGATCTAATTGCCCACTGCAATAACTTGATGAAACAGTAGAGAGCTCCTGGTAGCCTTTCCATTCTTCCAAAGGTTTTAGGACGATTGGGGTTTCAGTGACAGCAGAATCCACACACAACATGGTTTTGTAGTCCTCGTATCCCAAATCAGGCACTGTTTTGGCCCTTTTGTCCCAAGGATTCCACATACCTGATTGTTGAAAAACAATGCCCCATTATTAGGATCTAAACTTCCTTGCAAAAAATGAAGAAAACATTTCAATGTTACCTGCATCAGGCATCCCATCCTTGCGCAGCACAAAAGTTCTCTTCTTCTCGTGGTCTATAATGGCAATCTTCTGTGGAGAGCTCAAATATATTCTGTCAACCTGCAGGAAAGAACACCACCATTCTCCTATTATAATTTCAAAAGCATTTGGTTGATACTTGTAGCAAGCTTAAAGAATCAATGGAGATCTCACCTCGCCATCAAAAGTGATTGCATCTGCCTGTTCAGTAAACCTCTCTCGCCTCATAAGATTGTCTAAGTAGTCAAGTGTCTCCAAGCCTTCAACACGCACTTCACTGCAATAAAACAAAGCCCAGAAGGTAATTTAGACAGTCCAAGTTCACGATATTGCAAGGACCACAACTTTCATCATAAGATTTTACTGTGCATACCTGATATCTGATACAGATAAATAGTTTCGGAGAGCAAATGTGAAAGAGAAAGGTTTGGTATCTGTGTTTCTCACGCGAGGTATCAAAGTGAGCTTTCCAGCACTAAGGGAGACACGAAGCCGTAACTCAAAGCTGCTCATCGAGTTGAAGGAGATGTTGGCAGTTCAGAACATAGCACAAAGGTTTACTCTTTTGCTTATTGGATTAATGATCAGATTATGGAAGCAAACATACCTCCGAGGCCAGATCTTCAGGTCCTCATCTGTGGACTTCAACAGAAGATCTACTGATGAGTGGTTGTTTGATGGAGGCAAAGGTGAAGGATCACTGTCTATCGTCCAGAATTTATTCCTAGCAAATCCATTTCTCTCCGAAGTACCAAGATTTCCAAACTGTAATCAAGTTCTAATGGGTAAGCAAAATATGGATTCCCCTACCCTAAGCAAATGGAGCAATACAAGAACTAGAACACTTTGCAAAATTCATCCCTAACCTGAGGAAAGAAGACAGGTATTCCCCCTCGGATGGCCTTAGGTGGCTTCCATATGGCCTGCCCCAAAAAATGAAGGCAACATAATATCTATTGAAGTTATAACTAGAACCAAATCATACATAACAAGTGAGTAAACTGAAAAATCAGAAGACTATCTTGCCTCGTTTCAGAAGTTCACATACTCACCTTGCTGCTCATAAAGAGTAGTTCTTCTCTCCTTTCATTCTTCCAGGAGACAACCTGGCCCCCATACAGAAGCACCTGCAAGAAACCATAGTTGTCGACAAAGTGTTTGTAAAATTGCCGCAACCACAACATCCACATTTCCTCGTAGCCCAATTATAGTACAGAAGAACAGAGAAATGAGAGGGTACCTCAGCTGATGAGCCAGAAGGGTCGGCGAGAACGATCCTGGGGAAGCCATCACCATCATGAAACACGTTCATCAAGGGCATAGGCTTCAGCCGCAGCCTGGCTCTCAAGTTGTTCACAATTGGATTCGCTTTCCCTTTCCCCCACTCCAGCTGCACAAAAACGCAAAACCAAATCAAACCAAGAATACCAAAAACCAAACAACAAGAAATTCAGAATCCCAAAAGGGATAAAGACGCCAACTTTGTAAGAGCCCAGGAGGAGCTGGAAACAGGGGAGAAGCATAAAAAAGCTTGCTTACTTTTGTAGCTTGGTCGGCACTTCCGCACTTGCTGATTGAGCTCAGCTCAGGTATTCAGATAAGCTAGAGGAGGGTTGTAGAAGAAGATGGCGATGAAAGAATTGAGGAAGTGGGGAAGATGGAATAATCAATTGGGAAAGAAGCTTTGTTGAAATTATATATAGTGCATAGGAAGTTTGGTTCCGTTTGTCCGTTGGTTGGTTGGTTTGTTCTTAGTCACTTTCAATCTTAACCACTCGAAGTCCCCGGCAATCAGCATTCAGCACTAACCCAACTTAGAGTTGGAGCTTGGAAGAAAAAGGGCGAAACAGAGAAGGGAAAAGGACATAAGCGAATCACACCACCTTTTTGTTCTGAATATAGAAAGGAAAACCCCACTCTGTTCTTTTGATCAAGTGAATTACACACTTGTGTAGCGATGGGTGTGGGGTCTTATCGAACTTTAGATAAACGTATAGATTTAGTCCCTTTATTTATTGTTTGGCAACAAGTTTTACTCTTGATGTGCAATTAAGTTGCTTTTTTCATCCAAGGTTTAGCATGGAATCTTAAGAACCATAGAGGCTCACTAGACAAACATATGGAAAGTTCATGTTGGTCAACATCCTTTGCGAGTTTAGCGTACATTTCTCTGTTACCCTTGATAAGTTCACCTGGTAAAAAATTGAAGACCTCGAGGTCTATTGTGCTCGATTTGACAGTCTCATCGATTAATCTTTTATGACATATCCAAATATATGCAAGCAAAAACATTATCCTAGAGCTAAAAACTCGATTATAAATGAAGCCAACGAACGACAAGTTGAGGAGCTACCTAGCATGCCCTAGGTCCAATGAACCATCTATAATCCTTCTATCGAGAATATGTTCTATTTGCTCAAATACAGTATACATACGCGACATTCTCCCAAGAAAAATGATAATCTTCTTCGACCAAGTTCAAGACCTCAAGTATCCTGACTAATGACTTGAAAAGAACCACCATGTACGAGCTCAGCCTCAACCTTCACCTCATTGAAGAGAGTTTAGAAAATTTGATAACACTTCAACTTTGAGTGGCCTAAACAAGATTAGGTATGACTGACTTATGAGTCACTTTGCAGTATTTGACACGGCATAAGAAAACAAATGAAAGAGGGCAAATGCGCGAGGCTTGGGAATTTGCCTTGTGCGTGCTTTAACCCTCTTTACTTTGCAGCCTTTAGTGACAAAATGGGGGATGCAAATTGCAATAAATGGAGTCAGCAAATTGATTAGCTAGCTAGTTAGCAGGTAACCATCAATTATATAACAATCGTAGGGCTAAGTTAGGACTTGGGAATGGATGGAGTCTAGGGTAGGGCACCTAAGATTATTAGAAGGGTAATGTGTGATTAGGAATTGTTAGAGCAAAAGGGCTGCCCTTATCTCACCGTCATTTCACGTACATTCGTGGGAATTGATCCGTCCTTGTTAGTGGATAGGCATGGCAAATGGTACCTAGTTTTTTTTTTTCTTACGAAAAGCTTGCTTGTATTAACAAGAACATTAATTTGCACAAATTTTGGCTCCGATCAAAGCCACGCTCGAAAGTTGAAGCTTTTATAATTTGTAGGAAACAAAGACACGGTTTTTCTAGCCACCATATGAACTACCTTATTGTGCGCCTACCCAAAAATCTTACCCGAAACCCAGGTGAAGACGACATGAGATGACGAATTTCTTCAAGTAAGTCACTGCCAGCAGCATCCCAAATTTGACTAGCGTTCACCTTATCAATAATAACCTTCGCATCACCTTCAATCCACACAACGTCCAATCCACAGAGCTGTCACCACCTGATTGTATCCCGTAGTGCCGAGAACTAGTATCGGATTTTGAAGACCATAGTAGATCATCCCGTGTGCACCCACCACAGTACCTGACATCTCTCGTAACACCAGACCACCCACCGAATGGAAACCCTCACATACAGCCTTGTCAAAGGAACAAAAACCATATTCGCCGAAGAATCCCTCTCATTTTCATCATTACCTACTGCAGATGTCGTTACTGCCATGAAACCAGGAAATGGTACCTAGTTAAACACCACGCATATAAAAAAAACTTTGTTCAATAAAAATATAAATACACAAGAGAGACTTAACTTGACATTTCTCTACATAGAGTAGAACATGAACACAATCCATAGGCCAAAAGGAGAGAAACATAGTAAGATGAACTCTATCGGTGTTTATAGTTAATCACGATGTTTTGAAATTTTGAAAAGTTTATAAAACATGTTTATCATTCAAACTATTTATCAAGTATGTCACCTTTCAATATAACCTACGAATATCATTACTTCGTCATTCATTCAACTTAAAAGTGTGTTCAACATGTAATACATTATGACAAATATATTTTTATCACTTGCAAAGACCGTTAACGACACAAAATTTACAAGTCAATACACTAACAAAAATCCTCCAAGATTTTTTGACATAACCATGGCCAGCTAGGTGAGGATTTGGAAGCTTCTTTTGGTCATAGAACGTAAATCAGAATTGGGAAACTGAGAAATTAACAATTAATAAAGGGTCAGTTTCTTTGTCATTCGTGTATGTAACAGTTAAAATAAATCAAATGCAGTAGTTCATGGACATGGAGGAGGCTGCTTAAACTACGACCTCTTGGTCAGTTTCTTTGTCATTCGTGTATGTAACAGTTAAAATAAATCAAATGCAGTAGTTCATGGACTAGGTAATGATATATATTGGGGATCTGATTTGATGGTAACTTACCCAGTTAGAAGAGTTAGTGAAACGTTGAGGATTAAAGCTCTTAAGCTCCTGCTGTCTCATGGCATAAACTTGTATGGTGCAAGCTTTACCCCCACGATTTAGTTTGATTGCTTGGATTTTGATAAAAAAAAATGCAATTGTTGCACGGAATAAGCTGCTCAGGTGGGGGAAAATCACCGATGCATCCTATCCTTTTTGCAGCAAGGCAGTTGAGACTCGAGATCATCTGTTTATGCAGTGCTATTTCACACGGCGGGTTGCGTCTTGGTTGAACTGCAGTCTATTGAATCACAGGGATTGAGATGCTATGTTGTGTGTAGTTAGTAATGCAGCTAGCAGTAGTTCAGGAGCAGGGCATGCCATGGTTTGGTGCGTATTGTTGACATCTGAATGGAAGGAGAGATGCAATGTTGTTCACAGATCAGTATGCAAAGACACGGACAAAGTTGCAGGTTTGATAAAGGCAGAGATAGGTTATATTGTTGCTGGAAACGCCATTATGCAGGCGGATTTGATAGGGTTGGGATACTTATAGTTGTCTTTTGATCTATTTTTTTTTTATCGTTCAAGTTGTGATAGATGGCTGGTAGAGCAGGCTATACCACATAGGGTCATGTGTGACCATATTTCGTTGTATCGGTTTCTTCATTATGCAAAAAAATAACTGACTCAACCAAAAAAATCAATAAATCAAAGGCAAATGCATGTCACATATGTAATTAAATGGTTAGAGTTGTGCAATCATTGCAGGATACTGAGTTTGAATCTCATGCCTGCTTTATACTTGCTATAATTTTTAGAGTTACTTCCAAATTGACCATGTTGATCGTGTTGCATTGCAAGCTCTTACGACTCTCATGTCGAAAGGTCGTATAGCTTTGTTTTTAAATCTTGATAACTCACCTCACAAGAAAATGGTAAACCTTAATTTACCCATATCCAAGAAATCTTAGCTACTGTAGGGTTGACTCGACCTTTATGTGAAAAGAAATTTTGATAAATGACCTATATGTCGAATTACTCTACCTCTTGCAATTTGGTAACAATGGAGATATTGCTTGGATGTACACATATAATTATGCTTGTGAATTGATTTTCGACATGTACGTCAAAACCATTCAGAAAATAATTTTCAAATGAGCAACGATGATCGATATTTTGGCATGGAATATGAAATGATGGTGATGTTCTCCCAAGATGAGCAAATCAATAAGAGACTTGCATAGTGCTTTATCTTTGATTCTCTCCTCATCCCCTTTCAATCACCATTGATTTGTTTTATGTCGATCATGATGAGCTTATAAAATGTACTATGGCCCATTATTTTCACTCTTTGCTTTATTTAAGATGGTGGGGAGAAGGATTGATAAATGAGTGACCCTTCAATGTATCATGTTGATCATATTTCTGTTTTTGGATACGTCATAATTTCAACGAAAGAATTCTCATGTTTTGGTCGGTTGTCTGTATCCCCAAATTGATTAAGTAGTTGTAGTTAAGCTAAGAGCTAAGGCAACAACTTTGGCTGGTATACAAAGTTTGCAAGGTGGCGTCGGCCCTTTCCTGTTTGTCTACCTCTTGGCCGGTTGGGTAATCTATGTAGTATCTACTTCCCTATCATCAATTATTTTGGGAGCATCCGTGTGCATTAACAAATAAAATGTGTTTAATGGGGTAAAAGTTTGATAAGACGAGTAATTAATGGAGAAATTTTACAATGCTATATAGTATTGGTGCTATAAGATTTTGTTTTATGGTACAACTTAAAATTGTACATTTACGTTATGGTGCAATTTCAGATTGTACCTATACATTTTGTACAAATTATTTTATGGTACAACTTGAACTTGTACCTTTATGTGATGATACAACTTCAAGTTGTAAAGTTGTACCAGGGGCGGACCCAAGGGGTTTTAGGGGTGTCCCCGGACACCCCTAAATTTCGGGAAAATGATTATCTAACCCCCGGTGGTAATTTACGTATAGACAAAAAAATATATAATTGATAGTGAGGGACACCCCTAAAATTTGAAAAAATGATTGTCCTACTGTCATTTGTGTATAAAAATATAAATGGTATGTTGGGTAATTCAAATCTAGAACACTATTATTATTAATAAACTTAATTTCCGTTGAGCTACAACTCATTTGTTGTTCGATTTTGAACAATGTGTAATAGTAAAAAGTCATTCCCTATCTCTAATTATTTCAATCTAAACTAATTTCAATCTACCCTTAATTTGTATTGATTTTATGATTGTACGGCGAGTGTTGAAGAGTCTTTCAACTTTGGGTTACATCAAGAACAAGTTTACAAATTAAATATGCGATAAGTTCCTGAATGATTGTCTAGTAGGGTATATAGAGAATTTTTTTAACACTATAAACACCAAGTGTATTTTACAATTATTTCGAATATGAAAACACATCATGAAATTTTTTAACCTGTACGAGTAAAATATTTTCATATTTACGATTTTATTTTTATTAATTATTTTTATTTTTATTTAATTTATTTTTTAAAAGAGGACACCCCTATGGAAAATTTCTCGGTCCGCCACTGAGTTGTACCATAACATAATGATACAAATTACTTTATGGTACAACATAAACTTATACATTTAATGTTATGGTACAACATTAAGTTGTACATTAAACCACCAATACTATATAGTAGAAGTCCTCCTAATTAAGGTTGTTGAAATGATGCGAGAATTTTGACAACACAATATACCGCGTAATTGAGGTGGTTGAAAAGTTGTTTTCACAACTCTAAGGAGATTTTGACTTTAAATTTCAACCCATTTTGTGGTTTTCTTATCAAAATTCCTTAATCAGGAGCATTATTGTTTGAGTCAACAAATCAATTCAAGTTGCATAACGATATCTAATGGGCACTACTCGTTAACTGATATTTTCTAAAATGAATTGCCTTCATTTGAATTTGATTGTAATTAATACTTGTTAGAGTAAACATTTGGGTCGTTGTGGGTTCTTTATTCTTGTTGGCTCGGGAGAGAGGAATAACGACTTCCTGATATGACTTCGTTTAATAACTCGAGATATTGAAACTAATTAGTTCTTGAAAAATGATATAGAAACCCTTTAAGTGAAATGTCATGCGTCTAGATTGTGACATTAGTTCAAAAATGATAGTGCTTAAATAACTGGTTGCTAAGTCTTTTTTTTTAACCAAAGATAATTATAAATATATTGATAAGATCAGAAGTTACACCCTGGATTCAACCCAAGCACGAAAATCATACAATCGACTCGAGGCCGGAGACAAAGAAAGGGTCTTCCTAGCCACTGAATGTGCTACCCTATTGCTATTCCGACCAACGAACCGAACACAAAAACCACTATGCACCCTTAGCAGACTCAGAATCTCCTTGATAATAGCCCCTACCCGACTATCCCGCGCATCCTTAGCATTAATTTTGTCAATGAGTATCTTTGCATCACCTTCAAACCTCACTTGAGGGATGCCAAGGTCCTGACAACAATGGAGAGCTTCACGCAGGGAAATAGTCTCTACCACCAGGGGGTCAACCACACCCTCAAAAACCAACCCTTTCGCCGCCACCACAGTCCCACCGCTATCCTTCACAATCAGCCCTCCCGCTGAATGGGAACCAACACATACCGCACTATTCCACATACAGACAAGAGGAGACATACCGTCCTCGCCCTGATGATCTAATTAACCAGTATAATTTTTCAAGTCGAGATAAAGAAGGAAAATGAGTTTTTCTCCCGTGGTTCCAAAGAAGGGGAAAAAACTCATCCTTTATTGCAAAAATAACACTTATAGACTCAACTTACCATAACCAAAATGATATTTGATAATTCTATGTCAAAAATGGAAACGAGTTTACACATCATTTGATCGGAATCTCAAATGAATTTTGAGATAACTTGTTCGACACATATTTTTAAACGAGAGACTCCTTAATGACAAAAAAAAAAAAATCCTATTTACCCACCACAAACACATTAAGTGCCCATTAGTCATATTTTCCTCCACTCTAGCTTATACCCCATGTTGAGAAAAAAATTCTCTAGAAACCATAAAAGGAAAGATGGAAATTAACTTCCCGGACACCAAGAGTGAACGAAACTTGCCCATGAGCCGGGAAAGTTGAAAGAGGATAAGGCAACTTTTTAGAGGTAGATGATGATGCCATGATGGCCATCCCAATGGGGAGAAAGAGAGGCACCTCCACCCCCACCCATCAGCAGTATATATTCTCCTCAAAAAGGCAAATCGCCATTGCCATTTGCCATACTACCCATCCCTTTATCAGAAAAATAGATTTGGGAGGAGACAAAAGAATATAAGAGCACTTTGGACGAACGAATGAATTCAAGAAAGGAGTTTTAGAGTGATATGATTGAAGAATCAATTTACTAGCTTAGCCAATGGAAAAATTGATAAAACAAGCAAATAAAGAAAAATCAGAATCCATGCATGGATGATGAGAAACAAGAAGATCAGTTAGTCGCAGAAAGCGACTTCTCAGGGGAATACTACCTGTTCATTCGAAAAAAATTCAATTTTAGGATTAGGTTAGGATTATAAAATACACTTTTTGAGGAATGAAATAATTCATGTAATATAAGGATAAATTGCATGGTTAGTACGAATTGTGATCAATGTTCAAGAAGACGCTAGGCGCTATTTAGGTGAGGAGGCACCGCCCAACGCCCATGCCGATTAGTCGTTGCCTAGGCGAGATTATTAAACGTTGAAAAAAAAAAAATGATAGATAAGCCATATTCCACAAAATCCAAGTTGACATATCATTATTCATCCATTCATATACACATACAATCCTTTTCCACAATCCCAAGTCGCCAACCATGAGAAGGGATCTCGTTGCTGGTAAATGAGGGGGTGCGGCTGGTCAAATGGAAATGGAAAACAGAATAAGGTTTGAGATTTCCACAAAAAGGCTACACTTTCCCCCTTTATTAGTTGTTCTGGGCCTCGCCCACCAAAGTGAAAACGCGCCGCCGAGCGCCTAGGCGCCGATTAGGCGTTTTCCATAGAGATTAATCGTCTAGCACGCCTAGATCAATCGCCCAGGGCTAGATGAGGCGTTTCCTCCTCCCCAACTATTAATCGCGCCTAGGCGAGAGATTAATCGTGTCTTCTTGAACACGGATTGTGATACAAGTCTCGAATAATTGAAAGGAAAAAATGAGTAGTTGGTTTTACTGCCTGGGCTTTGTTGAGTCATCACTTTGGGTAGACTCTTCTTGTGGGCTTTCTTTATCCTAGTGGGCTTTGTCATCTGGAAATTCAAAGCTATCAGGGCCACGGAGACAGACGACTGGATTCCGGCGGCCCTTAAAGAGGAAGAGAGTTGAGCGATGAATTCTTTTGTAATCTGCTTAATTTTTTTAACACTTCACAGATTGCAGAATATACAGAGAACCAAATCTCTTTAAGCTACTCTTTTTTTTATAAATTAAAAGAAACCATTAACAACTAAAAAAATCATAATAGTAACCAAATGCACAAAACATTCTTAATGTATACTCAAAGTCAAAACACAATTAAACCGTTTAAAACGTAAGTTACGTAACATGACAATAAACCGGAAGGGCATGTTTCCGTCACGATCCTACCTAGGCACATTGAGGCTTCTTCCACCTCAACGCATTTGCAAGTGAGAAATTAACTGGATCTACAACTCAAGAACAAACGCATATTAATTACAATCCTTTTGTTAAATGTTATAGGACTTGTTTCAAAGGATTGGACATTTATGATAGAATAATTTGAGATATATATAGGCAAATTTTGAATTTTAACTGTCGGCAGCCAAAATATTTTACGGAGCTAGCTAGCTAGCTAGCTGTCTGCAGTCTGATAGAGAGTGCAATTAAGTCCTGTGTGATCTGTTTGAGTATTTACTATTTTTGGAATACACACTACTATTCAATATTCATCATCATGCATGCATGAAAATGGCGGTCCTACGTACTCGTACGCCCACAGTAACAAATATTCACTCACAATAAAACCGATATTGACGCCTGCATGCAGTTTCCCCATTAAGTAACTTGCAGATCATTGGGCTCTACCTTGGACAGAATACACAGTAACAGTACAGTAATGATTTTCACTCACTTCAACATGCATCTTCCTAGCTAGCACAATATCACCAAACCGTACCAGGGAGGGACTCCTCTTGCAGTTATTCCACATCTTTCTTCACTCCTGCTATCATATCATAGTTAATTTTCAATTTTCACCCTAGCTAGGTAGACAAAAATCTGTTTACACTGCTAGCGGCCTGATGATATGATAGAGTCTGTTTCTGTATTATTTACTGTCTTGGAATTCACGTACGTATACGACCCACAGCCAGCCACAGAAATGAAACTTCCTTTTCTGTATTAATTTACTGTCTTGGAATTCAGTAACGCAGGAGCCTGCAGCCTTGTAGATGCCCAGACGACACAGTAATTAATCAGATCAGAAAACTAATAGATAAGACCCCTCTAGCCCTAGTTCATCCTATATATAAAACTTAATTTTGTGGTCACTAGATATGATTTGGGTCACTAATAGATCAGTCACTAAACTTTATTTTTTTTAAATGAATAGACTACTTTCGAGTTGTCCTGGAAGTTAATCCGAGGACCTGATTGTAACATAATCCAAAACTACCATGATCTCTACCACTCCCATTGAAATTTAGTGAACACATAAGTAAGAAAGACAAGGATTTACGTGATATCACTCATGAACGGGACTAATACACGAAGAGCTGAGCTCTCAGATAGAGTTTACCTATGTCTGCGCAGAATAGAAATTGTGTCGCGCCGAGTGTAAGCTTGTTAGCTGTTGAAGTAATCAAAGTTATACGCTCTAGTAACAAGCCTGTAGAGTAGGGATCCGTCTTATTCCTCAAATGCTGTTTTCCCTTATTTCTTCCTTATCCCGCTCGTAATCTCTGATCCAACCTTTCTTCTGCCAGAAGTTCTTTTTTTCTGTGTGGATTTCTTTCTTTCATCTGCACCTGACACTAAAATTCATTAAAGAGATCTAAGACATGCCTCTTAAAGAACCTAACGGCCTAGTAAGAATATTCCGGATCGAATATGCACGCTCCTCTAAGTGCTTTTCTTTGTATTCGTATCGCTGGTCAGTCTCATCGCCCATCTTTCTTTCTGAACATTCGTCAACTGTAGGTTGGCCGCCGTAACTCATCTCCTAGTGGTAGAACTATACAATATTACGATATGTGTTACAAAAGTTGTGAGGGAAGGGAAGCAAGCTCTCTAATACCATTCAATCGAACTAACCTAGGGTAATTAGGAGATCACAGCTACAAAATTACTAATTGGTACCCTATAATAAAAATATGCCAAACAATAAAAAATTATCTTTGAAACCTTTCCGGGTTCTCTGGTTTGCATTCGTGGTAGTTATTTACATTCCAACACTCCCTCCAAGCCAAGGCATGAAGGTCATAAAATTTAACAACCAACAAGTTTGTTAAATATCAAAGTTCAGTTCCTGATTTGTTATATATTCCAACTTATCATAAAACGTAACGAATACTTCATTGAATAAATTAATCGAGTTGCATTTCAATAAGAGCTAGCATATCATTGCCATTCATTCATTCATTCATTCATTCATTCATTCATTCACATATCTACGGTTTTAGACTTTTAGTCACAGTCAATATGTAAATACTCCATTTAATACACTTATATATGCAAGGGCGGACCCATCCGTCCAAATATTTTGTGAGAGGTCCACGTTTTGTCGTTATAATTTTTTTTGGATTTTAGGACTTCCGACACACCTTCAATAATTTATTTATTTTAAATTTTAGCTAACTTATGATAAATTTGAGGTTCTTTCCGTTGCTTAAGCATTTATACTCAATGGTTTATTGCTCTTAGGCCTTAAGAAAGGGTAATCGTAAGGAAGTTTTCTCCTTTTTCTCTCTACCTTAATAAGTTTCGTTTCTTCTTGATCCTTGTAGCTTTCACATAGTTGTCCACCTAGTGACAAAAAATGCTCTTTCACCGGGAGTCCGGTTGCATATGAACTATCTCTCTTTATTATTGTCTATCTTATTAAATAACCCTAGCATTCCCTTTACCTCTTTCGATCCCACTTCTCGTTGTGTTTCACAGTAAAATATAATTAATATTTATTTATTATTTTATTTAATTTTATTGACTGACACACCTGTACGAAAATCCTGGGTCCACCACTGTATATATGCTACGTACATATTTTATTAGTTTAAAAATTATTTATTTGTATTATTGCTAAACTATTTCATGTTATGGTTCATTTGATGGGTCCCGTACTAAACACTTATGAAATCTTATATAACACGTTTTATATCCGTATTTAATGAATCAAATTACTAACTTAACTATAATTTATATATTAATTTATTTTATATATTTTATAACTATTGACGTACTATTAAACATACCATTTAAAGAAGTATTTCGTACTAATTTTGCATGTGTTTGGTGAATGGTATATTTATGAAGATCGGCAGAAGACAGATATATTGCAGGTTGGTTTTACTACTGCTAGCATTGATTTCTTGGTTTAAATTATTTTGACCCTACCAAAATTTTATGTGAAACTTATTGCCATAAATTATATCGTATCGTAGGTATTCCGTTCGGAAATGGAAAGAAGAGACGTGGCGATTCCCCAATATTTTTCTTCAACCATTACTCCCTTATCCACCTTATTGCCATAATAATTTTGTTGGTGGGAGAATAAATGGAGGTTGGTCTAAAGCAACTGAACACCATACCATGCAAGAACTACAATTCATTCCCCGCTAGTCTCCAACACCAACGCATCACTCCTATTCCTTTGCCAAAAACCTAGCTAATTAAACCAGCTGCTGAAACATGTCCACACAACTACTTCTAACCTTCCTTTGCCTAGTAGTAATCTTCCTATGGCATTGGCTTCTCAGAAACAAGCATTCTCCGGTCTACCAATGGCCGTTGCTGGGAATGCTGCCAAGCCTCCTCTTCAACTTATCCACAATCCACGACTTCTTAACCCGAGCTTTGAGGCAAACCGGCGGAACATTCCTTCTCAAGGGACCTAGCTTCATCAACGCAGACTACATCCTCACTAGCGATCCCGCGAACATCAACCACATCTTCAACAAGCACGCCGCTAACTACGACAAGGGTCCGGACTTCAAGGCCATAATGGAAGCTGTGGGCGACGGGATCTTCAATGTCGAGGGCGAATCCTGGAAGTTACAGAGGAAGCTCCTCCATTCTTTGTTGAACAACTCCGAGTTCGAGGGTCACGCCATGCAGATCCTCACACAAAAGATGAGGAACACCCTTATGTCGGTCCTCGACCGAGCGGCGAGGACGGACAACAATGAGTTGGTAGACCTACAAGACGTGTTTAAGAGGTTCATGTTTGACAACATGTGTCTTCTGGTCTTGGGATTCGACCCTCATTACCTCTCCGACGTTGGGTCCGACGATGGCGGCAGGCTCCCTGATAGTGCATGTGGCAAGGCATTCGAAGTGTTGGAGGAGGTGGCGCTCTTCCGACACATAGTTCCGATGTGCGTGTGGAGGCTTCAACAACGACTTCAGATTGGAATGGAGTGGAAGTTCAGTCGAGCTTGGAGTACCCTTGATCAATTATTGTATGGTAGCATCAAGAGGAAGAAGCAAGAATTAGCGACAATCAACATTGATGTGACTAAAAGAGACAAATTAGATTTGTTGACACAAATCCTGGTCATGAAAGATGAGGATGGCGGTGGTGACAAAAACATCATCGATAAAACATCTGACAAGTTTCTGAGGGATACTACATTTACCTTAATTGCAGCCGGGAGAGACAGCATCACTGCGGGCCTTACTTGGTTGATATGGTGTGTGGCAAACCACCCCAATGTTGAGAAAAGGATTCTCGAAGAGCTGAGACAAGTGATGATGGCTCGACTATCAAGCACGATTGATGGTAAGAAGAATTATTTTAGTATTGACATAAACACATTTTTCAGTCTTCTAGATATAGAATGATATATAGAATTTAATTTGTTGCGAATCAGGAGAAGAAAGAGGTGGATTTTTTATAAATGACGAGTTGAACAAACTTGTTTATCTCCATGCAACCGCCTGTGAGACACTGAGGTTGTACCCACCAGTGCCATTCGAGCACAAGTGCGCTGTGGAGTCGGATGTTCTTCCAAGCGGGCACACAATACGTAAAGAAGACAGGATATTATTCTCCATATACACCATGGCTAGGATGGAAGAAATATGGGGAGAGGATTGCATGGAGTTCAAACCAGAGAGGTGGATTTCTGATAAAGGAACGATACTACATTTCTCGTCGTACAAGTTCATGACCTTCTTGACTGGGGCAAGGACCTGTTTGGGGAAGAATATGTCATTCAAGCAAGTCAAGTCCCTGGCTAGTGCTCTCCTTTGGAACTACAAGTTTGAACTCATAGATGACGGTCCCTCTATTAGGCCAGCGGTTAGCATGATGTTGTTCATGAAAGATGGGTTGAAGATGAGAGTCTCCAAGAGAGACCACTGAGAACAATGTTCATGTTGCTTTCTTAATGTAGGATTGTCTATTATATTGTTGTGGTCTAGCAGAAGTGCTTGGTCAATTTGTCACTATGTCTAGGGTTTGCATCAATGAGTCGTTTGAGGTCTTCTTCTTTCCATTATTTGTGTTGTCCATGTGTAAATGGGTTATTGTATCAAGTTTCCATTTTTCCTTTACATCTTATCTTTCATTATCTTTAATTAATCTAATTTTGAATCATATTTTTATGTTCAATTTCTTCGTAAAAGGCAATGGCTCCAGAGTGTCACATTCGTGCTACTGCTAATTATGAATAATTTCTTGAAGCTAACAACTTCAATGATACGAGGACGTAGAGTCACGAGAAAATGACGGAGACAATAAGATGGATGTCTCTCTTCGACCGTTGTGAAATTTGGCAAAAAGAAATTTTTTTTTTGGTGATAGACGGAAGAATGATAGAAGAAATGAGCAATAGAAAGACAATGATAAAAGTGGGTCTATGAAAACGTGACAATGACATGATTTTAAAGGTTGTGCTAAAATAGTAATTTATTTGCAAAATAATTCAATAAAGTCATTTGAGACTTTCGTATCTCATACATTTTTTTGTCAGCGAATTAGCCATTTGGTATTAGATGCCTCAAGCAAACGACACTAAGCTATCAAGGCTAGGGAGACAGGCGACTCGACTTCGGAGCTCAGATTACAAACTCATCAAGTGGCTTCATTTACTCAGAACTCTAAAGCCTTGACATCTCTCAATTAGTTGATGCTTAAAAGGTGATTGGGAGGGGTTATGGTAATTAATATGGTATAGTTATTATTAGGGTTGGGATAATTATTTAGGGTTTGAAATATTATATAGAAAGTTATTTAAAAGATAGTAATTTGGTATAGTTATTATTATTTTTTCAAAATTATCCCTAATCAATCCTAACAGTTAGTTTAAAATATTGAAAATGAATAGTACAGATGTAGTTACTAAAAATATAGTAACCATCTTAATTCATCCCAATGAATTTCTATCATTCTCGTTCACAAAACTATTTCTTTCCCTCTCCCCCCCTAAGGGTGACCAGGTCCTTGACTGTGACCGACTTCTCGTGCTTTCTTTCTTCATAAGTGCCACAGATCCTGATCATTAACAAACTACTGAATAGAGACGAGAAGAATTGAAAAAGAGAGGAGAAGAATGGTCGGCGACCCTTAAAGAAGGAAGATAGACGAGATTGAGAGAGAAGAAATTAGATTAGGATTGGAGACTATGAATTCTTCTGCAATTTGCTTCACTTCTTAATTCTTCCCAAATTTAGACTATATATTAAAAATTAATAATTACAAAATTCATAATAGTAAGCAAACCTACAAAATATGATAATCCAAAGTGTACTCGAAACACAATTAAACAGTTTACAACGTAACATGATAATAGATCGGAAGGGCATGTTTCTGTTGCGATTCAACCTACACCTTCAGACTTCATCCATCTCAACGCATTCGCAACTTAGAACTTAACTGGATCTAGAAATCAAGAACAAACGCCTATGTCAATCCTTTTGTTAAATGTTATAGTACTTGTTTCAAAGGATTGGACATTTATGATCGAATATTTTGAGATATATAGTCAAATTTTGAATTTTCACCGTCGGCAGCCAAAGATTTTTACATTGCTAGCTAGCTAGCTGTCTGCAGCCTGATAAAGAGTGCAAGCCCTCTGTCTGTTCGTGTATTTACTATTTTTGGAATACAGAGTACTGTTCAATATTCATCATCATGCATGAATATGGCGGCCCTACGTACGCCCACAGCATCAAATATTCACCCACAATAAAACCGATTCATTGACGCCCTGCAGTTTCCCCATTAAGTCTTGCAGATGCCCAGAATACACAGTACAGTAATTAATGATCAGATCAGGAAATTAAATTAACACATCACTGCATGCTACGTACGTATAGATCCTGGGGTAGTATGTACATAGTGAATCTTGATCAGTTACTTAATTTAGTGGTCACTAAATGTGATTTGGGTCAGTTACCAACGATTCATGTAAATCGCTTTTGATTTCGGCGATAAATGTTTGTTTTTGACACCAGCAAACTGCAGCAAACTCTAATAGTTTGAAAAATATTTGTAGAGTGGGAAATTTGTAGCAAGAGAGTGGTATTCTGGGGAAAATCGATTCGCGACACTAGGGAGAAGGATTGCATGAGAGATAATATTGAAATCATGATGAAGATATTTCTGATCGATCGGATGTAATTTCGATGTTATATGAACATGCATCTTCCTAGGCCCTAGCTAGTGCCACAGTATCACCACCAGGGACTCCTCTCTTGCAGTTATTCCACATCTTTCTTCACTCCCTCCTGCTATAATAGTTAATTTTGAATTTTCACCCTACTTAGACAAAAAAATCTTTACACAGCTAGCAGCCTGATATATATGATAGTCTGTTTATGTATTTACTGTCTTGGAATTCACGTACGTACGACCCACAGTGCTGAAACTTCCTTTTCATGAGAATCGCCATATCAAATATTCACTCATAAGAAAATCGAATGCTGGCCTGCAGTAAGGCAGGAGCCTGCACCCTATATCCGTATTTAATGAATCAAATTGCTAAGTTAAGTATGATTTATATATTAATTTATTTTTTATGTTTAATAACTATTGGTATACTATTAAATATATATTGTTATTTTTCTACCAAAAAAAAATATTGTTAGTTTAAAAAGAAGTAAATTACTCATATTTTATACATATCTTATGCGCATACCTCATTTTAATAACTATCATTATGTTACCGTAATAATTTTGCATGTCTTTGGTGAATGGTATATTTATGAAGATTGGCAGAAGGCAGATATATTATATATAGCAGGCTGGATTTTACTATTGCCAGCATTGATTTCTTGGTTTCAATTATTTTGACCCTACCAAAGTTAGACGTGAAACTTATTGCCATACAAATTTTACCGTCTCACAAACATAGTTAGTAACTAAAATACGATACGGGATAGTTACGTATAAAATAACTACGGGCATTTTACTTCATTTCTAAGCTAATGTTACGTTTAATAGTACGTTAATAGTCATAAATATATTAAATTAATTATTTTAAAATAAATTAATATATAAATAATTGTAAAATTAATAATTTAATTCATTAAATATACATATTAAACGTGTTATACGAATTTTATACGCGTTTAGTATGAGAGCCATTAAATAAACGGGAAAAAATGAAACGGTTTGAAAATAATACAGATACAAAAGTTTTAAATGGATAAAATACATATTTTTTTTTGGTAGCATGAATAAAATACATATGGATACATATAGTGTATTAAACAAAATATTTACTAATTATACTCACAAATATTCCGTTTGGAAAGGGAAAGAAAAGACGTGGCCGATCCCCCAATATTATTGCTTCAACCATTACTCCCTTACATATCCCACCTTCTCCAAACTATCAAAGTGCAGCTCCATATCTTCATCATAAATTCTGTAATGGTTAATAATTTTATTGGTGGGAGAATTAATGGAGATTCTTAAAGCTGTACACCATGAGATCTCATTAACTCTACCATGCAAGAACTATATATCTGTCCCCCGCTACTCACCAACACCAAGGCATCATTATTCATTCCTATTGCATATTGGCTAAACCAGTAGCTGCTGAAACATGTCCACACAACTACTACTAACCTTCCTTTCCCTAGTAATCTTCCTATGGCATTGGCTTCTTAGAAACAAGCACTCACCGCTCTACCAATGGCCGTTGCTGGGAATGCTCCCAAGCCTCCTCTTCAACTTATCCACTATCCACGACTTCATCACCGGAGCTTTGAGGCGAACCGGCGGAACGTTCCTTCTCAAGGGACCCAGTTTCATCAACGCCGACTACCTGGTCACAAGCGATCCCACCAACATCAACCATATCTTCAACAAGAACGCCGCCAACTACGAGAAGGGTCCGGACTTCAAGGCCATAATGGAGGCTGTGGGCGACGGGATCTTCAATGTCGAGGGCGAATCCTGGAAGTTACAGCGCAAGCTCCTCCGTTCTTTATTGAACAACTCCGAGTTCGAGGCTCACTCCACGCACATCCTCACACAGAAGATGAGGAGCAAACTTATGCCGGTCCTCGACCGAGCGGCGAGGATGGACAACGACGAGTTGGTGGACTTGCAGGACGTGTTCAAGAGGTTCATGTTCGACAACATGTGTCTATTGGTCTTGGGATTCGACCCTCATTACCTCCCCGCCGTGGGGTCCGACGACGGCAAGCTCCCTGATAATGCATGTGGCAAGGCATTCGAAGTGCTGGAGGAGGTGGCGCTCTGCCGACACATAGTTCCGATGTGTGTATGGAGGCTTCAACAACGACTTCAGATTGGAATGGAGTGGAAGTTCAGTCGAGCTTGGCGCACCCTTGATCAATTGTTGTATGGTAGCATCAAGAGGAGGAAGCAAGAATTAGCAACGAAACACAATGATGTGACTAAAAGAGACAAGTTGGATTTGTTGACACAAATCCTGGTCATGAAAGATGAGGATGACGGTGGTGACAAAAACCTCATCGATAAAACTTCCGACAAGTTTCTGAGGGACACTACATTTACCTTACTTATAGCCGGGAGAGACACCATCACTGCCGGCCTTACTTGGTTGATATGGTCTGTGACGAGCCACCCCGTTGTTGAGAAAAGGATTATCCAAGAGCTTGCACAAGTGATGGCATCGCGAATGTCAAGCGCGACTGATGGTAAGAGGAAATATTTAAATATCTATATAGACACATTTTTTTCCAGTCTTCTAGATATGTACTAAATGATATAAGTTAATTTGTGACAAACCAGGAAGAGAAAGAGGAGGATTCTTGAGAAGCGACGAGTTGAACAATGTTGTTTATCTTCATGCAACCGTCTGCGAGACACTGAGGTTGTACCCACCGGTTCCATTCGAGCACAAATGCGCTGTGGAGGCAGATGTCCTTCCAAGCGGGCACACAGTACGTAAAGAAGAGAGGATATTATTCTCCATATACACCATGGCCAGGATGGAAGAAATATGGGGAGAGGACTGCATGGAGTTCAAACCAGAGAGGTGGATTTCTGAGAAAGGGACGATGCTACATGTCCCGTCGTCCAAGTTCATGACCTTCTTGACTGGGGCAAGGACCTGTTTGGGGAAGAATATGTCATTCACACAAATCAAGTCCCTGGCTAGTGCTCTCCTTTGGAACTACAAGTTTGAACTCATAGATGACGGTTCCTCCGGTAGGCCGGCGGTTAGCATGATGTTGTTCATGAAAGATGGACTCAAGATGAGAGTCTCCAAGAGAGACCATTCAGAATAATGTTCATGTTGCTTTCTTGATGCATGATTGTTTGTTGTTGTAGCCTAGTGGAAGTGCTTGTTCAATTTGTCATTATGTCTAGGGCTTGCATTAATGAGTCGTGTGAGGGCTTCTTCTGTGTTATTATTTTTGTTTTCCACGTGCTTTGTTAATTGTTATCCAACTCTATGGGATGAACTAGCTATATATGTTCTCTATTGGTATGCTATTCTTGTGAGTAGAGTTATTGCACTCTTTGATTGTCATCATGGGATATTTAGGAACTAAATTTTCAATTGGTATCACATATATATCACCATATGATATATTCACATAGATGACTGTTTGAGGAGAAGTTGATTTTCCAGCACGTAAGCTGAGATGATTATTGAAGCATGTATTGAGGTAATTATTGTGCAAGAGTAGATCATTAATTAAAGTAGTGCCGCTAGCTATCTTTGTGTAATGGGGAAGGAAAGCCTTTGCTGCTTTGTGAGAGAGCAAGGAGCTTCTTCGATGTAGCTGGCTAGCTGCTGCTCTATCCACTTTGATTCTTTAAGGGTCGGGTCGTTTGCTTAAATAGTGTTTGCTGACCAAAGCGATTTTGTTCAACACCTAACTCTAATGCCCTTTACTTCATTAATGTCTGGATTTTTAATCCACCACATGATTTCTGTATCTGTACTTGTTTTGTGCATTCATATATGATATTGGAATTAAAAACCTCACAAAACCTTACGATGGTTTAATTGTTGGAAGTGGTCAAACAACTCATTTTCAGTATTGAATATCAATCCATCAAAACATATTATTTTATGAATCTTTAGTAGCATCTTATCAAATGATGTAAAAATTGTATCGCATTCTTGTCAAAGTTTCACCCATCTATTCCTAGTGACCCCAGAGTAGGGGTGTCCATTCGGGTTTACCCGAAACCGACCCGATTATATACATTTTCGGGTTTTCGGGTTCGGGTTCGTTTCGGGTTTTGGGTTTTCGGTTTTGGGTTCGGTTTTGCTTATCGGTTTTTCGGGTTTCGTCTAAAAACCTCCAATGAATAGAACTTAGCTCGTATTCTTAGACGTTCGGGTTTTCGGGTTTCGGTTTTGCTTTAACCGAACCCGAACCCGATAAGGAATTTTCGGGTTTCGGGTAACTGAAACCCGCAAGTCCTTATCAGGTTCGGTTTCGGTTTTAGTAGTTTTCGGTTTTGGGTTTTCGGGTTTTTTTCGGGTTTCGGTTCGGGTAACCAAACCCGACCCGAACCGACACCCCTACGTATATCTAACAGACTTGCAAAGCTTATTCCTTTTCAAATCCTTTACTTGTTTTGTGATATTGGAATTCCTGTTTTATTATAATTTGCATCAATATCTACGTGTATATTTCTCTCTTTTGGCCTTTCTAAAATCATATTTTCATCTCAAATAAATTTGTAAACTCCAATTTTCAATTATTTAGACTCAAGTATTCCTTCTATTATATTTATCATTAGTTTATGAAGTATTTTCTCTATATGTTATTGTCAAAAAAACATATAAGAATGGATCGCACCGCTCTATTCCGTATCCGCGTCGGTATTAACAAAAACGAACTCCGCAAGTGCGGGGACGGGTATGGGTATCGAGGTACCCGCCCCGCCCCTCTGCCATCAATACGTAGTACGTACAGGCTATATATGACTCAGATTGATGTATTTAAGGAGTACACGATACTTCGGGTACTTCTACTGAAATATCTCATATTTCTATCCAGATCACGAATGGATATACCATTAATGGATAAACCCAAGACAATGATTTCTCAAACCAAAACCCAAATATCTATTTGCTAAAAAATAATAATCGATGATTTTGATTCATCGAACAATGAAATAGATCTAGCTAATAGCTAAATCATTTGATACTCGAGTACACAATGCAAGTTATTGCCGGTTTTTTCTTCACTGGCCAAATGGGATCCTAGAGTAAGCCCCGCTCGATAAACGTCCCTTGGCGAGTCGCGACGCAGTGAGAAGGGTTACAACTTACATGGTGATGAGTTATTGAGTAGGTCACTCTCGTTCGCATGCAAGACCAGACCATCGCTTCCCTCTCCCCTGAAAGATGATAAGGTCATCTCTGACAGACTGACAGTCGACATAGCATTCGTCTTAACAAGTACTAGCTAGATGCCCGTGATCATGGTGATTAATTCACATACCCTATATAATCGCATTCATTTTATGACACGTTCACAACTTAAAACTTTATTGGATCTACAAATCAGGAATAAACAGTGGCGAACTTAGAATTATTAAAGAGGGGTGTCTCCGATAAAAACTTATAATAAATATAATAATTAAATAAAAATAAAAATTCAATAGAAATTATTGGAAGTTCATTTCTAAGTTGACAACGTCATGTTTACTACGAATTATAACGATTTTTCATATCCTGAATTTTTTTTTAAAATACATTTATCGCTTATGTTGCAAGTCAAACATTTTTCGATATACACAACTACATAATCATTCATAAATTATTCACTCAACCAAAGAGAATCTACCCACATCTAAAATCAAAGTTAAAATAAATTAGTTTATAATCAAATATAGTAAACCACGATCTACCAATTGGCATTTTAGACAAAACAAAGTATGCGTAAACTAATATCATTAGCATTTTTTCTCTAGTTCTAACAAATTAACCAAAATCAAACCACAATCTCCCATAAATCTACGCAATTCACCTATTAACCACAAATTGACAAGTTAAATTGGGTTGTGGGTTACTTAGAACAAGCATGCTAATTTGATTTTACTTATTATTGTTAATTACTAATTATGATGAATAACTTTATAATATTAAAAATATTGTTGTATAATGAAGGTGTGTCACTTATAATTATTGCGGTGTCGGAAGTCTCAAATTAAAATTTTTTCTACCGGAAAAATGGAGGTCTTTCACAAAATTTTTGGGCGGAGGGGGGTCGGACGACACCCCTCCCCTAGCCCTAGGTCCGCCCCTGGGAACAGATACATATTACAATCATTTCGTTACATGTTGTGGTACTTGTGATCCCATGAATATATCAAAGATATTTCTGATTGGATGTTTCGATATATGAACATCTAACGTACAAGAACTTGGTCTAGTGATCATACTAGTATTAGTCTTGAATCTAGAGATCATAGTTGTAAGTCTTTTAAATTAAAAACCAAAATATACATATATGAACATCTTCCTAGCTATCCTACAACAGTATCACGACTAGGTACTCTTGCAGCTGTTATTCCACATCTTCTTTCACTCCTGATAGAGTGCAAGTTCTCTGTCTGTTTGTGTGTTTATTGTTTTGGTATTCAATATCAATCATGCATATGCATATGGCCCTACACAGTACTGAAACTTCCTTCTAATGAAAATATATATATATATAGCCATCTCAAATATTCACTCACAAGAAAACCCAACGCTGGCCTGCAGTAGTAATTCAGTTTCCCGTTAGTAATCGGCAGCTAACTGGGCTCTACCTCCTGCAGGAGCCTGCAGCATTGAAGTTAATTTAATACGATCTTATATTGTGGCCGAAAGACCTTAATTATCGAAAAGACCGGTTGTTAATATGTGTGTTCGTTTTCCAAAATTTAACAAACGAACAAGTTCGTTAACTATCGTTCGCAACTTGTTAATATACTAGTGACGTACCATAGAATACTTCGATGAATAAATTTGTCGACATGCATTTCAATGAGGTAAATATATCAATAACTGAAATCAATATATAAGAGCTAGATTATCATTGCCATTCGTTCATTCATTCACATGATCACATATATATCAACATTGTAGTATCATACGAATTTTGCATGTCTTTGCTATAATATTTATGAAGATTGGCAGTAGGCAGACAGCAGCTGGTTGGTTTTACTATTGCCTGCCAGCATTGATTTCTTGGTTTCAATATTTTGACCCTACCAAAATTATAAAACTGGAACTTATTGCCATAAATTTTTTACCCTATCACAGATATTCCTTGTGGAAATGGAAAGAAGAGAGACGTATAGATAGGGATCCCCATGCATTATTGCTTCAACCATTACCCCGTATCCACCCTTCTCCAACCTATTTCAGTACACTAGTACAGTTTCATCTTCATAAATTCTGCCATGGTTTTAATAATTTTGCTGTTGGGAGAATGGAGGTTCGTCTAACATAACTGCACACCATGGTATATCATTCACTACCATGCAAGAACTACTATTTATTCCACGCTAGTCTCCAAACACCAACACATCGTCATCATTACTATTACACAGGCAAAACCCTAGCTAGCTAAACGAGATTGCTGCCGAAACATGTCCACACAACTACTACTAACCTTCCTTTCCCTAGTCATCTTCCTATGGCATTCGCTTCTTAGAAACAAGCACTCGCCGGTCTACCAATGGCCATTCCTGGGGATGCTCCCTGGCCTCCTCTTGAGCTTATACAACTACACACTCCACGACTTCTACATCAGAGCCTTGAGGCGAACCGGGGGAACGTTCCTTCTCAAGGGACCCAGTTTCGTCAAAGCCGACTTCATGCTCATGAGTGATCCCGCCAACATCAACCACATCTTCAACAAGAACGCGGCCAACTACGAGAAGGGCCGGGATTTCAAGGCCATAATGGAGCCTCTAGGCGACGGGATCTTCAATGTCGATGGCGACTCGTGGAAGTTCCAGAGGAGGCTCCTTCATTCTTTGCTTAAGAACTCCGAGTTCGAGGGTCATGCCGTGCAGACCCTCGTAGAGAAGATGAGGAGCACCCTTTTGCCTGTCCTCGACCGGAACGAGGTGGTGGACCTACAGGACGTGTTCAAGAGGTTCATGTTTGACAACATGTGTCTGTTGGTTGTGGGATTCGATCCACAATACCTCCCCGTGGGGTCCGAGGGCGGCAGGCTCCCTGACAATGCATGTGGCAAGGCGTTCGACGAGCTGGAGGAGGTGGCGGTCTACCGATTCATAGTCCCGATGTGCGTGTGGAGGCTTCAACACCGACTCAAGATCGGAATGGAGTGGAAGTGCATTCAAGCTTGGCGCACCGTAGATAACTTCTTGTATGGTAGCATCAAGAGGAAGAAGCAAGAATTAGTGTCGAAACACTCCTTTGGCAATGATGTGACTAAAAGAAACAAGCTGGATTTGTTGACACAAATCCTGGTCATGAAAGATGAGGACGACGGTGGTAACAAACCAATCATTGATAAAACATCCGATAAGTTTCTGAGGGACACTACATTAACGTTGGTCGCAGCCGGGAGAGACACCATTACTGTCGGCCTAACTTGGTTGATATGGTGTGTGGCGAACCACCCCACTATTGAGAAAAGGATTCTCGAAGAGCTGAGGCAAGTGATGGCGGCGCGACAGTCAAGTGATATTGATGGTAAGATAAAATATTTAAGTATAGACATATGCACATATTCTACGGTCTTTTAGATACTAAATGATATAATTAATTTGTGGCAAACCAGGAGATGAAAGAAGCGGATTTTTGAGAAACGATGAGTTGAACAAACTTGTGTATCTTCATGCAACCATTTATGAGACACTGAGGTTGTATCCACCGGTGCCATTGGAGCACAAGTGCGCCGTGGAGGCAGATGTCCTTCCAAGCGGACACATGGTACGTAAAGAAGAGAAGATAATATTCTCCATATACGCCATGGCTAGGATGGAGGAGATATGGGGAGAGGATTGCATGGAGTTCAAACCGGAGAGGTGGATTTCCGAGAAAAGGACGATACTACATGTCCCATCGTACAAGTTCATGACATTCTTGGCTGGGGCAAGGACCTGTTTGGGAAAGAATATGGCTATTACGCAAGTCAAGTCACTGGCAAGTGCTCTCCTTTGGAACTACAAATTTGAACTTATAGATGATGGGTCCTCCGGTAAGCCGACAGTTAGCATGGTGTTGTTCATGAAAGATGGGCTGAAGACTAGAGTCTCTAAGAGAGACCATTGAGAATAATATTGTTCATGTTGTTTTCTTAATGTATGTTTGTTGTGGTGGTCTAGTGGAAGTGCTTCATTTATTTGTCACTATGTCTAGGGTTTGCATTAATGAGTCGTGTGAGGTCTACTTCTTTTGATTATTTGTGTTGTCATGTTTCATCCAACTGCATGGGATGAACTAGCTATATATGTTCCCTATTGGTAGTATGTTATTCTTGTGAGCAATGTAGTAAAAAATGAGTTTATAAGTATAAACATTTTGGTGATCTAAAAGCGTAAAATTATAATTTTTTAGTTTTAAAGCGAAGTTTTTAACTAGATAAGTTGTAAAAACTAAAATTTTGTATAAAATCGTTTTTTGTCATAAACCAGTTGGTCGCAATAACTCGAGTTATTGGGAGAAGGTTGTTCATGATCTTATACAGGCCCATGTATGGTACTTAACCACTTCCTTACATGCCCCCTCAAACAAAAGCCGACTCATAGGCTTGAATTTTGCACAAGCCCGCCATACCATGTGCTTGAAAGACAACGATTAATATTTGGGGTCGTGAGGACTTGAACAAGTGATTCAAGGACAAACCAGCTCTGATACCATGTCATAAACAAGTTGGTCTCAATAACTCGAGTTATTGGGAGAAGGTTATGCTGGACCTTATACAGGCTCATGTATGATACTTAACCACTTCCTTACATTTTTAGCTAAATCTCGCATAATAAATCATGGTCAATACAAAAATATCTTTCCTATTTTTTACTTTGATAAATAGAATATAAGTATCATTGTCATAATATATATATACACCTCTTGGTCATACATACAGTCATTGCCCGATAACTTCCTAAAGGCCACAGTCTCTCCCATTCGCAAGAGTCTTCCTTTCCATTTTCCAACCACCCAAACAAAAAAAGTCAAAAATCCAGCCGACGACCGCAAATTATTCGACCAAAAAATGTGTTGGATTTTTGGTATGGGAAGTGGGTATTTTTGTGAAGGAAGAAATGTAGGATAATTGTTTGGAAAACTTATTTTTGGAAATGGAGAATTGCGGTAGAGCAAGAATGGAACAATGGAATCATTGCCATTTTGTTGTGAAGGGTTTTTTACACCCTTATACAGTCTCATGCATGATACTTAACTACTTCTTTACAGTTAGAGATTTCTGACAACTAATAGGTTGGAAATATTAATGAGTGTCATTATTAAAAATAAAAAAAGAGAAAGAAATCAGCAAGGTTGAGAAGTGATATTCCATGTAATGAAGGTTATAAATAGTCATTCCTGTAAGTTGTAAGATGTGTGGAGAAAACCTCCCACCAATGAGGTGTGGTGAAACACCCACCAACTGGGGCCAACTGGTTTATGACACTATCTAACAAATTTATCACCACTCCTTTTATCTATATTTTGTTATTTATTGTAAATTAATTATTTTGGTGGTTTCCAGAAATAACTTCAACTTTCAACAAAATGTTGGACGAGAAAGTAGTAAAAGCATGATCAACTGCGTCTTGATAACATCATAATCCGGATGAAGGCCTCTAAGGAAGCACAAGCATTTGGGATTACCCGGAGCACCCAACAAGGCACAATAGGTGAGAATTGCAAGTAATTCTCCCAAAGACCCTTGATGTCAGTGTAATATTGAGTGACGGTGCGATCTCCTTGTTTGCAGGCCTGGATCTAATCCTCTAAATTGATAATGCGCATGGCAATAGGTTGCCCAAATCAGCGCTTCAATTCGTCACAAAGAACACGTTCTCATGATTCATAATGTTGCAAGCAATTTCTTTCTGGAGCAAATTGATAATCCAGCAAAGAACTAAGGTGTTGTAGCCATCCCACAAGGGAAACAAGTCATTAGTAGTAGGAGGTGCCTTAACCGACCCATCCACAAAACCAAGCCTATCCTTCGTTTTCAGGGCCATCCGCATAGCACGAATCCACATCGAGTAATTGGTACCATCCAAAACCTAAAAAATAATCGACAGAGAGAGATTCTCTTTCCCATTGAGGTAGAAGGGATTCCCGAATTTGATCTCACCTCTGCCATCCGGAGCTAAAGATTATGCATAAGTCCCAAACTAGAACCTAGCACCCGACTAGTTGCCGCCGCTTGAAGTAACCAGTGGCTTAGTAGTGCCGGACATTGCCGATGGGAACAATAATCTTCAGATCTAGGGCTCCGATACCATGTAGAAAATATCGAGCTGGGCAAGAAATGGATCGGAAACCCTCGGCCAGAGTAGCTGGGTGAGATTGTTATTTATAGCAGTTCAAGTTTTACTATTTACCAACGGTAGCAAACGATTACAATTCCACTTGAAAAGCAACGACAGGCTAGTAATAACTAACTGCATTAATTAAACTGTAAAACATAAAGTGCTTTGAATCGTCTTCGAGTCCCGAAACATGTTTCGTTCTTCAATATGCTCTTGCGGAGATGATGGCATATGAACTGCTTGACTACTTTAACACCGCCCGACACAGTCATGCCTTCACTCGATCTTCCATCAACCCCATCGTGCATGTCTTCACTCGAGTAGATCCAGAGATTTGCCTAGGTATTCTAGGAGCCGCGCCATCGTCCTTATCATTGAGGAGATAGTCGATGACGTCGATCTGGAAGCCCTACTATGATGAGTGTCGAGGAGGGGAGGAAGAGCAGGAAGGGAGGAGGCGGAGGGTGGTGAGGGTGGAGCAGAGGAGTCGGCGAGACGGAAAGGGGATCCAGAGAAGTGGAGAGAGGGAGGAAGGACAGAACGGTTGTGGGAAGACACGAGGGGAGAGTTTTTTTTTTTATTTTGAAATCATTTTTATGATTTTTTATTTTATTAGAGGCTAAGGTGGACGATGAGGTGGGGCACCGTTAAAAAATAATTAACTGTAATAGATTAATGTCTATTTTTAAAATATTTATATATTTCTTACCGAAAAAGCCCCTAATTTCTCCAGATGATTTCGATCAACTTGTCCATGATGATTTCGATCAACAACACCATAAGCCGCCACCTGGGAGTCCGAGACAAAAGCTCCATCACAGTATATATCTTGCTGGAAATAAGTAGGTGGTAGATCAAGGATTGTACAAGGTAGAAAAGGCCGAGGAGGAGAGGAAAAGTAGCCAATGGTACTTCACGAGCAATCCAATAAGCAAAGTATCCAAAGGCCTTAGCAGAGGTTTTCCGAAGTTGTGGACGAACACCTTTGCACAATCATTCATTTCGAGCATTCCAAAGAGCCCACAGATGAGCCAGCACTGCCACTAAAGAGTTGAAAGGGATCACTTCGTGGAGATTGAAGAGCCACGTATGGATAGAGAGGAAGCTTAGAGGAAAATGGAGATCGACAAAGCCCTCCTGCCAGAAGTGCATAACATGGGAGCATCCAAAAAGGCAATGCCACACATCCTTGATATCACCATCACAAAGCGTGCAGTTAGGTGAGTTAATCACTTTTCGAAACCAAAGATTCTTCTTTTTCGCCATTGCGTTTCTAGTGATCCTCCAAATGAAATTGAAAATTTTAGTGGGAGGGATAAACTCCCAAGCCACTTCCATGCTTTGATGGAACAGTGAGGGTGATTAGGATCGTCCAAACCGGTCCTAGTTCTTTCAGATGCTTTAAAGATTTTGTAGGCCGACTTTACAGAAAAGCCCATATTTCTCTGGATGCCACACCCACGAGTGCTCTTATCACTCGAACCAATAGGGATCCTCTTAATTGCCTCAGCTTCTTCTATAAGGCAGGATTGCGACATCCTAAGAAAATGCTACTTTTATCCATGGGAGAACTCATTGCGGTAATTCAATCTGAACTCACAACTATCCAAGTCGATTCTACCTAGTCAAAGCGGGTAGAATTTAGTACATATGATTTTTGGGTTGGGTGAGAATTTCACTCATTTCTTTTTTAAATTGGTGGGTTGGGTCGGCCGTGAGTTTTGCCAAAATCCAACCAATTTTCCATCATCTCTGCACCAACCGATAAAGCAAAACGACATAATTTTATATCTAACCAGAACAATATGATTATATGAATTATTTATAGATGTTATTAGTCTTTATGACAATACAAATCTATTAATATGGGTTATTTGATGGATATTAGTAGTTTTTGTAGAGATATATTTGTATGAAAATTTCGATAGATGTAAGTGTTCAAAAAAATAATGTAGGATTAAATTCGTGAATCCATGGCTAACCATGCACCCGTGGTTGTGGGTGCCCGAGTTTCACTTCCAAAATCCAATAAGTATTTTACCAAATTATTTGAATTGATACAACCTCTGAGTTGAATATGAATTTAGAGACATCCAACCCATTGGCATATCTTTTATTGCATTGGATCAATATCAGTTTAGTTTTACAAACATTAATAAGTAAAAGACACACCACAACCTAATATCCACATAATAAGTTAACCACACAACACAAACCCAATATCATCCCCATAGTAGGAAGAGGTGGTCAATTATAATCCGACCACTGATAACACACATGCTATATATAGTTCAGATTGGTGTACTCGTAGAATGCATGATATTTCAAATATTCCTAGCGAAATATACGTATTTAGATCACGAATTAAAGCGAGTTTGAGATATGAGACTATACTCTAACATTAAGTGAATAAATCCCAAACACCGATTCTTTGAATTCAAATCCGAATATTAATATAGCTATGACTCAAATCCAACGAAGTTCAATAAAATACATCTAATTAACAACTAGATTCACTTGAAATATGGTATACTTCATGTGTACAAGATTTTATCTTCATCACTGATCAAGTGGATCCTAGAGTGGCAAGACCATCTCTTCCCTATTCCCTGGCAGGTGATCATAAGGTCGTCAGTGAGCGATATATATATAGCATTCTTATTTTCTGTAGATGCACTGTGTGCCTGATATTGTTTTGTAATTCAATATTTATCATGCATGGATATGGGCCTACGTATACGTACGTATGTGTACGCCCCACGGTAGCGAAACTTCCTTTTTCAGGAAAATCATCATGTCAAATATTTTTTTTCCCGGTAATTCATGTCAAATATTCACTCACAAGAAAATCGCCATAGTAATAATTAATCTTGGCCAGTTACTTAATTTAGTGGTCACTAGATGTAATGATTTGGGTCACTAATAGATCAGTCACTCAACTTACGAAATAACTAACATATGAATCACTTCACAGCCCAACACCATATTTATCAATCGTATTCACAAAATGTCGGACTCAAATATCAACATTATTGTAGCATCGTACAAAATTTGCATGTCTTTGCTATAATATTTATGAAGATTGGCAGTAGGCAGACAGTAGCTGGTTGGTTTTACTATTGCCTGCCAGCATTGATTTCTTGGTTTCAATATTTTGACCCTACCAAAATTATAAAACTGAAACTTATTGCCATAAATTTTTTACCCTATCACAGATATTCCTTGTGGAAATGGAAAGAAGAGAGACGTATAGATAGGGATCCCCATGCATTATTGCTTCAACCATTACCCCGTATCCACCCTTCTCCAAACTATCACAGTACTACAGCTCCATCTTCATAACTTCTGTAATGGTTAATAATTTTGTTGGTGGGAGAATGGAGGTTCGAACTAACGCAATGATATATCATTCTTTCTACCTGGTCATGAGCGATCCCGCGAACATCAACCACATCTTCAACAAGAACGCCACCAACTACGACAAGGGCCGGGACTTCAAGGCCATAATGGAGGCTCTGGGCGACGGGATCTTTAATGTCGACGGCGACTCGTGGAAGTTACAGAGGAAGCACCCTTGTTCGAGGGTCACTCCACGCAGATCCTCACACAGAAGATGAGGAGCACCCTTGTGCCGGTCCTCGACAGAGCAGCGAGGAGGACGACGACGGAGAACAACCAGTTGGTGGACCTACAGGACGTGTTTAAGAGGTTCATGTTCGACAACATGTGCCTGTTGGTCTTGGGATTCGACCCTCATTACCTCCCTGCCGTGGAGTCCGAAGGAGGCTGCCTCCCTGATTGTGAATGTGGCAAGGCATTCGACGTGCTGGAGAGGGTGGCGATCTACCGACACATAGTTCCCGTATGCCTATGGAGGCTTCAACATCGGCTTGGCATTGGAATCGAGGGGGAGTGCTTTCGAGCTTGGAGCACCCTAGATCAGTTCTTGTATGGTAACATCAAGAGGAAGAAGCAAGAATTAGCGACGAAGCACTCCGTTAGCAATGATGAGCATGAAAGAAAAAAGCTGGATTTGCTGACACAAGTCTTGGTCATGAAAGATGAGGATGACGGTGGTGATGAAAAAATCATTGATAAAAAATACGATAAGTTTCTAAGGGACATTACATTAACGTTAATCGCATCCGGGAGAGACTCCATCACTGCCGCCCTTACTTGGTTGATATGGTGTGTGGCGAACCACCCCGCTATTGAGAAAAAGATTCTCGAAGAGCTAAGACAAGTGATGGCAACTCGACGACTGTCAAGTGATATTGATGGTAAGATAAAATATTTAAATATAGACAAATGCACATATTTTTTGGTTTTTTAGATACTAAATGATAGAATTAATATTTGTGGCAAACCAGGAGAAGAAAGAGGAGGATTTTTCAGAAATGACGAATTGAACAAACTTGTGTACCTTCATGCAACCATTTGTGAGACACTAAGGTTGTACCCACCTGTACCATTCGAGCACAAGTGTGCCGTAGAGGCAGATGTCCTTCCAAGCGGGCACACGGTACGTAAAGAAGAGAGGATAATATTCTCCATATACGGCATGGCCAGAATGGAGGAGATATGGGGAGAGGATTGCTTGGAGTTCAAACCAGAGAGGTGGATTTCTGAGAAAGGGACGATACTACATGTCCCGTCGTACAAGTTCATGACCTTCTTGGCTGGAGCAAGGACCTGTTTGGGGAAGAATATGTCATTCACGCAAGTTAAGTCCCTGGCTAGTGCTCTCATTTGGAACTACAAGTTTGAACTTATAGATGATGGTCCCTATGGAAGGCCAACAATTAGTCTGGTGTTGTTTATGAAAGATGGGCTGAAGACGAGAGTCTCCAAGAGAGACCACTGAGAATAATATTGTTCATGTTGCTTTCTTAATATATGTTTGTTGTGGTGGTCTAGTTAAAGTGCTTGATCATTTCTAGGGTTGAATGAATCGTGTGAGGTCTACTTCTTTTAATAATTTGTGTTGTGATGTTGTCCATGTGTTTTATTATCTTGGGTGAAACTAGCTAGGTTCCCTATGGCTATGCTATTCTTGTGAGTGTTGTTGTACTCTTTGATTGTTATCATTTTATATAAGTCAACATGAGATATCTAAGAATTGAATGTTGAATTTGTATCACATATATGTCATCATATTTATATATTTAATAGGTCATGCTCTTAAAAAAATTGAATTGAAAAAATTGCCTTTCTAGGAATGAAGGAACGAGGCGAATAAGAATTTGATCCTGTCGTAATGTAACTTGATGTTTCATATTTGAATATTTAAAGTATCACCTAATTAAAAAAATAAACTTAATCACCCTTATAAGTAAAAAAGGAAGTAAGGAGACTGAATTTAAATTGAGACTTCTTTTCAAATAAATTTGAAAAAATTAATTAATCTCAACCATTAGAACCCATAACCGTCTTGAAAAATCAATAACATGGCGTCGAATGTCACATAGCCTAGCAATGAACCTTTGTGGTTGCTCGTTGCGGGAAGTTGGAGGTCCCATATTCGGCCGTCCCTCGAGGCCCACTGTGGTGTTCCCAAAGGCATGTTTGGTATGGTTGCTGTGGGTATAGCTCCGTTGGCACGTAAAGTGTGCAGGTGGCCCTAGGTTTGGTCTCGCTCCATCATCACAAAATGTAACGCGTGCGTGAAGATGTTATTGGGTTATAGAAAAATAAATATAATGGCGGGTGGCGATGGACCAACAAATTCTGAGCTTTAGTGTATGGCAGTGGACATGAGGCCCATGAATAGGAGAACGCAAGCTTAGCCCATTTGAACACTGGACAAAAGATATTCCAACACACATGTGAATTTCATGCAATATGATAAGGAAAACAACCCAGCAAACAAATGGAAACCTACCAACGCACTGGAGTGGCGGATGGGCAGTTGAGGTGACACAGTAATTTTTGTGTTAATGCAAAATTATTTTGACACCTTTTATTTTTGAAAATTAATAATATCTAAACCTATGAAAAAAATACAATTTATGATATCAGAAAATTAAAGTCGCCATTCATTACAATTAGACATTACTCATCTTTTTTGACGAAGCAATACATCAGACATTTTTATTTCATTTTTTTAGGTTAACGAATTAATATTTATCATTCGAAATATCAAAGCATTCTTGAAAAATTAGGTTGTGGAGTGAAACTCTAATACCATATGAGTCGTCGTTTGACTCTTGATGGCACTGCCTAGTCTCCATTGGACAGGAACATTTTTTTAATGTTATTATAAAAGTTTTGACTGTTAAATTATTTGTCACGACCAGATCCTAAATGTGATGGACGTGTGAAAAACTCTATCAAATCGTTCTGAATTCACACTCCAAATTAAGTCTCAAATTTGGGCTACAGTCTTTGTTACAAAAAAAGGGGTTGAACTAACCTTCATGGCTTGACTTATTGGACTAGACTCCAAATTGCGACTCAAATTCTCTATTAAATATTAATCAAACTAGATTAAGACCCACCGGCCAGTTGGTCGGATACGTTTTATCATGATATAAACAACAATAATAATTTTGCGAAACAAAATATATTTCATTTGTGATTATAAAAGAGTAATTTTTAAATATTGGAAAAAGAAAAAGAACATGGATCATAAATTGAAAATTGATCATAAATTTTGCTGACATCTTAACTAAGATTCATCAACTAAAGTCATGCAAGAGAATCAACTCGGAAAAATTCTTCCAAATCACATTCCAATCAGAAATTACTAAATATTTTGTTTTGGATTTCGCGATTGCTTCATCATTATCATTACTATCCTCGCCAATAATGGTGTCTTCCTACCTCTTCTACATTTCACTGAAAACAAATATATGATATTTGCTCTTTCTCACTAATAATTGTCCCTACTTTATTCTCCACAACATCTTATCTCTGTTATGGAATTCACAACCTTGATGGCTTGATCATTATTAGAAGACTGTTCCTTCTTCTCATAGATTTCATTGCCGTCAAGAACTTAATGGTATTATATTTACAAAAATGTGAAACTCCCTTTTTGCTCAAATTAAAAAGAAAACATCTTCCTAAATTTTTGTTCATACTATCTTAGTTCTTGTTACATGTTACATGCACAAATAAACGTTCATCAAATGAATCACTAAAATCTTTTAAATTTAATTTGAATGTGATTGCAAAAAAAATTGTTTATGGCCAAGAGTTACCAAACAAAAAGTTTATATTTTCAGTCAGGGCATGTCTATGATGATTTGGTGAAACTCCAAATAAAATTTATTTATTTAGAGTCTAGCAAAAAACTTTGATAGACCCGTTGATCGATAAGGTTGATTAAAATAGTGCTAGTATGTGATATGCTTTGTGTGAGTCGATCACATTTCTCATTAGATTGAATGTTTCAGGGAAACATGCCTATACAAATAAAATTCTTAGCAATGAATTTTATATAAGTTGAAGGTATGTTTGAATATCAAATGGAAGACATTGCACTTGTTTACATCCACCAATCAGGTGTGTAGATTGACCTTAATAATCTAGGTGTCACCTTTACTGATTTTGTTGATCAACTACAAAGATTTACTTGACGAACTATATGTAAGTTTGACTTAGAGTTTAGATAAAGTCATTGTAGCATATTCTTTTAGATTGTCATAGTAATAGTAATATGTAAAAATAAAATGCTAGAAACATTATTTTTGTTGACCAACAACAAACCAAATATAAGGTGTACTTAGTTTAGATTTAATTGCCATAATAATAGTAATAAGTATGTAAAAATAAAATGCTAGAAATAAATTAAAAAAAAGTCCAACCTCCCAGAACAAATAAATAATGAGTGATTATAAAATAAAATAAAAATTAATAAGATGGAAAGACTCCTTTAGCCTTCCATGAGATAAGGTGAAGACTCCAATTTTTGTTTTAACTAACTCATCATGCTGAATCTCTATAAATTAGTGTGTAGATAGATATAGATAGATGAGTCTTAAAGAGAAAATATCGATTAGAATGATGCTAGCTTTTTTAGTTGTTAGCAACCTTACTCATCCCTTTCGATTGCCGATTGGTATGCGTGTTGGATGAACCACATCATAAAATTTATCCATAGAGCTTACTCTTCAACATTCCATTTAATTTCCATTGCCAGTGAAAGTCGGGTGTTAATTGGTGCTTGAGCTATCAAAATAGAACCGACATGAATAATCTGCCCATTTCACCTAACTCATTACTCGCTCACAAATCAAATTAACCGAAAGTCAATGACACATAACTGGTCTAGCGGGTAACTTGATTAACCGATTAATTGGTTGATCAGTAACTTGATGGAGCCTCCACTTGATTGACCTACAAATTAACCCACATCCCAATTAACTGAGGATCTGACTAACATGTGACTCGATTAACATAGCATGACCAACCTAATTGTCCGATTAAACTATGATATATGTAAATAAACATTTGATTTAACCAATAATAGCCACACAACCAAATATCGAGTTACAAGGCAAGGGTAGGGATGGTAATTGAACTAACATCTGTGGGAATTTGGTTAAAGAAGGTAACTTGTCTGATTTTTGGTTTGGTGGATAAAATCCACTTTGGGAATGACTGGTTGGGTTAAGTACAAATTTGGCTAAAATTTAGCCTATTTCCACAAGACTCGTACCCGAAAAGAAAAAAAAAATGATATTGGTTTGCATCTAATCCTAATAACATAAATATTTCATAGTTGTCATTAATTTTTACGAAAATATAGTTATAGTAATATGGATAATTATTGATTTTATAATTATTTATAACAATATAGTATAGAAAAATGTCATATGGTATAAGGATGTGGGTGTTCAAATTTACAGTTATGTTCGTGAACCAATGGGTACCTATGAATTCATGGATACCCATGCATCCGCTGATACTTGTTGGATCGAATTTTCACTTCTAATAGGTATATTATTGATTTTTTTTTGTGTGTGAATCCATTATCCATGGATCCTCAAATATGGTATGGAGATGGGAGGGAACGCAAGTTAGGTGTAGCACCAATTTTACCGCACTAGGATAGGATGTCCCAACGTAGGATAATAAACCATTAAGTACTTGAGGGATTAATTTAATAGTGATGGAATATTAACCCTTTGGCATTTATGAAGGTTGGCACCATTTACCATATTATCGTTCACTACTATGCAAGCACCACTATTTATTGCCCACTAGTCTTCAACCCAACACCTCATGAAACATGGCAACAGAACTACTACTGATCTTCCTTTCCCTGGTCACCATCTTCCTATGCCACTGGCTGCTCAGAAACAAGCACTCACCGGTCTACCAATGGCCATTCCTGGGGATGCTCCCTGGCCTCCTCTTGAGCTTCTACAACTCCACACTCCACGACTTCTACACCCGAGCCTTGAGGCGAACCGGGGGAACGTTCCTTCTCAAGGGACCTAGCTTCATCAACGCCGACTTCATGGTCACGTGCAATCCCGCCAACATCAACCACATCTTCAACAAGAACGCCACCAACTTCGAGAAGGGTCGGGACTTCAAGGACATAATGGAGGCTGTGGGCGACGGGATCTTTAATGTCGACGGCGAGTCGTGGAAGTTCCAGAGAAGGCTCCTCCATTCCTTGCTGAACAACCCCGAGTTCGAGTGTCACGCCATGGAGACTCTCAAAATGAAGATGAGGACAACCCTTCTGCCGGTCCTCGACAAAGTAGCGAGGGCCGGCGGGGAGGACGAGGAGGTGGTGGAGTTACAGGATGTGTTTAAGAGGTTCATGTTTGACAACATGTGCCTGTTGGTGTTTGGATTCGACCCCCAATACCTCCTCGTCGAGTCCGAGGCCGGCGGCAGGCTACCTGAGAGTGCATGTGGCAAAGCATTCGATGAGCTGGGGGATATGGTGATATACCGATACACGGTTCCGATATGCGTGTGGAGGCTTCAACGCCGGCTCCGTATTGGAATGGAGTGGAAGTTCATTCGAGGTTGTAGCACCGTAGATCAGTTCTTGTATGGTTGCATCAAGATGAAGAAGCAAGAATTAGCGACGAAACACCCCGTCAACATTCATGATGCGCATACAAAAAACAAGATGGATTTGCTGACACAAGTTTTGGTCATGAAAGATGAGGATGGCGGCGGTGACGGAAAAATCATTGATAAAAAATCCAACGAGTTCTTGAGGGACACTATGTTCACTTTAGTTGCAGCCGGGAGGGATACCATCACGGCCGGCCTTACTTGGTTGATATGGTGTGTAGCAAACCACCCCGCCGTGGAAAAAAGGATTCTCGAAGAGCTGAGACAAGTAATAGAAGCGCGGCCGTCAAAGGAAGTTAATGGTAAGAGAAATTAAATCTTGTTATGATCATGAAATTTGAACAATTTATATATCTTGCATTTTTCAGCATGATAAATGAGAAAACTAATTTGTGGCTTATTACTGGGGGAAGAAAGAGGAGGGTTTTTGAGCAACAACGAGTTGAATAAACTTGCGTATCTTCATGCAACCGTTTGTGAGACACTGAGGTTGTATCCACCAGTGCCTTTCGAGCACAAGATTGTTGTGGAGTCAGATGTCCTTCCAAGCGGGCACACGGTTCGGAAAGAAGAGAGGATACTGTTCTCTATATATGCCATGGCCAGGATGGAAGATATATGGGGAAAAGATTGCATGGAATTCAAACCGGAGAGGTGGATTTCGGAGAGAGGGACAATACTGCATGTCCCATCGTACAAGTTCATGACCTTTTTGGCTGGGGCAAGAACCTGTTTGGGCAAGACCATGTCTTTCATGCAAATCAAATCCATGGCCAGTGCTCTCCTGTGGAAGTACAAGTTTGAACTCACTGATAATAGTCCCTCCGCTAGGACGACGGTTGGGATGGTCTTGTATATGAAAGATGGGCTAAAGGCAAGAGTCTCCAGGAGAGATCATTGAGAATTATATTGCTGATTTCCTATTAATGTATGATGGTATGTTGTTGTCTAGTAAAAGTGACTGTTCCATCAGTTTGTTATTATGTCTAGCTAGGGTTCCGTTATTCGTGTGAAGTTTTCTTTCGTGTTATATGTTATCAATGCATGCTAGCTACTTCTATAAGTATAGTTGTTGTACTCTTTGGCTGTTATGAAATATAGCATGTATTAATAAATAAACATTCATGTGTTTAAAGATTGAAAATCATCTTTTCTATTTCTCCCACACACACATATCAAGATTTAGTTCCCGAAGTTGTGATGAGGGTTCCAGATTAATGAATCTTTTGATATAAATTTATCATCATATGCCCTTCAAACACATCGCAGTCAAATTGTACAATTTAACTCAAATTTTACATTTAATATAAATTATTTTATCACTTGTGAGGAAACTTTGCCAAGTTAGTGGACTGTGAAAGCAATAGATTAGCATATATCATCATTCATTCACTACTAATATGCAACCATGGTACGTCTTCAACACCAACACATTAGTATTTTTGCACATCAGCTAAACCCTAGCTGAATTTGCTATTGGAACATGGCCACACAACTTCTTCTAACCTTCCTTTCCCTAGTGATCTTCCTGTGTCTCTTGCTGCTCAGAAGCAAGAACTCACCGGTCTTTTCTAGCAACTCCATAAAAACTTCAGGGTCAACTAACAAAAGTTAGGAATTTGGATGGAACCTTAAAGATTTATCATTTTTTTCGTATTCAATAGGTTTGACTGTTAATTTGCACAAAATAAAAGGTTTCACTATTAAATTGTACTAACTCTAATCAAAGTCAAAATCTTCTAACTTGAATGTTAAGGTGCAGACTGATGTGGATGTTGAAATAGAACTCCGTTGATGACATCCTTATTAGTACTCTTCAGGGAAACAGAGACTAACATTTTGTAATGTCATTAAAAAAGGTTTACTATTAAATTGTTTGTCAAGATCCAATCCTCGATGTGAACGACGTACGAATGACTCTATCAAATAGTTTCAAATTTACATGGAGAAATTTTACAATGCTATATAGTATTGGTGCTATAGTATTTTGCCTTTATGGTACAACTTAAAATTGTACATTTACGTTATGGTACAACTTTAGATTGTACCTATACTTTTTGTACAAATTCTTTTATGGTACAACTTGGACTTGTACCTTTATGTGATGGTACAACTTCAAGTTGTAAAGTTGTACCATAACATAATGGTACAAATTGCTTTATGGTACAACCTAAACTTATACATTTAATGTTACAAGAACTTTTGTGGTAAGCCTACGAGTAGTGGCAGACCTAGAAATTTTACATAGGGGTGTCCTCTTTAAAAAAAAAATCGTAAATAACAAAATACCTTACTCGTACAGGTTACAAAAAGTTCATGATGTGTTTTCATATTCAGAAATAATTGTAGAATACACTTGGTTCTACAGTGTTAAGAAGTTGTCCCTACTAAACAATCATTCACGAACTGATCGCATATTTGATTTGTAACTCATTTTTTATGTAACCCAAAGATGAAAGACTCTTTTAACACTTGCCGTAAAACCATAAAATCAATACAAATTAATGGTAGTTTGAAATTAGTTTATTAACTGTTAGCATTTGAAAATAATTAGAGATAGGAATGACAATTTACTATTACACAATGTTCTAAATCGAACAACAAATGAGTTGTAGGTTAATGAAAATTATGTTTATTAGAATAACTAATTTTTTGACCCGCGCTTCGCAGCTGTAATAAACTAATAGAAATAATAATTGAATTTCTATGCGAAGAAAAAATAATGAATTTCATTCACTCATTTAATGATTTAGTTGAAATCAAATTATTCACAATATTTTTTGGGTAAGATACTTGCATAAACTTTGCGTAGTATTTTAATTATCACGAAAGACTTACATAATACGCTTGCTTAATTGATACATAAGAAATAACTATCCTGTTATAAGTTTTACGTAACTAATTTACGTAATTATTGTAGAATGGTGTTATGCAGAATTTTCATAATGGGTGGTCTAATAATAAAATCAAGTTACGGATACGTCTCATATTTTATTAAAATATTACGTAAAAGTTACTTATCTTACGGAGCCCTTGCATAATTCAAATTGATGAGATCAAGAATATAGTAGGTAATACCAAAGGAATTGTATTTAATAAAAGTGAATTAAGTTACGAAAAGTATCATATTCGATCAACAGTTTAGTTAAAAATTAGGATTTTTTCTTCAAACTTATATTACGGAAAATTTATATTTAATTAATACATAATAAATTACTATCCCTTCATAAACTTTATGTAGCGTCTCAGTCATTACGGAAATTAGCTCTCTGTAAGCATTACGTAATGTATTTATAATTTACGTAATTGATATTAGTAAATCTTTCATAATGTATGGTCTAATAATAAAATCAAGTTATGAAAAGTATAAAATTCGATTAAATTTTTTAAAGTAATTAAAACACCCATGTGATTTTCGTTAATTGTGATATGAGTGATGTTGGATAATCAATTGTGGAAACCCTATAAAAGTTATATCCAATGTTTTAGATGTGATTTTTCTCTTTTTAATTCATACCTGTAGTGGATTGAGGATTAAATGGGAGAAAAAAAAGGACAAAGGGAAAGAGCAGTCGAGACTCGAGAGGAGAGAAGTGAAGAAAGAGCTAGCTAGGCCAACCGTTGGGCTTAATACTCAGCCAACCCAAAGTAGTTAACTTGAGTTTTCCCCTAAAAATTCGTAATGAACAGTAAATCCGAAATTTAAGCAACTTGCGGATTAATATTACTAATGGTACAACTTTAAGTTGTACATTAAAGCACCAATACTACATAGCATAGTAGAAGTGCTCATTTACATGTGGCTAACCAAATTTTTACGGAAACTCATACTTAGAAGTCAAATATTGGGTTAGACTCCATATTAAGTCTCAAATTTGGGCTAACGTTTTTATATTAAAAAAATCATATTAAAATAGGGTTGGAGTAACCTTCGCGGCTTGGCTTATTAGGCCAGCCTCCAAATTACGACTCAAATTTTCTATTAATCGAATTTTGGGCTTTTATGGCCTTGGGTAATTGCTAATATAATCCCACCATCACAGGTGATTATAGAAGAGTTAGTGAAAAGAGATTAGCCTGATGCTAACCGGGTAAGGAGTGGGCAACTTCACTCATCCCTTTTGATTGGTATGCGTGCTGGACGAACGAGTAGAATTAGTGATGGCAGCTGGAAGAGTACCTCAATACCCATGCTTCGTCTCAGGCTATAGTCGGTTACGGCGGGTAATACCCATGTGTGTAGGGCGAGGCGGATTGACCCACTCTTATATGCTATTTGGAAAAATATATGTAAAATTTTAGTTTTTAAGATAAAACGAAGGGGAAAGCACTTTATGAATGACAAATATTGATGATAGAATGTGTAATTGAGTTTAAATAATTGAAAGATCGAGTCTAAATAGTTGAAGAAAAGTCAAAATAAGAGAAATATAAATTATTAATGTAAGAAATTGAGATAGAATGGAGTAAAAACGGAGCAAAGCGGATCTGAAGTCGATACCCATACCCCACCGCACACTACTGTGGGTCGGCTAATAACTGTCCCATCACTAGTCATGTCGGGTAATACTCAAAAACGGTCGGGTTCAAATCATCACTAAGCAGAATTTATCCATAGAGCTAGTTACTAGTACTCTTCATCATCATCCCATTTAATTTCCATGGCCTGTTTAAGTCGGTGCTTGATCCATCAAATTGAACCTGACCTGAATGAGCCGCCCATTTCAACTAACTCATTACTTGCTCGTAACTCAAATTGACCGAAAATCAATAACACATAACTCATCTAACTAGTAATTTGATTGAATCAGCAACCGTGGATACCCAACCCAGTTAAATTTAGTTAAGAGAAGTTAATATTATATGTTGACGGATTTTAGGTCGGGTGTCAATAAAACCCACTTTTGGAATGACGGGTTAGGTTAAGTATAGATTTGGCCAAATTTTGTCTTTTTCCGCAAGACCCGTACGCGAAAAGAAAAAAATTATATCATTTTGCATCTAATTAATAACATAAATAATTCATTTTTATTAGTCATTAGGATAAAATAGTTCTAATAATATGGATACTTATTGATTTTATTATTATTTATAACAATTATTGTAGAAAAAATGTCAGATGGTATAAGAATGTGAGTATTCAGATATACGATTATGTTCGTGAATCAATGGGTGAACATGAACCCATGGATATCCATGCACTCGACGGTACTTGTTAGATTGAATTTTCACTTCTAAAACCCATATTATCAATTTCTTTTTTGTGTGGAGGTACCTTTCGGTTTGAAAAACCCGACCCAACAAGATGAGAATAATCTGAGCTACATTGTTAGGAATAAAAAAAAAGTACCAAATATGGTATGGAGGGATCACAGGTTAGGTGTAGCGCCAAATTTGCTGCACTTTCGAATTAAGGAGGTCCAGCTTGGTGGACCTAATAACTAAGGTAGTCAGAATGTCAGATTATAGTTTTTTTTATGTATAAGAAAATTTTGGTAGAAGTTTATGCGCAAAATATAACTATATGCATCATATAAATCATTATAAATCTCAAAACCGAAACTTACGTAAATTTATATGAATCATTTTACTACCCTCAGTCATAAGAAAATTTGAAAAGCATGCCCTCATCGACGCATCCATGTCACACAATAGTTTCTTGTTGTTTTTAAATCGATTAAAATAAGGGTCATAGCCCACGTGTCAGTCCGTCTTTGTCAATTATCAAGTTGAAATTATTTTGATTGGCACGTGAACTCAACCAAATTATTTAAAAGAAAGATATAGAGTCACATATATAAAACTTATGTTCAATATAATTAGTTGATATATAGTAACCTATATAAATTTTACACGAATAATAAAAGGGTTGCTTGAAAATGTTACTTTTGTGCATGAATGCTAGGATGTTCCACCATAGGATAATATATAAACTATTAAGTAGGAAGTACGTAAGGGATTTAATACGGGTTGAATATTAACCCTTTAGTATTTATGAAAGTTGGCACCATTTACCATATATCATTCCCCACTATGCAACCACCACTATTTATTGCCCAATAGTCTTCAACAAAAATGCATTAGCAATATTACATTAGCTAAACCCTAGCTAAAGTTGCTGCAGAGACATGGCAACACAACTACTACTGATCTTCCTTTCCCTAGCCATCTTCCTATGGCACTGCCTACTCAGAAACAAGCACTCACCAGTCTACCAATGGCCATTCCTGGGGATGCTCCCTGGCTTCCTCTTCAGCTTCTACGACTCCACAATCCACGACTTGTATACCCGAGCCTTGAGGCGAACCGGGGGAACGTTCCTTCTAAAGGGACCCATTTTCATCAACGCCGACTTCATGGTCACGTGCGATCCCGCCAACATCAACCACATCTTCAACAAGAACGCCGCCAACTACGAGAAGGGTCGGGACTTCAAGACCATAATGGAGCCTCTGGGCGACGGGATCTTTAATGTCGATGGCGAGTCGTGGAAGTTCCAGAGGAGGCTCCTCCATTCCTTGTTGAACAACTCCGAGTTCGAGTGTCACGCCATGCAGATCCTCACAGAGAAAATGAGGAGCACTCTTCTGCCGATCCTCGACAGAGCCGAGGTAGTGGACCTACAGGACGTGTTTAAGAGGTTCATGTTTGACAACATGTGCCTATTGGTATAGGGATTCTACCTGAGAATGCGTGTGGCGAAGCATTCGATGAGCTGGAGGAGGTGGCGACATACCGGCACATGGTTCCCATATGCGTGTGGAGGCTTCAAAACCGGCTCCGAATTGGAATGGAGTGGAAGTGCATTCGAGGTAGTAGAACGATTGATTAGTTCTTATATGGTCGCATCAAGATGAAGAAGCAAGAATTTGCAACGAAACACTACGTCGACAATGATGAGCAGACAAAAAACAAGACGGATTTGCTGACACAATTTTTGGTCATGAAAGACGAGGATGGCAACTGTGACGGGAAGATCATTGATAAAACATCCGACAAGTTCCTGAGGGACAATATGTTAACCTTACTTGTAGCCGGGAGGGATACCATCTCTGCGGGCCTTACATGGTTGATATGGTGTGTGGCGAACCACCCCACTGTCGAAAAAAGGATTCTAGAAGAGTTGAGACAAGTAATCGCAGTGCGACCACCAGAGCAAGTTAACGGTAAGAGAAAATGTTGTTATGATCATGGAATTTGAACAATTCATCTTGCATTTTCAATATGCTAAATGAAAAAAAAAACTATTTTTTGTGGCTAACCAGGCGACGAAGGAGGGTTTCTGAGAAGCAACGAGTTGAATAAACTTGTGTATCTCCATGCAACTGTTTGCGAGACACTAAAGGTTGTATCCACCAGTCCCATACGAGCACAAGTGCGCTGTGGAGTCGGATGTCCTTCCAAGCGGTCACACGGTTTGTAAAGAAGAGAGGATATTGTTCTACATATACGCCATAGCTAGGATGGAAGATATATGGGGAAAGGATTGCATGGAGTTCAAACCGGAGAGGTGGATTTCGGAGAGAGGGACAATACTGCATGTCCCAACTTACAAGTTCATGACCTTCTTGGCTGGGGCAAGAACCTGTTTGGGCAAGACCATGTCTTTCATGCAAATCAAATCCATGGCCAGTGCTCTCCTGTGGAAGTACAAGTTTGAACTCACTGATAATAATCCCTCCGCTAGGACTACGGTTGGGATGGTCTTGTATATGAAAGATGGGCTAAAGGCAAGAGTCTCTAGAAGAGATCACTGAGAATTATATTGCTAGTTTCCTATTAATTTATGATGTTCTGTTGTGGTCGACTGAAAGTTACTATTTCATCAGTTTTTACTTTTACTATGTGTTGCTAAGGTTTCGTTAGTCGTGTGAAGTTTTTATTGTTGGTTATCAATGCGTGCTATCTACTTCTATAAGTACTGTTGATGTACTCTTTGACTGTTATGAAATATAGCATGGATATTAATAAATAAAAATCCATGTGTTCTAAGAATGAAAAATCATCTTTTCCAGTTCTCCCACTTACACATATAAAGTATTTCTTATTTGATGAATGCCAGTGGCGGAGCCACCTTATAGCCCAGGAGGGGTATAACCCCTCTCAACTCTTAAAATAGTGTAAATCTACGTATAAATTTTGTAACAAATTTGAAAAATAGATTAGGTTGTAAGGATTTAACCCTCCTCTCCGGCTCAAACATCTTAAATGTAAATTTTAGCCCCCTCGTTCAGATTTCTGACTCCGCGCAAAATTGGAGTGTCCAAAAGTAGTGGACTAACTCCTATAACAGACAAAGAAAGATGGCAGTGGAAGACCTAGCTCACAACCGTTACAATGGATTCAACTCATGGTGGCAGAATAGCATAAGCTTAGCGCTATTGTCAAATAACTTTGTATATATACAAACTAGGAAAGGGTCAATAGATATGAGATTATGAGCATAATTCTATAATACTTGTACTGACTTTGATGGTAATCTTGTAAGCACTGCTACTTTTATCTCTGAAGAAACTTGCATTTATTTTAAGCCAAGTATTCCAAAATGTAATCAATGGGAGAAGTCGAATGACTTCTCTGAAGCAACAAACCCTGACAATGAAATCTCACTCCATGCATAGGTTCTTACAAAGTCGCGGTCTCGACGCATAGTAACTGTAGTCGAAAGTAGAAGTAATTCCAAACCTGGTTTGTAGAACAGCAATGTAGGAGCAACTGAGCAGCAGACTCAGCTGGTGCAAATTAAAGCAGGTAGAAATCAACAATGGTTATGGAGGGTCCATCCTCGAACAATCAGGTGGTCAAAGTAAGTATTTTTCCTTGAAAGACTAGTTAATTAAAAGCTGAAATCTTAATGGGAGCTCCTGTCTACCAGATCATCTTTTCATGGAAACATTTGCCAAGATCAGGGAACAAATCATGTGGGAGTAGGTATTGTTAAATGTTAACCGTGAATTTCTTTTCTGGAAAGAGACATAAGATAGAGTTTGATGCAGCTTGCACCCAAACTGGCAATGAAAGCTTAAATTTTATTATTTCTAATTGTCACGTCCAACGATACTCTCGTCACATAAGTATGCTTTTGTGACAACTTAAACAAGTGACAGTGTGAAATATATTTTATGTATGTACAAACTCATAGAAACATTTTACTAAAAAAAAAAACTCATAGAAACATTTAGAATTTGTTACGGGAGAAGGTTGTCACTATTGATTGCGTCTTAGTGATGAGAAAACCGATTACAAGCAAAGGATATACATGCTAAAAATTGTATGAATATTCTTAAAAGAAATTATTGTATGAATCTTTGGGTAATTAGTGTAAACGATAAAAAATCCATGAACTTAGTACAAAACAGTCACAAAATTTTTATTTGCACGTCTTAATAAAATATTATTGAGTGAATAATAAAGCGGTCTTTCCATCCATCTCTATCTCAAAATCTGTTAATTTAATTGCATACCGTCACGCCAAAAAAATATTAATAAAAAATTCAACAAACCAAACGAACAAGATGAAACAAGAATCAGTGGTGGGAAACCCGGGTGCTATTAGTTGCTACAAATTCGCTAATGTAAACTATGGTCGCTAAAGATGATCAAATCGTTGCTAAAAGATCCAACAATCAGTTTCCGAGAGGGACACTGTCAAAATACGAAATCGAAACATAAATGAGACACAAGATTCCTCAACGTATAACAGTGAGACTAATCCATTGATAGGCGGAAAACTCTCAGATTCACTGGGATTACGTTACGTAGCTTAGAGTCCTCAAAGGTTACAAACGACTTAATCACCAAATATATACAAGCCTCCCACTAACCCTAGGCCTGCGGATTGTAATTAACCAAATAAATAGGGTGGTTAATTACAATCAAGTACCTAAACTTCTAACAGAAACCGCGTTTACCTCAATCTCGGCCGGGGGAGAGACCATATCCGCGTCTCTTTCATGCAATCTCATAAGCCTTTAATCATATATACACAATTTCATCAACCACTCGCTGTCATGCGATAAATGGAATAGACTCAACGAACTTCTTGTCTCTTAACTAAGAAAAATAAACGAATAAGAACTTGTTCTAGGTGTACTATTATCGGTTTTCAACTTGAAAATTTCAGATATGAATATTTTAAATACTAACATTAAAAAAAAATTATATCGGTTTTAACTGGTCGTTAACCTGTTGCTTTCATATATAAATACAGCTATTGTGGGTTAACCTGTTACTATTAAATTGGATGTTGTCAAAAGAATCAAAACAGTAGGATGATGTTTCGGGGCACAAGCTGTAACAGAAAATATTTGCACAATGTTTTACATCTATATGCTACTTTTTGCTTAAGTTTACCTATTGTTCAAATAGATCAGCTCGTACGTCACGTATGACGTACGTAACCAAGTTTTTCACATAGTCGAATCAACCATGCGTTCCGTATCACGTTACTTTTGTTAAGTCAAATATTTTAATACTCTAAACAACAATATTCTAATATTTGAACTAGAAAAACTAGTTTGAGCCAATTATTAATTTATGCCACAACTTGTTTGTTGAGCCGTTTTCCACCCGAATATATTTGTTATGAATAATCTTATATGAAAAATGGGCTTGTTTGATAATATATCTCACCAAACTCTATCAACAATGCTATGCATAACCAAATCGTATTATTTAACTCAAATTACATTTCATCTAATTGTTTTATCATTTATGTCAAGTGCAAAAAAAGGAAACTTTGCCAAGTTGGTGGAGTGTGAAAGCAATAGATTATCACATATCATTATTCATTCACTATGCAACCACCACTATTTATTGCCCACTAGTCTTCAACACAAATGCATTACTCTATTACATTAGCTAAACCCTAGTTAAACTTGTTGCACAGACATGGCAACAGAACTACTACTGTTCTTCCTTTCCCTAGCCATATTCCTATGGCACTGCCTCCTCAGAAACAAGCACTCACCCGTCTACCAATGGCCATTCCTGGGGATGCTCCCTAGCCTCCTCTTAAGCTTATACAACTACACACTCCACGACTTCTGCACTCGAGCCTTGAGGCGAACAGGGGGAACGTTCCTTCTCAAGGGACCCAGTTTCATCAATGCTGACTTCATGGTGACGAGTGATCCCACAAACATCAACCACATCTTCAACAAGAACGCGGCCAACTACAAGAAGGGTCGCGACTTCCGGGCCATAATGGATCCTCTGGGCGACGGGATCTTTAATGTCGACGGCGAGTCGTGGAAGTTCCAGAGGAAGCTCCTCCATTCCTTGTTGAACAACCCCGAGTTTGAGGGTCACGCCATGAAGACCCTCGAAAGGAAGATGAGGAGCAACCTTCTGCCGGTCCTTGACAGAGCAGCAACAAAAGTTGGCGGGGACGAGGCATTGGATATACAAGACGTGTTTAAGAGGTTCATGTTAGACAACATGTGCATGTTGGTATTGGGATTCGACCCCGAATACCTCCCCGCGGGGTTCGAGGGCGGAAGACTCCCCAAGAGTGCGTGTAGCAACGCCTTCGATGAGTTGGGAGAGGTGGCAATATACCGATACATGGTTCCAATATGCGTGTGGAGGTTTCAACACCGGCTTCGTATTGGAATGGAGTGGAAGTGCATTCGAGCCTGGAGCACCGTAGATCAGTTATTGTATGGTACCATCAACATGAAGAAGCAAGAATTAGCAACAAAGAAACACTCCATCGGCAATGACAAGCGGGATTTGCTAACACAAGTTTTGGTCATGAAAGATGAGGATGGCAGGGGTTACGAAAAAATCGTTGATAAAACTTCCAAAAACTTTCTGAGGGACACTATGTTCACCTTAGTTGCTGCCGGGAGGGATACCATCACTGCCAGCCTTACTTGGCTGATATGGTGTGTGGTGAACCACCCCATCGTCGAAAAAAGGATTTTGGAAGAGCTGGGACTAGCAATAGCGGCCCGACCACCAAACGAGGTTGATGGTAAGGTAAAATTTTGTCATGATCATGGAATTTAATGTCCAGCTTGCATTTTCTAGATACTAATTGAGAAAACTAATTTTTGGCTAATTAGAAGAAGAAAGAGGAGGGGGGTTTATGAACAACAACGAGTTGAACAAACTTGTGTATCTCCATGCAACTGTTTGCGAGACACTAAGGTTGTACCCACCAGTTCCATTCGAGCACAAGTGCGTCGTGGAGGCGGATGTCCTTCCAAGCGGGCACACGGTTCATAAAGAAGAGAGGATAGTGTTTTCCATATACTCCATGGGAAGAATGGAAAATATATGGGGAAAGGATTGCATGGAGTTCAAACCGGAGAGGTGGATTTCGGAGACAGGAACGATATTACATATCCCCTCGTACAAGTTCATGACCTTCATAACTGGGGCAAGGACATGCTTGGGAAAATCCATGGCTTTCACTCAAGTCAAGTACCTGGCTAGTGCCCTCCTTTGGAACTACAAGTTTGACTTCATAGATAATGGTCCCTCTGTTAAGCCAACGGTCGGGATGGTCATGTTTATGAAAGATGGGCTCAAGGCAAGAGTCATTAAGAGAAATAATTGACAATAATAATGTTGATTTGTTGTGGGCTAGTAAAAGTTGTTGTTTCATTAATTTGTTACTGTTTCTTTATAGGTTTCCGAGTGTGGTGAAGTTTTCTTTCTTGTAATCTGTTTTATAAATATGGCATCGCTTAGTAAATAAACTTTCATGTGCTCGAAAAGTGTGAAAATCATTTTCTATTTCTCCCACTGTCCCTCATACACATATCAATAATTGGTTCCCAATTTGGTACAGTGGTTATCATTTTCAGTAACAAAAAAAAAAAAAAAATTGTTTTCAAGTCATAACAACGGTTGATATTGTGTATCTCAATTTTTTGTTCAAATGACCTAAGTATATAAATTTTTCATATTTTTTATTTCAAAACATACATAGTCAATTCATAAAAAAAAAGATACATAGTCTGTGGCGATGATATCTTTTTGATAATAGTGAAACTGCATAAAACTGAAAAATAAAGTCTTACCTTACCTGTTTCACAACCTAAAAGGCTTACCCTAAATAAGAGGGAAGGAACAAAGAAAAGTAAGAAAAGACAGAATGTATGACATTATATTTAGCCACCAAAAAATTGGTTTCTATACATATCAATGCAACCATGGTCTTATCTCCTACTTCTTTTATACATGGTCGCCATATTATATCTAACGACTTGTTTTAGCTGCTCGCTAATCTATTGCTTTCAGAAATGTATACGACGAGTTCACACAAGTCCACCTAATATACATAGAATTAGCTTGGGTAGGCCCAAATCATGGTCATCATAAGGAGTTTGTGAAGTGGTTGCAAACTTGCAATTAACACGTTCCTTTGCTTTGCCCTGAAATTAGTAACCAAATTTAATTTGTACTCTTAAATTTGATGTGCACAAAAGAATCCGAGTAGATGATATTTTTTGGCACAAAAATATTTACATACATATCTTACTTTTCTCTTAAATTTACCGATTGCTCATATTCATGCACGTAATCAATGTTTTCGCGCAATCTCGTCATTCATCAATTCATCAACTTTTTTCCCCACCAAAATATACTTGTTTTACATCATCTTATACGACAAATGAGTTTTGTTTGATCATATATCTCACCAACTTCTATCAATGAGGATTTACAAGACCACATTTTACATCTTGACTCAAATTTAAATTTCATATATTTGTTTTATCATTTATGTCTAAGGACGAAAAAAATGAAACTAGTTGCCATGTTAGTAGGATGAATGAAACTAGTTGGTAAGATAGTAGGATGTGAAAGCAATAGGTTCACCACAAAATTGATAACTATATGTGCCTTGAGGAATTGAAGATTTGGGTTATGAAATTGACCGGTGCTCATTTAGGCGCCTAATTAATTTAATTCCAAGAATCCATCATTATTTTTTGCTTTAGGGCACCTTGATCAGTGTCTTCCCTCTATAAATTGGTACATCAACATAGTTATTAGCTCACAAAACAGTCGCCCCTTAATGGAACAGAATATATTCGTTATGAGTGATCTCCATGTGCAAGATAGCTAGTCGATTTCATATGTCCAACTTCCATTGAATTGTCCAACGTTTCACATTTAGTAACGTGTAAAGGCGATAGAGATTAGCCACCAGATTAATTATTACTCTACATGGCATACACCTTACGTGGATTGCATGGAAGCGTTGTTATCTGTGAAAACAACATATATATACATTAGATTCCTCTATAACCACGAAATCACCATATAGAAACAAGCAATTAATGTCGGCAATGCCGCCGACGATGATAGTAGCCTCCTCGGCCGTCCTCTGCCTTGCCATCGTGTACCGACTGTGGCGAGAAGTGGTGAGGGACCTCGCCGTCCTACTCTGGAAAGCATCCGACGACCTCCAAAACCTGTGCAACGAAGTCATGAAGAAGCACGGCGGGACCTACGTGTTGAAGGGCCCCAAATTCTGCAACTTCGACTTCGTCACCACGTGCGACCACCGGAACGCCCGCCACATCTTCAGCACCAACTTCCGCAACTACGAGAGAGGCCAGGACTTCAACTACATGTTCGAGGTCCTCGGGGACGGCATCTTCAACGTCGACGGGGAGCTGTGGAAGTACCAGAGGCAGCTCCTTCAATCCCTCATCGGCAGCAACAACGAGGAGTTCGAGCGCCACATGATGGAGACGCTGCGTGAGAAGACCGAGACGGCCTTGTTCCCTGTCCTGGACGACGCTGCATCGTCGTCCAGGCTGCAGGGAACCGAGGTTGTTGACGTGCAGGACGTTGTGAAGAGGTTCATGTTCGACGCCATTTGTTTGTTGGTGTTAGGGTTTGATCCAGAGGAAATGAGCTCGTCGGTGTCGTGGGCAGTGAAAGCATGCGACGAGATCACGGAGGCAGTGGCCTTCCGTCACATTGTACCCGTGTGGATGTTGAGGTTACAAAATTGGTTTCAAGTAGGGACGGAGAAGAGGATGAGAAGAAGCTGGAGAGCCATGGATCGATTCCTGTACCGGTGCGTCAAGACCAGGAAGCAAGAACTAGCCTTAGCTAACAACGACAAGATCTGCAAAGGAAAAGATCATCAACCACGACCGAAATTCGATCTATTGACTCAATGCTTGATGGTTGAAGAAGAAAGAGAAGGAGAAGCAGTAGTAGAGAAACAATCTGACAAGTTCCTGAGAGACACTGCACTCACACTGATACTAGCCGGAAAGGAAACCATATCTTCTGGTCTCGTCTGGTTGCTCTGGCTGGTCGCCACCCACCCTCACGTCGAGAGAGCGATTCTGGATGAAATCGAACAATTTGTGGCGGTGAATGGAAAAGCGGCCTTTTGGAGCAAGGGTGAGTTGACCACCAACAAAATGGTGTACCTCCATGCAGCAATCTGCGAGACGTTGAGGTTGTACCCACCGGTGCCATTCCAGCACAGATGCGCCATGGGAGAGGATTTGTTACCTAGCGGGCATCGGGTTCGAAAGGGAGCGAGGATGATATTCTCCATATGCTCCATGGCCAGGATGCCACAGATATGGAGCGAGGACTGTGCAGAGTTCAAGCCCGAGAGGTGGATCAATCGTGGAACCGGAACCATACTGCCCGTGCCATCCCACAGGTTCATGACGTTCATGACCGGACCGAGGACTTGTTTGGGGAGGGCAATGTCCTTCCTTCAGCTCAAGTCGCTTGCTAGTGCTATCCTGTGGAACTACAAGCTCGAGGTGGTTGAGGGCCATCCCGTGAAGCCAGCACTTTCGGTGGTTACTTCGATGAAGCATGGCTTGAAGATGAGAGTTTCCAAGAGAAGATAAATCATAAAATGCAATGTTTTTATTAATATGAATTATATTATGCTCTCCTACTAATGTAACCATGTTTCAGAATCCAGATATGATGTTGCCAACTTGGTTTTGGAGAAAATAAAGGGTAGAATAATGTGTTTCTCAATAAATTGATTATGTTTGAAATAGTAATTATTTAGTAGTGTGGTAAGGCGACAGATCAACCACCGAATTGCATTCAATGTGATTTTTGAAAACGTAGGATTTCTATTTTCTACCAAATGGAACCTCGTGGTCGCTCCATGCAAATCGATTTCTCCATCCAAATGGAACCTCAAAATCCATAATCCACATCGACTTTTCTACGTCTTTTACATATGAATTATGATCATGCATTAGACTAGACCTGGAGTAGACTCCCCCATGCATTTCGAAACACTTAATTGATGGGCTAACTCATGACCGCTCCAGCATTCAATGACAACTTTGTTTTCTACGCCTTTCAAGCAATATGTACTGTTAAGTTTATGAGGTTAACGACTTCAGTTAGTGGTAGAGTTAAGTTGAAACTATGAGGAGCGGTATACTCTCTCGAATGTGCATTTCACAATTTCTTTTACGCCAATGACAGAAAAATGTAACGAGCTACTTTATCAAATTAGTAGTCTTCAATACCAACACATCAATACTCATCCCTCATTAATTGTGGTCAATTTATTCAAATTAAAAAGTCATTCAGACGAAATGTTCATATTAGTTGGAGCTATTGTTAAACCCCGTAGCACACTCGCCATTCCCTTTGAGAACTATATATATAATATGCTTTCCCAGGAAGGGGGTATATAAAGTGGTTGCAATAGTTTACTCGTTCGTTCCATTTGCACTCATACATGATATTTTATTTATTGAAATGACACAAATAACAACCGTATAGCTCACACAAGTACCCATCCTATTTAATTATCAATGACAGAATATATTCGCTATTTAATTATCAATGACACAAGTAAAATTGGCTACTCAATTTCATGCGTCACAGCTAATTAACAACTTTACTTAAATGAGCATTTCAGAGTAATGTTCATTGCAACGACACAAAAGTGGAAAGAGCAGCCGAATTAGTATCGTTATGTGAAAGCTCCTATAGATTATCCACTAACTTAGTTACGTTGATAGCTATAATAACTTGGTGTACGTACGTATTTTTGAATACAACCAAGTCCAAGAGATTGGAAAGGAAGCCAAAAAATAAAAAAGAAGCTAAGGTTCCTTAATTCATTGCATTTGCATAGAGACATTAATTAATCATGTCAACTGCAGAGCTCCTGCAACTTTCTGTAATACTACTCTCATCAGCCTTCCTTTGCATCATCGGCTTAATGCGGACCCTTTTTGGGGACATTCCAATCGCGCTTTGGCAGGCATCCAGTCTCCACGACTTCACCACTCGACTCCTGAAATTGAACAACGGGACTTTGTTGCTCAGCGGCCCCATGTTCCTCAACGGGGACATGATCATCACCAGCGACCCCATGAACGCCCACCACGTCCTCAGCAGAAACTTCACCAACTACGAGAAAGGCCGCGATTTCAAGGCAATCATGGACGCCTATGGTGACGGCATCATCAACTCCGACGGCGAGTCGTGGAAGCTCAAGAGGCAGCTCGTCCACTCCCTGATCAACACCAAGGAGTTCGAAGATCACGTCATGAAAGTCATGGCGGTCAAGTTGGAGCACACCTTGTTCCGCGTCCTCGATGATTGTGCGTCATCATCCGAGGTTGTTGACATCCAGGATGTGCTCAAAAGGTTCATGTTCGACAACATCTGCCTGTTGGTATTGGGGTTCGATCCTGGCTACCTGCGGCCTGCTGGACTACTACTTTCCACTACTACTCCTACATTGTTGTGTGGCAAAGCATTTGATGATCTGAAGGAGGCTGTCGTGTACCGCCACATTGTCCCCAAATTCCTGTGGAGAATCCAAAAGAGGCTTGATGTCGGAGTGGAGAAGAAGGCAAGCAGAAGTCGCCAGATCCTCGATGACTTCATATATGCAAGGATAGAGACGAGGAAGCAAGAGTTGGTGAAACTAGGAGGAATTAACGACGACAACAATGCCAACGATGTGTTGACACGACTTTTGGTAACGGGACAAGACAAGTCAGACAAGTTTGTGAGGGACACTGTGTTCAGCTTGATAGGAGCTGGGAGAGACTTAATCTCCTCTGCCCTAACTTGGTTTCTTTGGCTGGTCGTGACCCACCCGACTGTCGAGGGAAGAATTTTACACGAGATTAAGCTAGTCATGAACGTGCGGCAAGATGATGATGATCAAGATAGATTGTTTTTTACCAAGGACGAGTTGAACAAACTGGTTTATCTTCATGCCGCGATTTGGGAGACCTTAAGGTTGTACCCACCAGCGCCATTCGAGCATAAATGCGCTGTGGAAGCAGATGTGCTACCTAGTGGCCATGGTGTGCCTAAGGGCACGAAGATATTGTTCTCCATATACTCGATGGGTAGGATGGAAGAGATATGGGGTGAAGATTGTACGGAGTTCAAGCCGGAGAGGTGGATTTCTGAAAAAGGGAACGTAATTCATGTTCCTTCGTACAAACTTATGGCCTTTTTAGCAGGGCCAAGGACTTGTACTGGGAAGGCTATCGCTTTCTTGCAGCTCAAGTCCATGGCCAGTGCCATTCTCTGGAACTACAAGTTCGATATTGTGGAGGGTCATGTCATGAAGCCGACACCTGCTATGATATTGCTAATGAAAGATGGATTGAAGATGAGGGTTTCCAAAAGGGGTTTAGTTTGAGTGTTTCTTGTTGTTGTTGTTGTTGTTGATGATTTACTTGTTTGATGTTGGGGTTTCTGTTTAGGATGGGATCTTGATGACGACTTTATGTAGGAGAGTTTGCATCTGCAATAATTATGAAGCAGCATTATAATATGGATTCAATAGGAAAATGAAGCCCCATACGGATTTCTAATATTGTAAGGTGGCTTGTATTATTGTAGCGGAAATAGCTTGTGATATCCCCTAATTGATCCTTTCAAGAAAGCTATATATCTTAATGTAAGGCCTCTGGCCATGTCAAGCAATGAGAAGAAAAACAAATTGGAGACTGTTGTCTCTCCTGTGATTTTTTCCAAAATACACTAGTTACTAAAAGGTACCCACACTATCATACTAACGCTAAAATTTGTCAGATTATTAGAGCTTGGTTTGGGTGATTGCAATTTCCAGCGATCTTTGTGGCGATTCAGTGAAAATCGGAACGATCCAACTTGGATCACGGCCAACCAAAGCGAACGATCTTATAGAGTTTAAGTACTAGAGTCTGTAGCGATCTCGCTAGATCGCTGCTGACTCATGCAATCTAACCCAAAAATTACTGGACACTCCAACGATTTACACCTAATACACGCTGAAATAATCTGATTTGAATTGAACTTTTAATTTTGCTGTGAAAGAATCAGAATATATTCATTAATCATTACATTATCTTTGGGGGAAAATTAAAGAGATAGCTAGTCTGAATGATATATTTTCCAAATTCTCCAATTTGGGCTCAAATGTGCATTTCTCTATTTCTTTTACGTTAGTGGAGCAAAAAGGAAACTAGTTGCCAGATTGGTAGGATGTGAAAGCACTAGATCAGCCACCATATTGATAGCTACGCCTTGGGGGAATTTAATGGTGCTGGTAGGATTTTAAGACTGAACATTAATTAGATCACCAACTATCACATATAAGTTTTAATCCGTTCAAAAGTCAGTTCACCGCGCAATAAATTCGTACATGTCGATCATACATGGTGGTTAAACCATTTGTCAATGCATGTTATTGACAAACTTCTATCCAATCCGAATATAAACTCTTCTAATCATTCTAAAACTCGAACATCGTAATAAAAATTGACATATCAACCTAGCAATTTGGTTATTAAATGTAGCAAAGTAGAATCACATCGTAGATTGAATTCAAAGTAACAAATTTTTGTCACAAACTATTATTTCTATTTCGATAATTGTTGATATTAAAATTTAAACAAAGAACGTGATAAATATTTTTTCGTCACATGATTTTGCTTTTTAAATAACCCAAAAATTTGAAGTCAAGAAGCCACCCCCACCTGTCTTCATAAAGCTAACCTCCCCATTTCGTCCTTTCATCACCTCTAAATCATTGGCTTTGACAAAGAACCATTCCTATCAATTACCTACACAAATCATCACCATCATCATGATCATGCTACTCTCAGCCTTTCTTTGCCTTATCATCATCCTAACAATGGCGTGGCCTCTGGTCGGGGAGCTTCCCTACCTGCTTTGGAACATATCCAACCTCCACGACTACGCCACTCTGCGTCTCAAACTACTCGGCGGGACAACGGTCAACAAGTGCCCTATGTTTCTCAACTCATGCGACTACATCGTCACCAGCGATCCCATGAACGCCCGTCACATCCTCATCAGAAACTTCGCCAACTACGAGAAGGGCGAAGATCTCAGGATCATAATGGAAGGGACTCTAGGAGAAGGCATATTCAATGCCAATGGGGAGTCATGGAAGTTTCAGAGGCAACTCATTCATTCCTTGATAAACAACAAGGAGTTTGGGGATCTAGTGATGCAAACCCTGAGGGTGAAGATGCAAGGCACCCTGTTCCGTGTGCTCGATGATTATGCATCGGGCAGAAAAAGCGACAAGATTTTGGACATGCAGGATGTGGCAAAAAATTTGGTGTTCGACAATATTTGCTCGCTCGTGTTTGGATTTGACCCATGTTCCCTCTCCCATGTCGGGTCTGATTCCAAGTTGTTGTCATCATCAGAACTTCATGCCTTGTTGTTGGGGAAAGCATTTGATGAAATTGAAGAGGCAGTTATATACCGACATGTTGTCCCCATGTGGGTGTGGAAATTCCAAAAGAGGCTTCAGATTGGAGTAGAGAAGAAGGTGGCTAAGTACTGCAAGATTCTGGATGAGTTCTTGTATGCAAGCATCGAGATGAAGAAGCAAGAGTTATCGACATTGGGAAACAATATCGATAATTCCACTACCGAGAGGCGTGACTTGTTGTCACATCTTTTGGTGGGGGAAGAGAAGTTCTCAAACAAGTTTCTGAGAGATGTTGCTATCAGCTTGATAGTAGCAGGGAGAGACACGGTGTCCTCTGCTCTAACTTGGTTGTTATGGCTGGTTGCCACCCACCCAGATGTCGAGAAAAGAGTTCTTGAAGAAATCAAACAAGTCATGACCACAACAACATCATCAAGTGGCGGGCTTCTGAGCGAGGATGAGCTCAACAAACTAATATTCCTCCATGCAACCATCTGTGAAACATTAAGGTTGTACCCACCATTCCCAATTGAGCACAAATGCGCCGTGGAGGCAGATGTCCTCCCTACAGGCCATTGTGTACGTAAGGGAACAAAGATATTGGTCTCTATATACTCGATGGGTAGGATGGAAGAGATATGGGGGAATAACTGTATGGAATTCAAGCCGGAGAGATGGATTTCGGAACAAGGGAGCATAATCTATGTTCCGTCATACAAGTTCATGGCCTTTATCTCGGGGCCAAGGACTTGTTTGGGCAAGACTATGGCTTTCATGCAACTCAAGTCGATGGCCAGTGCTATTCTGTGGAATTACAAGCTTGATATGGTGGAAGATCACGTCGTGAAACCAACACCATCTATGATATTGTCGATGAAGCATGGGTTGAAGATGAGAGTTTCCAAGAGGGCATCGAATTTGGTAATATAGAAAGCTTATTATGTTGTTGTCATTTATTTTTCGATGTTGGCTTGCTATTGTTGTTATGATTGGTATCTCCGGATGTAATGTTTTTCTAGTTACTAATTTTGCATCTGCATTAAGAATTACGTGGATATGGAAAAACAGACGCATATAAATTTTTTACCGTAGTTAGTATTAGCCACGTAACCTTTTCTTGCTCTCGGTCCTAGTTTGGTTACCAGCTATTGTGACCATATCTATAGCGACCATATTGGTGACGCCAATATTGGCCGCGCACTTGACAAAATTATTATCAGCCTATGCTTTTATATATTATTATTTTACTTTATGCTTATATCGGTTATTAGAATTATTAAGCCACAAGTAGACAAAAATTACCAAAAATCGAAAAAAACACTGTTCATTACGAAAAAATCGTGTATCATTGTTCACGGAGAGACTTGATGATTCCTTGTGATCCTATCTACGTAAGCTCATGTGTATCTTTCTTTGAGCAGGCCAAGTTTGGCCGTTAATGATAGGTTTAGGCCAAACGTAGCCGTTGATGCTATATTTAGTTTGTGGGCTCACCAAAAAGCAACTTTAACTGATCGGTGGCCCCTCTGGAAAAAGAAAGCGTTTCTGACAATACCTTTCTCTCACCTCTCCCAATTCCCAATCCTTCTGTTCTGCCCTTCTCTCCCATCCCTTCCCATGATCTCATCTCATTCCCCGATTCACAACCTTCCATCTCCGTAACCTCCGACCAGACGCCGGCAGGAGAATGTGGCAACAAAATCTAAATTCTCTTCTGCGAAAACCCCTGCTCACTGAAGAAGCAGAGGCCGCGCAGAGACGCGGTGGAAAAATGAGACGTTTTAGGGATTCGATTTCCCCTTCAGCCCTTCTTTGCCCTCCTCCAAACCCGTTCTATGGTTTCTCGAAGAAACGTCGGTGGATAACAACGAAAGGTAGGGGACGGTGGCGGCGACGGTCAAGAACTGATTCTGAGCCGATCTATCTTCCTCGCCTCAACAATAATCGAAGCCGTGAGATTCGGATTGACTCTGCTCTCTACTGGAAATTGCTTAGTGCGCTATCTGATGGATCGATCTAGATTGAGGATGGCGGCTTCGAAGTGGGCTGTGTTTGGATTCTCTGTTGGGGATTACTTGGTGAGCTATCTAATGAATCGATAAAGATTGGGAATGACGGCTTCGAAGCGGGCCATAGTTGGATTCTATGTGCTTCTCCAGTAAATGATCGAAGCTAAGGTCAGACCCCAAATTTTTGATTCTTTTTTGTTTAACTAATTAGGAGGAGTTGCTTGGGATGATTCGTTAACCCATTGATAGTACTGTTTATTTCTCAGCCTTTGGCAAGATGAACTTGGGATAATATGCAGCTGCAGGTAGCTCTTCAGCAAGCAATGGACTAGGTGATTTTTCCATTTTTCAACCATTTGTGATGAATAATAGTTGATCCTTATGTGTGATGTCATTTCTCAATTCCCTACTCTGAACGGAGGGTGTGGATTGAAATTGAGATTTGCCGAGAAGGTTTTGTTCATGTAGCGATCTTTCCCATATGAATCCATTCTCCCCATTTGAGGCCTACTGTGAATCTTGAAATGAGAATATGAATACACATTTGGTTTTATTGTTTATGTTGTGGTTTTTGAAGAAGAGATTTCTGAATTTGACGATTTGAACTAACTAGAAGGGTATGATTAAATTTTAGATTCATTGCCAAGGGTGGGGATAGCACAATTTGATTGGCAGTTTGATTAATTACCGCAAGACGATAATTTTTGGGTTTCCCAATTCGATTGCCACTTTGGAAAAACTACATTTTTAACAGTCTTTTGAGTCACCTTTTCATACAAGTTCAAGGTTCTTTACCTAAGAATTTCTATTATGTGACGGAAGTATCTGAACTCATAGTAATACGTATTAATTTATGACGAACTAGCAAGAACCAAAAGGGCATTATTGCAGTTGTAGAGCGAAGAGTTCAGAAGCATTCACTCCCTTTTCCCTGTTAGTTTTTGAGTTATACTACATGAGAAGGATTGAGCTAGAATTGACATATTAGTTGATGATTCACTTAGGTCATGTTAGCAGGTTTATCATGAATACCTTATTGATTGCCTCGATTCAAAGTTCTTCTGGTAAATTCAGATTGTGATCTTAATTCTATTTTCATACTGAAAATTGGTTGTTTCAAATCAGCATTCAATGTCATAAAAACCCCGTTTGAAAAGAGGCCTTGAGGTTCTTGCAAGTAATTGTTGAGATAGCTTGCTATAATTCTTAACATCTGTAATTTGTAAAGCAAATTTATTGTACGTTTTCAAATTCTTCACTTAAAGACATTTCATCTCTTTCTCCATCAGAAAGGTAAACACCCTTGCTTAGACTGTCAAATTAGCGTTATGGTTCAATGGTTTGATAACTGTTCTTTTGCATCACCAGTAAAAAAACTCTTATTTCTTACATGATGTGTAGATTTAATTGCTCATTCAAATATATTCCTTTTGGATGGCATTTTCCCCAGTTAGATCACTTTCCCTTGGAAAAGCTAAACTAGCTTATATAGCTGTTGTGGACAACAGAGATACTCAAAGATGTTGATTCAAATTTCTTAGCTGTCATTTTGAATGTGTTGCAATAGGTGATCTCCAAGTACTAAGTTGACCATTTTATGAACATGTTTGACTAGCCTCTCATATTTTGTTATATTACTAAAATTCCCCTACTTCTAGCGTTTGGTTGTATTTGTCATAATGAGTTCATGATAGTTTTTTTCAATGAAGACTGATAAATCAAAATCATTATTTCTATTGTTACCAACGAAACCACAGTATTATCTTTTTTCTATCAACAGTTAAAACCTCTTATGTGGATTATTGATTAATTAAGCCTCTTTCTACCAAAAAAATGATTAATTAAGCCTCCCAATAGACGTTTGGCCTTGATTGTTTGACATGTGGTCTTTTTCATTCAACATGGGGAAATTATATTATTTGTATTTTCAATGTGTAAAAGCAAGCATATCCTCGGCTATTTTTTCTTATTTATTGACTACTTTTAATCCGTTGTTAATTATACATTACAAATTCATAATCTATTCCCGTTGCGTAGTACGGGCTAATTTTCTAGTTAGTTATTATACTATGTTCATTGGAACGAAGCAAGAGAGGAAGAGACAGATGGGAGCCCACATTTTATTTATTACGACACTAGTAACAACCATGCAGCTCACAACCCATACATACTCATTTCTATTTACTAAAGACCATAAATATTGATTAAAAAGAAAATTGACATCTCTCTTCTTAGATAAGGCTTATATAGATTTATTTTCATTATTATCTGCTACTAGAGAGATTTGAATCGAGACATTCAGGTTCAATTGGTACTACAACTAGATCATGTTCTTGTTCACAAGAAATTATACATTTCTCTTGGAAACTCTCATCTTCAAACCATCTTTCATTGACAGTACCATGGATGGTGTTGGCTTCACCACGTGACCCACTACCATTTCGAATTTGTAGTTCCACAGAATTGAACTAACCATGAACTTAAGTAGCATGAAAGACATCGCCTTCCCCAAACAAGTCCTCGATCCTGTCAAAAAAGTCATGAACTTTTGCGACGGAACATGAATTATATTTCCTTCATCTGAAATCCATCTTTCGGGCTTGAAATCCATGCAATCTTTCCCCCACGTCTCTTCCATCCTCCCCATGGAGTACATGGAGAACAACATCCTCATTCCCTTATGAACTTTGTGGCCGCTAGGGAGCACGTCAGCTTCATTGGCGCATCGGTGCTCGAATGGCAATGGTGGGTACAACCTCAATGTCTCGTAAATGGCGGCATGAAGGTACACTAACTCATTTAAATCATCCTTGCTGATCAGAAACCTCGAAGTCCCTCTAGCAGTCCTAGTCATGACTGCCATTACTCGTTCGATCTCCCCAAGAATATTTCTCTCAACGTCAGGGTGGGTCGCGACCAACCATAGCAACAAAGACAGAGTGGAAGATAGGGTGTCCCTCCCAGCTGAAATTAGTGTAAGCGCAATGTCTCTTAGAAACTTGTCTGGGCTTTGATGGTCAGCCACCAACCATTGTGTTAGCATGTCGTGATGTTGTCTTTGCTCCTCTTTGTGCAGCATCTCTTGTTTCTTGATCTTGACGGCATTGTATAAGAACTCATCCAACACCTTCGTACTTAGACTTATCTTCCTCTCCGAACCAATCTCAAACCTTTTCTGGAACTCCCAGACACCTTTGGGCACTATATGTCGGTATATGATCCCCTCCTCGATTTCCTCGAATGCTTTCCCACAGGAGAAAGTTTTTGAACGCCCATCTACACATAGGTAACCTGCGATAGATCGAGGATTGATAATTTGAGCGAAGACACAATTACTTGCACTATATATAAACTCGAGTACAAAATCATACTAAATGTTTAACCTGGATCAAACCCCAAAACCCACAAGCAAATGTTGTCGAACATGAACTTCTTTGCCACGTCCTGCATGTCCACCTCAGCTCCGGTTCTGGATGAACAATAATTGTCGAGAATTCGGAACAAGGTGCCCTCCAACTTCAGCTTGAGGGTTGTCATCATGTAGTTCTGCAATTCCTCGTTGTTGAGGATGGAATGGAGCATCTGTCGCTGGAACTTCCACGACTCGCCGTCCACGTTGAAGATGCCGTCTCCCAGGACCTCGAACATGGCTCTGAAATCTTCGTTTTTCCCGTACTTGGCGTAGCTCTTGCTGAAGATGTGGTGGGCGTTGATGGGATCGCATGTGAGGATGAAGTCCATGTCGGCGAACCACGGGCCTTTGAACACGATCGTGCCGCCGTTTTCTTTGAGGGTTCTAGTGATGTAGCCATGGAGATCGTCGGCCCACACGTTACAAAGGAGGCCGGGAAGCATGCCTAGCAGCGGCCATTCGAGCAAGGAGAAGTTTTTGTTCCTAATACTAGCTATGGAAGGCCGCCAAAGGAGGAATATGAAGGAGAGGAGAATTAGTAGCAAAATGGCCAGTAGTGGAATGGTGGCCATTTGATGATTTTTGGTTTAATTGATTTATGAATAGCCCTTTGCATGGGGTGATCTATTTTATATATAACGATCAACTACTAGGGGTGTCAGTTTGGGTCGGGTTTGGTTACCCGAATCGAAACCCGAAATAACTCAAAAACCCGAAACCGAAAATCACAGAAAACCGAACCTGAACCCGACAAGAGTTTGTGGATTTCGGTTACCCGAAACTCGAAAATTTCTTATCGGGTTCGGGTTCGGTTAAAGCAAAACCAAAACCCGAAAACCCAAACGCCTAAGAATACAGGCCGAGTTCTATTCATTGGAGGTTTTCAGCAGGAACCCAAAAAACCGATAAGTAAAACCAAACCCAAAACCGAAAAACCCAAAACCCGAAACAAACCCGAACCCGAAAAATCGAAAATGTATATAATCGGGTCGGTTTCGGATAACCCCGAAAAACCGAACCCGAATGGACACCCCTATCAACTACTGTATCAGTCGTATGTATATGTAGTACAGTACTACGTACTGTGACGTGCATGTATCAATATTGACAAGTGTGTATGTGTCCTCCACGGCCAACCAACAAAAATATTTATGATACAACAAAGCTTGAAAGCAATGCATGAGTCTAGAAACCCATCCAAACGATCGAATTTGCGTGGAAGGTTTCTCACAAATTCAAACCTTGTGTTGCAATCATACGTGTACCAAGGCATCCAATTAACCAGCCAAATTTATGAAGCTATTGAAGAGGTGAAAGCTATCCATCATGACTCTAACTAACTCAGTACAAACTTGTGCGTTACGTTGTGGTGTTATAATCTTCACCTAGCTACGTACGTGTGGTGTTGCCTTCGCCACGAGACTGCCTAACTTAATGGTGTCTCTATTCTCTCTACTTTTAGATTTTTAGGTTTCATTGGCTTTATTTTTGGAAAATCATTGAGCCTAGAATTTCTGGACTAAATTTTGAGTAGTGATTTGAATATGTTCATATGTACCATTTTCCTAATTACACACAATCTTATTATAAAATAACATTGAGCAAAATGTTTACAACAAAAAATTTTATAAGTGATATACTAGCCCGGGTGGCTATACGGTCCGGTCCGGTTAAATTGGTCTGAATTGATCCGGTCTCGGTCCAATTTTTTTGGGAATATAAGGACCAAACATTGGATTGGATACAGTCCGGTCTCAATTCGGTCCGGTCCCAATTTGGTCTTGATTTTAGATTGAGTTTGTGGGGATTTGAGTGGCCCAAGACCTGAAATGGTGAGAAGGTTAAATTTTGCGTGTTGGGCTCTCTTATACGGCATTTATCCGATTTTCGGCTGGTACCAAACGGGATTTTACCTCAAATCTAAGCCCGAAAATTGGATTGTATTGTTTGCTATCCGGTACCGGTCCAATCTCGATCCGAGTTATACGATCCAGTTTCAGGTGAAACCAAAAATACCGGACCAAATAGCCAGCCTTAATAGGCCACCCTGATCCACCACTGTGCATAAGCCACAGGACGATCGATGCCACCACCACTAATTAAGGGCAACCGATGAAATTTTGGATGTTGATGATCAAATGCATGTGCTAATTAAGGTCGACCTTCCAAAGTCAAGAATGGCAACCCCATGCATTATTGCTACACGGGCTACTAAACTGGGCCAGGGATATGGGTATAGATCCAATTTAAACAAAAAAAAGCATATTCTTTGTTAATGTTTTACGATGTCACTTATTATGTTTATTTATTATAAAATGTATGTACAATTTATTGATTATCAAAACTATTAACAATGGTACTTATCTTGTTGAAGATCATATTTGAAAAATTAAATTATTATGTGTGTAGAAACGAAAAAGTAAGAAGATAGAGTGAGAGAAAGAGATGGAGGCTTGGATTTTATTTATTTATTAGAAATGACACAAATAACAAGCATTTAGCTCACACCCTATAAGTACCCATTAAATTTTATGTTTATCAAAGACCACAAATTGATTACAAAGAAACTAAACATCTCTTTGAAACTCTCATCTTCAAGCCATCTTTCATCGACAATACAATAGAAGGTGTTGGCTTCACGATGTGACCTTCTACCATATCAAACTTGTAGTTCCACAAAATGGCACTAACAATGAACTTGAGTTGCATGAAAGACATCGCCTTCCCCAAACAAGTCTTTGGTCCTGTCAAAAAAACCATAAACTTTTGCGACGGAACATGGATTATGTTCCCTTCTTCTGAAATCCATCTTTGAGGTTTAAACTCCATGCAATCTTTACCCCATATCTCTTCCATCCTCCCCATGGAGTATATGTTGAACAACATCCTCATACCCTTCTTAACTCTATGACCAGTAGGGAGCACATCAGCTTCACTGGCGCATCTGTGCTCGAATGGCAAGGGTGGGTAAAACCGCAACGTCTCGTAGATGGTCGCATGAAGGTACACTAGCCCATTTAACTCATCCTTACTTATCAAAAACCTGGATGTCCCTTTATCACTTTCCTGTCGCCAAGCCATGGCTGTTACTCGTTCGATCTCCTCGAGAATCTTTCTCTCGACGTCAGGGTGGGTCGCAACCAACCAGAGCAGCCAACTGAGAGTGGAAGATATGGTGTCTTTTCCGGCTGCTATTAATGTAAACACCATATCTCGTAAAGACTTGTCTGAACTTTCTCCTTTCTGACTAGCTATCATCCATTGTGTTAGCATGTCGTGTTGTTGTCTCTGCTCCTCTTTTTGCAACTCTTGTTTCTTCATCGTGATAGCATTGTATATGAATTCATCCAACACCTTCGTACTATGACTAATCTTTTTCTCCGAACCAATCCCGAACCTTTTCTGGAACTCCCATACACCTCTGGGCACTATATGTCGGTATATGATTCCCTCAAAGATTTCTTCGAATGCTTTCCCGTACGGGAATGTCTCTGAACGTTCGTCCACGGAAAGGTAACCTGCGATATGATGGAGGATCAATATCTGAACGAAGACCCGATATATACTTAGATTTATAAACTCAAATATATATAAAATTGTAGGAAGGAAGTAAATGTTTAACCTGGATCAAACCCCAAAACCCACAGGCAGAAGTTATCGAACATGAACATCTTTGCCACCTCCTGCATGTCCACCTCGGCTCCGACTCTCGCATCGAGAAGTGGGAACAAGGTGCCCTCCATCTTCAGCTTGAGGGTTGTCGTCATGTGGTTCTGCAATTCCTCGTTATTGAGGATGGAATGGAGCATCTGGCGCTGGAACTTCCACGCCTCGCCATCAACATTGAAGATGCCTTCTCCCAGGAACTCGAATATGGCCTTGAAGTCTTCGCCTTTCCTGTACTTGGCGTAGCTCTTGCTGAAGATGTGGTGGGCGTTGAGCGGATCGCTGGTGCCGATGAAGTCCATGTTGGCGAACCACGGGCCTTTGAACGGGAACGTGCCGCCGTAGTCTTTGAGGGTTCTGTCGGCTGCGCCATGGATATTATCGGTCCACACGTTCCAAAGGAGGCCCGGAAGCACACCCAGCATCGGCCATTCGATTAAGGAGAAGTTTGTGTTCCTGATACTACTAATTATGGAAGTACGCCGCCATGGGAGTACGAAGGAGAGGAGGGTTAGGAGCAAAATGGCAACTAGTGGTATGATGGCCATTTGATTTGATGATTTTTGGTTTGATTGATTGTATGAATATAATAGCCCTTTGCATGCATGGAATGATATTTATACAACATTGTCTTCTCTCCATCATCAGCTTTCAAGGCACAGTGCCTCCACATTTTAATTATAACCACCCAGCGGACCACGAAATTAATGATAACCACATTCATGTCTACACAGGAGCCTCCTCAACTTAATCGTTTCCGAACCTTTCTTCTTCTTCCTTAGCATATGAAAGATGATTAAAATTTTACTAAATAGGAAGAAAAAGTACAAAGAGAGTGACCAAGTCCTTTGGTCAGGCTATCAGAAGTAGGGGTGGCTATACGGTCCGGTCCGGTTAAATTGGCCCAAATTGATCCGGTGCCAGTCCGGTTTTTTCAAAACTATAAGGACCAAAGATTGAATTGGATACATTCTGGTCTTGATCCGGTCCGGTCCCAATTCGATCTTGATTTAATATTGAACTTGTGGGGATTTGAGTGGCCTAAGGCCTGAATATGAGAGGAGTTGGTTAAGTTTTGTACAAAGTGCAAAGGTTTGTGACCGTTTATGCAAATTCCCCTTAAGTTTTGAGTATTAAGCTCTCTTATCCGGTCTTTATCCAGTTTTCCATCCGGTCCCGAACGATTTTTTTACCTCAAATCTAAGCCCAAAAATTGGATTGGATTCTTTACTATCCGGTCACCGTCCGGTCTCGATCCGAGTTATACGGTCCGGTTTCGGGTAAAATAAAAAAACTCGGACCAAATAGTCAGCCCTAATAGATATAGCACAATAACACTTTGCTAACATAAGCTACTAATGATGTATATTGATTTCCAACTTTCTAGACAAATAGGACCCGATGCATAACTTAATGACTGAAATGTTACTACACGTTTCCTAATGCTTCGATGGGGGAAGCAATGCCTAGGAGCCGCTCATGCGTTTAAGGATGTGAGAAGCAGTAGGGAAGCATGGTTTAGGAAGGGTGAGGGGTGAAGTTGAAACTCAAACAAAATGGACCCTAAACAATACCACGCCAATTCTTTATTCTCCCTCTCAAACTACTATTGTCGTTATAGAAGTGTCCTTTTATATGATAAAAATATATTTATTATAAATATTTAAATTATATAATTCGAAGATAAATATTCGAATTATATAATTCATTCACAAAACAAAAATAACCGATTAATTAATACAAGTTACATTTTGTATAACAATTATAAAGAATTTTCAAATCCAAAAGAATTGTAAACATCATTGCCTTTACTCTTAAATAAGTATTTTTCAATGTATGCCCCTATGTTTAATTATTTTATTGTCCATAAATTTCTCATATTGGTATATAAATTCAGTGTTGGAAAATCATACTTGTTTAGGATTGATAAATTCTCCCCAAAATTCTAATAATGTCCGTAACAGTCTTAGTATGTGGCTGACTATCCATCAATGCACTGCCAACTGGTGTGACAAGAGACAATTCCCTCTATTTTAGTATGATTTAAAATTAAAACGAGCAGACAGTCCTCCGACATGCCTGTACCGACAAGCACATGTCCTAATTAAGCTCTCCGGCGACCAACAAAATTTATTCATGAAAAACGTTGAAAGCATTGCATGAGCATGACGAATCTACCAACCGACGAAATGGATGGTGTTGATCGTCCCCGTCCAGCAAATATCTGGATCATATTTATTGGGCTTGGTAAGTAATGTCAACCCGCGGGCTGATCGGTACGTATATATAGTACAGTACTACGTACTGTGACGTGCATGTATCAATATTGACAAGTGTGTATGTGTCCTCCACGGCCAACCAACAGAAATATTTATGATACAGCTAGCAAAGCTTGAAAGCAATGCATGAGTCTAGAAACCCATCCAAACGATCGAATTTGCGTGGAAGGTTTCTCACAAATTCAAACCTTGTGTTGCAATCATACGTGTACCAACCATTAAGCACATGCATCCAATTAACCAGCCAAATTTATGAAGCTATTGAAGAGGTGAAAGCTATCCATCATGACTCTAACTAACTCAGTACAAACTTATGAGTTACGTTGTGATGTTATAATCTTCACCTAGCTACGTACGTGTGGTGTTGCCTTCGCCACGAGTAGACTACCTAACTTAATGGTGTCTCTATTCTCTCTACCTTTCTTCGTCTTCTTCGTCGTCTTCTTTAGCATAAGAGGAAAAAGTACACTGTACACAGAGAGCGGGACCAAGCTCCTTTAGTCATAAGTTGGTTGCAAGTCTTCATACTCCATCGAAATGGTCCTCCCTTTCTCACTTCAAAGTACTACTTAATAAAATTTCTATCTTACTTGTCACTGGCTTTACATTTTGTACATAAATGTATAAATGTCTTTATAATGAAAAATAAATTTGTATTTTTGACGTCAGTATACACATTTAACTTAGCTTGTATTTCGAACCACTAATAGTTTAGAAGAGAGTAAAATGGCTCAAAGGTGAAAGCTAGCATTGCATGGTGACTCTACGATCTCACCACCAGAGGCAACCGACGAAATGGACGGTGATGATCAATTCACCGGGCCATATCCATATGAATCATGTAGTTGTATTCTATAGATAGATTCTGTGGTCTATAGTTTTCCAGCTCGATCGCCCAATCCAACAACTACTCATCACATCATATTTGTTGGTCGCGATCGGTAGGTAGATTCATTATTATTATGGCCTAGCGAGAATTCATGTTACTAGATCCATCAACCACATACCACCACTTAATTAGTCTTTTTAATTATTTGAGTTGTTGAGGAAATGTTTGTTTAGAATTTTTGTTATCTCTTACACGGTCTCTCAAACTGAAGGCTACATTTGATTTTTTAGAGTTTGTACAGGTTTAAACATATTATTTTTGTGCTGCTAAATCATTAGACTTTTAGTTTGCACAGATTGGTCATGTTATTCTTTGTACTAAACCATTATTTATACTGAGGGTTGTCATAACGATACGAAATCAAGGCTTCTCGGTCAAAGACTCCGTTACTATGTTAACGAACAAATCACTTAGGGGTCATTTGGAGAATATGAGTTTAAATTGATAGATTGTCAACAATCTAAAGATTCTTCCTCTTCGAAAAGTTGAAATAGATTTTAAAATGTTTATTGTTTGGTAACTGTGATTATTAAGCTTCAATGAAAATAAAAATAAAAATTTTATATTAAATAACATGTTTATCCTTGATTAAAAAAATTAGAGAGATAATTACCGGAAAAAAAATTAGAGAGATTCAAGAAACATTGATAACTTTGTTGATAAATATATTTAATGCGGTAAATAAATAAAACGAAGAGATATAATAAAAGGAAAAAAATTACGAATCAATAGAGATTTCATACCCGTAAATTTTAAAGATTTGAAATGTCTAAGGCAAAAATCCTCAATACAAAAGGCAACAAAAAAATATAACTTTATCAATTATAGAGCAATGATAATATGTTCACAAGCAGATACACTAATAGAGATACAAGTCCGTATCATAAGGAGCTTCAGTCCATGTTCACATCTCGATCAATACATGAAAAAAAGTCAAATACCAATTGATTCCAATAATATCATCAATGCCGAATTTTATTTTCTTTATGTTTTTAAGAAGATGAACATTTTTAACAAGGATTTTATTTTCTTTATGTTTAGTAAGTTAATTTGTTTGACGTTGGATTAAGTATTCAGGAGGATTTTAGTTACTATATTCACATAGTTTCGTCACTATTGCCATCTTATGATGATAATTAAAGAAGTAAATGAAGCTTTAAGTGATTCATAACGAACAGAGGTATAAAAAACCATCACATGCTCTGTATTCTATTTTTAAAGCTGAAAAAGTCAATATTTAATTTATTCCACTGAATGAACTATAAAAGGAAGAAATGAATGGATGCTTTGCATTAATAATGAGAGGAGACAGAAAACAAATTGTCTTTTGTGACCAACTGTCTAACTTTTGGCCGCTGAATATGTCGAATTTGCGACTAAATATGTTTATCATCACAAATATGTGCAACAACTTTTAGACATTTACGACCGTTCTCGTCCGATGCAAATTCGAATTCTGTTATGGTGATATTATAGGAGAAATTAAAACTGTGTTTACTGCATCGGGGAAAAGAGAGACAACATACAGGAGAATTTTGTTGATATTGTCCAGAAAGATGTCATATTCAAGTGGTACCAGACAATATATATTGAATAAGGCAATAATAATAACTTTAGTTTAAAAGCAATCCAACTCGTATTAATATTTATTACAAACCACAATTATTAAGAAGAAACTAACTAAACATCTCTCTTGGAAACTCTCATCTTCAAACCATTTTCCATTGTCAACATAGTAGAAGGAAGTGGCTTGACGATTTGACCCTCTGCCATATCAAACTTGTAGTTCCATAGAAGAGTACTAACAATGAACTTGAGTTGCATGAAAGACAACGACTTCCCCAAACAATACCTTGGCCCTGCCAAAAAATTAATGAACTTGTATGAGGGGATGTGGATTAAGCTCCCTTGCTCCGAAATCCATCTCTCAGGCTTGAACTCCATGCAATCTTTCCCCCATATCTCTTCCATCCTCCCCATGGAGTATATGGAGAACAAAATCCTAGTACCCTTGTGAATGAGATGGCCGCTAGGGAGCATATCATCTTCAATGGCACATCTTAGCTCGAATGGTGCTGGTGGGTACAATCTCAATGTTTCGCAGATGATTGCATGGAGATATACAAGTCTATTCATTTCATCTTTATCGATCATGAAAACTCCTAACAATCGTCCTTCTCTAGGATTTGGTCGTCGTTTAGCCATTACCACTACTCTTTCAATCTCCTCGATAATCTTTTTCTCAACCTGAGGGTGGATTGCAACCAACCAGAGCAACCAAGTTAGAACCGAAGACACAGAGTCTTTCCCTGCCGCTATTAATGTCACTCCAAAGTCCCGTAGAAATTTATCTGAACTTTCTCCTCTTTCATCTGCTACCATCCATTGTGTTAGCAATTCAAGTTGTAGGCGTTTATCTTCTTTGTGAAACTCTTGTTTCTTGGTTTCCACGACATCGTATAAGAACTTATCCAAGACCTCAATACTTGTACTAAATTTCTTCTCCGATCCGATCCCAAATATTCTCTGAATTTTCCATACACCTTTAGGGACAATATGTCGGTATACGACGGCCTCCTCAATGTCGTCATATGCTTTGCCACATGAGAAGGTATCTAAATGTCTGTCAACACAAAGGTAACCTGAAAGAGGTATAAATTGATTGTGAGCCGTCTCTAATACTTCCAAAAGGATTGAAAATTTTATTGAAGCCACCGCATCTTTTTAAAGGACACAGTCGCAACCCAAACTTGCCAAACGGTCGCGCGCTAAGGTTGAAGATTTTTCCTTCATTGGGGCATGGAATCTCAATGAATCCAAATTAATCCACAAAGCAATTTTTAGTCAGGCTGATTAACTCTTAAAACTTAATAATCATGTTCCAAATCCTAATACTTTATTTAATTACCTGGATCGAATCCCAAGACCCACATGCAGACATAGTCAAACATGAACCTGCTCACCACGTCTTGCATGTCCACCTCACCCCTAACTCCCGGTGACGAACAAACATCGTCGAGGACTCGGAACAATGTTTCCTCCATCTTCTGATGAAGCGTCGCCATGACGTAGTTTTTGAAGCCGTCCTTGCTCAAGAAGGAATGGATCCTCTTCCGTTGAATCTTCCACGACTCGCCATCCGAATTGACGATCCCTCCTCCAAGGAACTCCTCAAATATGGTCCTGAAATCTTCACCCTTCCCGTAGTTGGCGAAGTTCTTGCTGAAGACATGGTGGACGTTCATCGGATCGCTGGTGACGACGATGTCCAGGTTGGCGAAGCAGGGGCCTTTGAACACGAACGTGCCGCCGCTTTCTTTGACGAGTCGAGTGATGAAGCCGTGAAGATCGGTGGTTGCGTTCCAAAGGAGGGCCGGAAGCATGCCCACCACTGGCCATTCGATGGCGGAAGAACTTTTGTTCCTGGCGATAAATGCTATGTAGAGCCACAAGAATATGAAGGAGAAGAAAGCTGGTAGCAAAATAGCAACAATCCACATTCTTCTGTATGTGACTTATTACCTGATATTGATTTATGATTAGTACGTAGCTATATGGCTTGGGAGATACTAATAGGCTAAAACGAAACAATCAGACTCGTGGTGCTATTCCAACCAACAAAATTTAGGTGGCTCTTGATAAGAAAACCAAACAAGCAAACTTTATGATGAATTATTTAACAACTAATCAACTGATTGAAATAAATGGTGATAAATAAGTAGTGGTAGCTAGTTCTATACATGGGTCCCTAATAATGCATTCCAAATATAAGCCTGTGAAAAAGGAGTAGGTAGCATGGTACAATAAAGCTGGGACATAAGCGAATAAGGATCACATGGGTTTGTATCAAATGCAGTGTTATTAAAGCCGAGCCGCTCGGCCCGACCGGTAAAACCGCCACCCGGTCACAAAACCGGCTCGAAACAGTCTAAAAGCTGCTTCGGTTTTATGTAGCGGTTGACGAGCGACCGAGGCGGTTAACCGCTCGATCCGATCGAGCCGCTCGTCCGATTTTTTCCATGAGCCATTAAATTTAATTAAAAAAATTGCAGAAAATTGAAATAAACCAAAAACGTCGGGCTCTCAAACTGAATCCTTATTTCCATTTCACAATTTCGAAGGAAAGAGACGAGCTCTGATTAAGAATGTCCACTATTTATACTGATAATGTTTATTAGGTATCGGTTCTCTAACGATTTTTAAACGATCTAATGCCGGTTGGACCACTAAAGTGCGAGCCGTTCGCATTACCGGGTCATGTTCCGGTTCGATTCTGACAACATTGATCAAATGACAATGGCTCCATCTATGTTGAAAGGATGTAGGGCGCCACTCTAATTATAAAGGGGTATTCTCTTCTCATATTTGCGCTATATTGTTGTGTCTTAGTCGCCAAGGATATACGACAAATACCTAACAATAACTACAGTCTCGTTGGCATTACCAAGGTTCAAAAAAGTGCTAGGCGAAAGGCGCGCGTTGAGCCTTTGCCTAGCGCCTAGCTTGTCTAGGCGTAGACTAAGCATGCCTAGGCATTGGAACAAAAATGCCTATTCGTACGACATGATAAATGAAATAATAATCTACAACACTTTTTCACTTCAGTTAATATGATTAAGAACGTACTCAACACTTAATGACTAGATCATAGCGCACGAATTCGTAGAATCATAACTCAATAGCTCACAAAGTTCTTGAGCTATTGAAAATATTGAAATAGAAAATTGATTTCGTAATTGACGTTAATTTTCTACTTAAATATTGACTTTCTAGCTCCATCTAGTTGTGTTTAGGAGAGACTTATATGTCACCTTACTCCATTGACGTGTTCTAGTATCTAACTAGGCGCGAAACCTCTAGGCGAGGCGTTTTGCCATTGCCTTACACCTAGGTGTGCCTAAGCGTAAGGTTAAGCATGCCTTTTTGAACCATGGGCATTACCACACGTAATGATACGAACATATTAGTACTACGCATTACGCAACCGGATACTCTAGCTATGGTCTTTTCCACTAACAACACCCACAAACATCAAACCTGACAATCGGGTCGGGTTAGGTAATTTGGGTTGAGAATCTTGGTTTACGGGTCGTCACAAGTCGGGCCAATATTGGGTTGGCTTATTTTGTGTCAAATGTTAACCCAATCTGCCAAGTTTTGGGTCAGGTTTCGGTCATGATCGTTCCCCGAAACAATATCAAATATACTTCAAAAATTGCTAAATAACACAAATTTTCACATATGTATTACCTAACACATGTCAATTAACAAATGCTTAACTACTTGCATGCTAATGAAAAGAAATACAAACTGCACAAACAGTTAATAAACAATCACGTAAGTAATAGTATTACAAGAAACAAATGATGTTTAATTGTCCTTGCACTCTAAAATTTTCTTAATCCTTATGAAAACTTTAAAATATCTCACCAGTTTATAAGTGATTTTATCATTTTGAAAATGATATATAAATGAAATGGGTCTAAGAGGATCGACCCACTAACCCACCCAACCCAACCCAAAAACTATGGGTTTATCGGGTTTGAGTCATACGGGTTTTGAGTTATAAAAATTTCAACTGATTTTTTATTTTTCAGGCGAGTTTTGATCGGGTCAACAAATCGAGTCGTAATTTTTCGCATCAATAATTGGTAATTTATGAAATCCATCCAAATCAGTTCAATAAAATCCATGTCATTATGATGTAGGGTGAATTTAATCGGTTTGTATGGACTGTTTCCAGCCCAACTCACTAAATGTCATCCCTACATTGTCATAGTTAGAGAATTCCCAAAATAAGGAGTCCGAAAATATTTTGCTCTGGTATGCAATAATGATTTTAGTTGCGGTCAATAATCATAGGTTAAATCAAAGTTACTTTTGCAAAAACGGTAAGCAAAGCTACAACTTTGATCGAATTTAGGATCCGTCCAAAATAATTAAAAAAAATCCAAATATAGAATACTAATACCCACATTTCTCATTCTATCAAATTATCAAATGGATTCGTCCATAAACAAAAAAAGTTGGAGTGATTTTGTAAAACCCTAGCTCGGTCGAACACTACTTTTATTAAAATACCCTTAATAAATACTTAGCATTAAATACTTTGAAGAGAAGCGGAAATATAACATATTAAATAATACTCAAAATATGAACAATCATGAAATACTTGTCTTAATAAACATCTTTCATAAAACCGCATCAAGTCTCTCGTCCTACTAAGGTATACCCAAAGTTAACGTCTTCTTGTTGGAGTCCTCTGGAGCCATTGATCCTTGTCAGGAGCTGCTGAATTTCTGAGCGTTCTTATGGAGCTTCTATGATCCCTGAATGCAATCGATGGGGTCAGTCCAAATTCTAATTTCGTTGTCAGACTTAAGAGCACAATATGCACATGCGATGCTTATGATACGTTATTGGGTACATTACTGTTAGTAGTATATTATTATTATTATTATTATTATTATTATTATTATTATCACTTATAATCTTTTCTCCTTACTTAACTTGAAATGGGATCCCGCCCTCGACTTAACTAACACAAGCGTCTGGCACCATCGTACATGAACATATATAACCTCCTCATCTACAAGGAGTAACATAACATACCTCCCCATCTATAGGGAGTAATAGTGACCACTTCCGGCACCGATCATGACATACATATCATGAGCCCTCATCTACAAGTAGGGCTGGTAATCGGTGGGTTACCGATTAACCGGTAATCGGTCCCAGTTAACGGTATACAGGATTAGGGAAAACCACTGTCGACTACTGGTATCGAAAAATAGTCAGTTTACCGTTTACCGAATAGCCGGTTACCGGTTACGAACCCGGTAACCCGATAACCCCGGCAATGATAAATTTTTCCCTGTGGCGAGTGACCATTATCATGTCCTGGCCGCGACACCGAAACTGAAATCGAGAGTGAAAAAAGATTTGGCCTCGAGATGAAGAGAGCGTCACCGCGCAAGGGAGTTGCATGGCACTGGATATGGATTCGAGAGGGAGAGCGAGTCGTCGGCGGTGTATCCCGTATCCGGATCAAGAATCGAGAGGGACTAAGCCCCGCCGCGCAAGGGAGATAGCATGTCGCCGGATCTAGCCTCGAGAGGTAGAGAGAGCCGCCACGCCAAGAGTTTGCATGGCATCCGATCTGGAATCGAGAGGCAGATCGAGAGCGACTCGTCGTATTTTCCCACAAAATCTGGAATTGGGTTCTGGTTTCTCCACAACAGTGGCGGCGAAGGTGGGAGGAATGGAGAAAGGCGGTGGTTGGGCGAGCACAGACGAGCCGACGAAGAACAGAGCTCTTTCAGTTTCAGCAGCTATTTCCAGATCTGGCAACGTATCGAAGACCCTCTGAGATGACGAATCGGCGACGACGTGGTCCAGGTCAACGAATCGAGAAAGAGAGGAGGAGAGGTTTCATCTGTTTATGGATTTGAAGAGAATTGTTTCTCGATGGAGATGGAGAGAGAGGAGAGAACAGAGGAGAGGACAGAAGGCATTAAACTGATGGAAAAAGTGGTTTTTGATTATATATCGGTATATGCATTAAACTGATTAACCACAGGTTATTAACTGGGTCTGGTTCGGTATACCATCAGCTTTATTTCCCCTACCGAATACCGTAACCGCCCGGTTAACGGTTAACAAGTAATCGCCTGTTACCGGTACGATTACCGGTTAAACCGTTAACCATATAACCGTTTACCGGCCCTATCTACAAGGTGCTCCTCATCTATAAGGAGTAAGGTGGCCGCGTGAGACTAGTTAAGGGAGGGTTCTTATTTTTACTTATTAACTTGATATTTTATACGTACTTGCTTGAACAACCTTTCATACCATGGAGAGACATACTTAAGCTTGTACTTGCTTACTTGACTTAAGAAGTTGAGCTTACTTAGCTGATCTCCCGTACAATGGGAAGATATAAGCTTATTAAGTTGCACTTGCTTGACTCATAACGTAGTCAGGGGTGTAGCCACAAAATTAGTTAAGGTGAGTCTATTTATAAAATATAAATATATTAATATTGAAAAAATTAGTTAACGTCTCCCTCTCTCGCTTCAGAGTACTACTTATAGACTATATTTATTACTTATTACCCAGCTAATTAAATAAATTGCGCATTGGCTCGCTGAATTTGTTTACAAATGAATAGGTAACAAATTAAATTTTCTATCTTAAACAACTAATTAATAACCTTGGAAAAAGTGATTAAGATTAATATATAGGCATTAACCCGCCGACAACTCGCGATTTAGTGGTATTAGTTGGTTTATAACATTATAATAGAGTTATTTTTATCACGTGTTCAAGTGCTATCATGACCCATTGATTTAAATTTAATTGAAATTCAAGCTCATTTGTAATTGAAATTCTTTACATTTGGTTGCAAGTCTTTACGCTCGATGGAAATTGATATCATATTAATGTAATTCTCCAAATGTCTCGCTTCAATTTACTACTTATTGTGACAAAGAAATTTGCATTTTAGTAATATTGTTTCAATTACCATAAGCTGAAAGAAATCGTAAGTTGAATGTTGGTACAAATCTATATCTATATCTATCTATCTATATCTATCTTCTATACTATATATTATGGAAATTCAAAAGCAATCTCTTATCATATAAGCATTTGAAGGATCCACAATTTGTAAAGTTGGACAACTTTTTTACAAATAAAAAAAAATTTGTTATTAATTTATTTATGAAACTATCTCTCTCTTCTTTAATATTTTCATTTCTTTTATCAATAATTTTTTTCCATTTATCCATTTATTCTTTTCTTTTTTTTGCTTTAATAGTAAGTTTACATGTTGATAAACTTAACCAAACAAATACAAATAATAACTTTTTTTTCAAGTTAACAAAATATAAATAAGAAAAATAGAGAGTGACATATATCACATTTGTTTAAATAAAAAAAATCTGATTAAACTTTACAAAGTAAATTTTCTATCTCGATATGCTTGAGAGACCCAATAACTTAATTGCTTGACCCGGTTTTGGCCCCTTTTCAATCTCGATATGGTTTGGGGGTTCTCGTATCTAATCTTTGACCAACCATATATTTATTATGGATTGAACCTATAATCAAAATTCGAGGTGTTACAGCTTTTTTTTTTTTTTTTTTTGCGTTACAGGAGGCACGAGGCCAAAGAAAGAAGAGGGAGTCGAGGGGAGATTAAGGGTGGGTGGTAGGGGACACTATGCTTCTAGCAAAAGTAGTGCCTCTGAGATCATCTTGAAGCAACGAGAGAAGCTCATTAGGAGGTGTTTCTAATTCGTGCATACCGTAGGGGTAGACGAGACTGTGATTCGAGAGCCAGTCTGCGACTCTATTCCCTTCTCGGTATATATGAACTAGATTCACAATCCAGTCTTGAGTAGGGCTGGCATTTCGGTTTGCGGTTAGCGGGTAACCGCCGGTTTTAACCGAAAACCGCCGGTTACCAGCTAACCGAAAACCGACCGGTTACCATGACGGTCGGTGGTCGGATGGGAAAAGGAAGGGGTCGGTTGACCGAGTAACCGACGGTGATTAACCGCGGTTATCCGACTAACCGGGCCAACCGAGACCCACTTCACCTTCCCCAAAATATGTCCAGATTCATCCCCATTCCCAGATCTTAAATAAATAAAAAAATCCCAAATACAGGAAGAAGAAGCATATCTACACTCTCATCAATTGCTGCCGATTTTTGTTTCCGCCACCACCGTAGACGCCGCCATCCTCTTCTCCACAACCTCCGACTCCCCAGCGGAATCCACCACTCCCTGCAGCCTCTCCCTTCTCGCGCAGCCTCCACCCACCAGCAGGCAGGAGCAGCTTCGCCGGCGGTGACCTCTTCTTCTCCTCTCACCCGCGAACAAAACCCAAAAGAAATAACACAGATCAAAAACAAAAACCAAAATCAAACCCTCAAAATTCGACATGCAAGTGAGAGAACTTGATCTCACCTTCTTCTACCGTCGCCTACCATCGTCTTCCCCGCTCCGCCGCCGTCTTGGCCTTCTTCCATTCTCCTCGATTTGTTATTAGGAGTGCAGAGATGAGGTAGAGAGAAGCGACGATTTGGGTCGAGAAAGGAAGAAGGGGAAAGAGGATGTCGGCGGCGAGTTCCACCGTTGTTCCCATCGCCGTCAACGGGGAGGCAGAGGGCAGAACGAGAGAGGTGAGGGTAGAAGGGAGGCGATTTCGGGTTTGTCGAGAAAGGAAGAAGAGAATCGGGATTCGAGAGAGAGTAGGGAGAGAGATAGGTTTCTCTGGAAACTGGAAAGGAAGAAGAAGAATCGAGAAGTGAGAGGGCCGAGGGGTTAGGACTCCTAATGAGTGGTGCAGAATTTTCGGTTTTTTAATTTTTTTTTTTTTAGAAAAGGTAATTTCCGGTCGGCAGGTATGCAGGGTGGCTCGGTTTAACCGATAACCGGGTTTTTGGTTTTCGGTTAAACCGAAACCGACCGACTGCCACCCCTAGTCTTGAGTAATCTTTCGCCTGATAGCTGCTAAGAGGGCCGCATAAGGGTGGAGAGGATCTGTCCTGTTGCTCACAACCTGAATGGCCAACTGAGAGTCTGATTCTACAATGAGGGTTCTACACCCGAGCTTCCACGCCAGTTTGAGTCCATGATAAATAGCCCATAGCTCTGACATGGTGGCTGAGCACAGCCCCAAACTCGAGACAAAACCTCCAATCTAGCTGCTGTTTGCGTCTCGTAGAACCCCACCTGGTCCAGCTATACCTTGGCTACCATTCGCCGCACCATCAACATTGAGTTTCCGCCAACCAGTCGGTGGTGGCTTCCAACCAATTTGGGAAACGGTGCGGTGAGGAGCCATCCTTGTTCGCCCCATCAGCGGACTTGGGGCATTCCATGAACGAAACCAAAGCTCAGCCTTGATTCTGACCGCCTGGACGAGGGAAGGGACAGAAAGAGACTTGTCCACTCCATGAAACACTCCTTCGTTTCAGTTTTTCCATATGCACCACAAAGCTATACTGAAGAACACGTTCCAGGGGAGGCCGGTTGGTGAGAGCTCTTCACAGGTCAGATTGTACTCCAGCCAGCTGTCCCACGAGCGACTAAAAAACGCGTGCTGCGTATCCGCCCGGGTAGTCCGACTCCATAGAAATGTTGCCGGCGGGCAGTCCCTGAAAAGATGAGGGAGTGTCTCTGTCTGGGTATAACATCTATAGCAAGAATCGTCATGCGTCAGGTGTCGTTTCGTTCTTTCCTCGTTTGAACTGATCTTCCCCTGCACAACCAACCAAACAAAGCATCGAACTCGCTCCGGCACCGGGAGTCGCCAGATTGTCTTCCTGATCCGTTGGGTGCTGCCATCGGTAAGAGGTTGAAGCAGTTGGTATGCGCTCTCCAGATCAGCGTGTCATCTTCCGTCGCAAGGGGATCGATCACTAGCGCCATGATCTACCTCTGGATATCCATGGAGAGAATGGAGTCGAACTTCTCCATCTTACAGTTTTTTAGAAACAACTATTTTTTTTTCTTTTTGTTGATTATACAAAAATTACTATAATAATACTTTTGAATAAAATATAGGTGTAACCTTGGGAGCGGTTACGATGCTAATTGTACAATAGTTAGCACCGTCCTAACCAAGGGAAAACTACTACTAGTTTGAATTAGTAGTGATTTAGCTTAGATGTTGTATTGATTTTATAATAATCCGTAGTGATTTCGTTATTTTTAGTAGCGTTTTTTGCTAGTTATCACGGTGCTAACCCCTATAAGGGTTAGCACCTAATCCCATCCCGTGTAACCATATATAACAGGTTGGACCATATTTGATTAAGTGTGCGTTATTAATAACTAGCTTATAACCCGGCCCGTTGGCCGGATTGATAATTTGCATTAATGATTTAAAGGAGCTACCAATTAGTATGAGAACAGAAGCGTGATTTGGTATAGGACTCAAAGGGGTCGTTCGGAGAGCAGGATTTAGGACATAGATTCGCTGAATTCGTAGATTTTGTAGAAAGTTATGTTTTTTGTTGTTTTCTGTATTATGGATTCTAGCTTTAGAGATTTCAAATCTCTAAAATCTGTGGATATCAAATCTCTCATAATCATAGAGATTCTATATCTTGATTCGTGAGATTTTTTTTTCTCTCCTAGTTTTTCTCTTACTTCTATTTATTTATCACATGAAATATATCTATCAACAAAGTTTTTAATATTTCTTGAACCACTCTAATTTTTTTATTAAGGATACAAATTTTATTTAATATAAAATTAATTTTTTATTTATTTTAATTGAATGTTAACAATCACAGTTACCAAACAATAAACATTTTAAAGTATGTTTTCAACAATCTGGAGAGTTAGAATCTTTAAATTGTTGACAATACGTAGATTTAAACTCATATTCTCCAAACGACCCCAAAAAGGCATTGTTATAGAATCGAACTGGATGAACGCCTGAGCTAGTAGAATCATCAAACCACTTATGATAAGGGTTCGGTTCATTTCTTGGACGGTTAATGATGGACCAAACGGTTTTTAACTGTTCAACATAAAACCATATGAACTATCACGGTTTAACTGGTCCAGTGGGTCATTATTTTAACTACACTCTTTTTTATAAAAAAAGATAAACTTAGACCATCAAACCAGAATTATTAATTTTATTTCTACTCCCTCTTCTTATTTTCAATCCTCGTTGTCGACTTTATGTGGTCTACTACCGACTGGCACGATAATTTGTAACTTGAATTAAACATTATGGTTTATTTTGTGGAACGATTTGAATGATTTGTTAGATATTTTGATGATGATATGAATTTGAAATTGTTTATGGTCAATGATAGTTTCATTCTTAAATAAGTGTATTATAAAAATGTTGTCTTTTATATATCATGAACGTAACTATCAACAGTTAATCTATAATTTTATAACGGTTAATCATTTAACCCTAAAATACTAACTTTTTCGGTTCAGCGTCCGATCTGGTTGAAAGAGTAATTTGAGACTCACCCTTATAATTTAGTGCCTCTTAAATTACAATTACCACTTTAGGGGGTTCGCCAAGGATGTTATCCTTATCACTCTCTATCCATTTCAAATTAAATAGATACATAAATAGTATTTTTTATATTATGTTTTAATTTA